ATATCGTAGTACTTACCAAAAAATATTCAGGAACTAGTGTATACCTAAAATAATTTAGGACCCAACTAATGTAGTACCTATAAAAATCCGGGAACCAAGTAGTATAGTAGGTACCTAAAATAATTCGGGACCCAACTAGTGTAGTAATTTTAAATTCAGGACCCAATTCGGATGCAGCCATTTTAACACATGACTTACTTCAATGCGTGGTATGAGTGCATAATTACAATATAGTTAGATTATTATTTTTTTTTTATATTTAATATATTTTATTATATAAGAGATTTTATCTTCATTACGATGTTCAAAAATATACTTGATATTACTATCTACCTAATATTCTTTGGTCGGTTTATGTATCTCTTTTGAATTCAAAGTTGACTAAATCACGAAGGCGCAGTAACGGGAACGTTATTAAAAATAAAAATGCATAGATGTTACATAGTCAAAACCGTCTGGTCAAAACGTATCCGTTTCACCAAAACGCATGGTGTACTAAGGCACTTATACTTTAGATAAGTATTTTAAAATGCTTAATTAAAAGTAAACCTCGTTGTTCTTGAATTAACCTAGAAATAGCAAATTATAAATAATTATTCATAAACAGAAATTTAAATACTAATGAACTTGACACTTATGACATTGATATTTGTCAACACGAATATACAACACTGTTGTATTATTTGTTATAAGAAAAATAATCAAAAAATCGTATGCGTTTTCCAGCATATATGAATGTGTACATTTTTCCATTGCTGCGTGTACTATAACTATAGTAGTAGTAGTATACCATAGTAGTTATATAACTATAACTATTTTATGGAATACGGTTAAACGTCGTACCGTCTCCTCGCATTACGTGTACACAACAAGTCAAGAGGTTTGCGATTCGCAATGCGTTTGACACATGCGAGTCCTTGGAATTACAATCGAATTATAATAAATTTTGCTGTCCTAATTGTGGCGGTTTGATAAATATTGGCTACGGTGCTATGCATAACACTCTTCAAATGTTTGAAAATCAAAACAGTTTGTATATTTGTCGTATGGCGTTTCATTTCAGATGCAAGAAGTAGTTCAGCGGTGTGAACTTGTATAAAATAAACATATTTGTATTGATAAAATTCTTTTAAAATGTCAAAAATGGACACAGGAAAGACTGAACTTTTAAAACATTAATTGATTTGCTAGTAATAGCGGATAAAGATGATGGGATTCTCCAAGTATAAATCTATCTTTACAAATAATATTTGGAGATGATTTCCTAGTTTTTTTGTTTTTTTTTTAATAATTTTAAATAATTTATACTTAAGGTATAAATTTTTTATGAATAATAATAAACTCCAAGTAATTTTTACGGACGGTATTTAAAAAAATCTAGAACCTGAATAATAACAACTAAAAAATATTATGATCAGTGATAAACGTAAAATTATAACCCTTGTAATAGTCGTTGCTCATAACTAAATTTCAAATAAGTGTGAAACGCATACGATTGTTGCCAGAGGCGCAACTAAGGGGGGGGGGGTTGGGTGGGCTTAGCCCACCCAGTTTTGTCCGTAGCCCATTCAGTTTCACTACAAAATAAAACATCAACTCTTGGTTTTTCTAAAAATGTAATTTTTGGTGTAATTAAGACATTTGAAACTCTAAAATCTGAAGATGAATTTAAGAAAATATGGGAATAAATAAAAATATTTGCTGAAGAAAATGACATGTGGTTACTAACTCCATTAACTGATGTATATATTTTGTGATTTTGATAATTTGTTTTATGTTTTTTAACCTAAATAATACATACAAAATATAGGATCAAAGCATCGCAGAAGAGAGTCAACTATCACGGCGGCAGAAAATGATTCATATTCGTCATTAGCAAATTATGTAGAAAGTTATTGGAAAACTTTTACATATTTTTTTACTATGGACAGTGTTATTTTCAATCTTAAATATAGGTTTTCTGATTAAAGCTTGGCTATGGCCAGTTCGGTTGTAGTTCATTTTATAAATTACAACCGATTCAATGAAGTTTATTGATCATTATAAGGTAATTTGGTAATACCATGTATATAAATACATTTTAATTGTATAAGAGATTAATGATAACTAATTAATCAATTATAATAATAATAATTATAGAAATTACTTCATATTTCAAAGAGTAGCTTAGAAGCAGAAATTAGTGTGGCATTTAATCTTTAAATAATAAAAAAAAAAGATTTCAATATAAATGATGTCAAAGAAGTCGAAAAACAAATATTTCCAAACTTTTCTAAACTTTTACAAGTGGCTTTATCTATTCTTATAAGTTCAGACACCTGTGAAAGGTCGTTCTTTTCAATGAGACGAATAAAACATTGACTTAGATCTTCCGTGGCCCATGATCAATTTAAAAATGTATCTATTTTAAATATAGAGATTTAATCAACAAATTAGACGAAAATGAAATTGTAAATAAATTTGTTGAAAAAAACAGAAAAATATTGTTAATTTAATTAGGCTTTATAATAAAAATTTAATAGCTATGAACTGTATATTTCATTGATTATATATGTATATCCTTATTATTTGTGTTTATTTTGGTAGCTAGTCTGTAAGTAATAAGTGACTAGGTAAGTGACAATATTTTACTTCAAAATAAACTATTAACGACTATGGGTAAGGTCGTAAGGACTTCTAATTTATATAAATATAAATGTTAATGTTGATAATCAATATTGGGGGTGTGGGGACGAAGCCCCCATGGGTCGCTGGTATCATTAAAATTCAGCCCACCCAGAATTTGAACTCTAGTTGCGCCTATGATTGTTGCGTATTTTTGTCGCAGTAAATTTGACAAGTGCACGTGCCCGCAATTTTTTGCGGTGCAGCTTGTTAACGCACCGCATACCTATATATTCCAGGCCACAATTCGTGCACGGGCCAGCTTGGACATAGCGTTGTGCCTACCAGCATCATCAACATTAATGGATATAAAATAAAAATATACGTTTAATTTCCAATTTTCGTTCCCGAAAATAAAGTAATGTTAATAAACACTTTATTTTCTTATTATTTGTAACAGATTAGCTCATTGTTTAATAGTTTAGATTGCATTTCAATATTAATTTGAACCCCGGATTTTTGAGTTGAAACCCGTTTTAATTTTTTCGGTTTCGGGTAAAAACCGAGTGCACATATTTTTCGGATTTCGGTTATTGATTTTTAACTGGTTTCAAATTTTTGACAAACACATAAAAATATTTAAAAAAAGGAATCAATAATTATAAATGGTTTTATGCATTTTAATGAATCATAAAAATGTAGGTATTATTATTAAAAATTGAAATGACTTATGTAAAACATTTTGAATTTAGAACTAGTTGATACATCAAAATTACTTAAACATTTTTTTTAGGTATCCCAATATGATGTTCAAAATAGGTGTTGTTTTTAAAAAGAACATGTATTGTACTATGCATGTACATAACGTAATGATAACATTTTGAAATTGTTTAATAAAATTCTAATTTTTGTTTTTAATTGTGAAATTTTGTTTAGAGAAAATCCCCCATTCCCCTTGAAAATCTAAATACGGCTCTGCTTAATAACATTCTTTCAATGGACCGAGTATAGGATGGAATACAAATTTTTTTTGCCTTATCTAAAAAAAAAAAAAAAAAATACAAATATAAGCACAGTATTTAAAATATCATAAAAAATACTTTATGATGGTAGTGTTTAAAAATATGTTCAATACTTTAAAATACTTCACAACACTGATTATAATAATGGTTAACTATGTATAAATTAATATTATAAAGCTTTTTTAGTATTAAATATTGTATAAAAAACCAATTTAATTTTGAATTCATACATTTTAATCATAAAAATATATGCATACTAATATTGTACCAAGTTTTAATCATAATATAATTTTTTAATACTCAGATAAATGCTTAACAATTGTTTTTCTTCTTTTCTGTAACGGAAAAATTTGATGGTCCAAGTGAAACTATTTTAGATAGATTATACTGTATTTTATCTTATTTAGGTGATAAACTCATAATAATTATAATTACTTATACATATTTTTTTTTGAACCATTGAATACAAATTATGTGTTTTAATTTTTAAACACAATAAACAAATAATAATACTAATATTTATTATTTAAAAATATCTCAATTCTTATTAGGTATTGAGTATAGAATTCACTTTTTTAGGGGATTTCTTTCCCTTGCTAACATACCTTTTTTCCGTAATTCTAGTATGTTATTTATATCAAATTTTAGTTATTTAAATTAATTAATATCATAATCATACAATAAAATGTAACATTTAAATGTCAATTAACCTTAATGAAACTTTAATTATATTAAATGGAAAATTAATATTTACTGGAACAAATTTACCTACTATTATTTTCCAGTTTTTAGTTATTATAGGTGCTGGAAGAAGTTAGGAAAAGAACCATTAAAAACCAAATGACAAAATAAAACATTCATAAAAATATGTTATATTTAAAAAAAAATAAAGCTATAAATATATTGACAAATAATAAATGTACTATGTGTATATAATATAAACACAGTTTATAGTTATATAATTAAAATACTTTTATTGCACTGTAAATTAACTTTATTTATCTATATAATTTTTTTTTTTTTTTTTGGATATAATACTTTAGAATATATTCTTAAGATCTTATAATTTGTTTCTTTAACATATATAATATCTAAGTTTAAAATTAAAAATATGTAAAGTATAAAAATAATTTTAATTTTAATCTATTATACTGAGTAATAAATTAATTTGGCCTAATAAAAAATTAGGAACAATTATAATTCAAATTAATTTATATGACAAATATTATTTACATTTACCTATTTATGTAAATAAGAAAAGGATAATTCATACATTTAATACCATGGATTCATGATTAATAAAAAAAAGATGTAACAATAGTAATAACATAATTAAGAAGATAACATTATTAAATATTTAAATCAATAATTTACGAAAATAATTATAAAACAACTTCTGCTTAGTTAATGAAAAATTGATCATCATAATTACTTTAAAGAAATCAACATTTAGATCTATACTTTAAAATTATAATAAGTTAACAGTGAACAATAAATTTAATATTTTTAATAAAATTTGAAACTTAATACTATGATTAAGTTTAAACTTATTAAACAGTACACCAGTCTTACTATAATACTATTATTTAGTCTAAATCAACACCTGAATCCACCTTCTACTGCATACTAAGATTTAAAAATTTAGGCGTTTTACTTATTCGTTTGGCACCTGCAGACTCCCAAATTGTTACTGTTCCATCTTCTGATGATATATATAAATGTTGAGAATCACTTGAATAGATAATACTGCAAATTCAACATTATTTAAATTATATCTAGATTGTTAACTACTAATATCAAAGTTTATCCAATAAACTCACGCTATAACTGCTCCATCAAAATGAATTATTGGTATTTCATTGACAAAAGATAAATCCCAAGTACTCCATAATCTATCAAAGAAAATATATGATTTTTAATTCAAATATAAAATTTACTAATTTTAACTTTCATTACTTTACACTTCCATCTTCCAATCCTGTTGCAATTATATTAACAGAAATTCCTTCAGGAGCATTGGAAAAACAAACTGAGGTAATTTTTTTGTCGTTTTCTAAACTACCAATATAATTAGCATTAATAGATTGTAGAGTCATAACAGATTTTTTAATATCACTGTTGTATATGATTGTAACTATATCACCAAGGGTTTCACTAATTGCAACTAAATTTATCTAAAAAAAATTATAAGAATTTAGAAAAATATTAAAATAAAATTTCAATATATTTAATTACTGGGTATAGCATGGGCTTTAGTGATCTCACATATGCAATATCATTAAGATCCCAAATAATTGCATTTCCGCCAGTATCACAACTAACAGCAATACTAAATGCAGGACTTAGAGCTATGCAAGAAATTTCAGCTCGATGACCAACTAAAACCGTTGGTTGTTCAAATATCTCTACATTACCAGCAATAACATCAAAATAAAATCTGCAATAATAATGTTTAATATTCTATTAAATAATATAACAATAAATAAATTTGAAGTCAATTAATATATACATATGGTTTAAATTCTGAGCAATTTACTTTATTCTTAAACATTTTTCTTTTCCTATTTTTAAGACAAACATTTTGAATTGTTAATTCTTCATTAAAAATTACAGCACCTTTTTTTATTGTAATTTAAACTCCAATGATATGATGAGAAAAGTAATTTTAATTTCCTCAGCAGATTTTTTAAATATATGGAAAATGATAATTTTAAAGATTATTAATGATAATAATTATCTTTAATCTTAAAGTTTGGATCTTTATTAAAATATGTTTTAAATATAATAATCAATGAATATTGGATTTGAAGATTTTTGAATTAATAATATTACTATATTAGATTTGATATCCATACATATATATTACCTAGTATACCTAACACAGATTATAATTATTTTTTGGAAGTAATAATTAATCATTAATTTTATGTAAAAATAAATAATATAAATACAATATACAATCAGAACCAGTATCTTGATGGATTTTTTTTTAGTCAACATTTTAAGATTTATCCACACAAATAATTAAAGTTTGTATAAATAAATATTAACTAGTAAATAGTTTTCAAAAATATAAAAAAAATTGATTTAAGGAACCCAATCTGACAGTTATCATTACTTAATACTTAATAAAATGGTATATGAATATAAAATAGTGTGCTAAAATTATATTACTTGTACACATGTATGATCCCAGATTCAAAACCAATCCAAATGTATGGGCAATGTGGTGCAGAAGCTATAGTGCAAACTTTGTCTGTGGAAAAAAATTGAAATGCTGGTTTGGATGGGGCTTCCTTGCGTTGTTTAATTCGAACTACACTATCAAATTTATTCCAAGATAATATTGCTGCAGCCATAACAGTAACTCCTTCGTTTAAAAGAGTTAAAGATTTCTCCTATAAAATTAAAAAAATGGTTAAGATTCCACATAAAGGCAAGATGCAAAATGTTAAGTGTCTTTAAATAACACAAATTTCATTAAAATATTTGAAAACTATGAAATGTTTTTAAAATTCTAACAATAATTAGTAAATATTTCAAGTCATTATTATAAATATTAATATGATAAAACTAAATAACTAAAGGAGTATTCAAGATTTATGTGAGTAGACTAAGGGAGGAGGAATTTGAGAAAACTGACAGTATCTTATATGGGGAAAGGAGGCTAATTTCAAATTTGATGTCAGCTACATATATCTATCAAAATTTGAAATTAACAGGCAAAAAAAGCAAAAGTCGATGAATTACTGACAATATCAAAGACATGTCATTTACAGGGCAATATAAGAATTATGCAAGGTTCATAGACTGTTGCAGAACTAAACAAAATCCTTTCACCTGCCTACCATTTATGGCCCACTACAGTGGCGTGTTGAATTCATTTTTGGACCGGTAGTAACTGAAAATCTTTCATGGTGGTTAAAAAATCCTTAGACAAAAGATAAATTAAAATGTAAATACTTTAAATTTTCCTTAATTTTGTATGGGATTTTGTTTAAATATCCAATTTCGTCAAAATTTCATTTTATAATGCTTTTAAAACTTGTTTCAAGTTAAAAATTTTCAAAATTTAATTTTTTTTCATTGACCAGTTAACCAGTAAGATATTTTTATGTGAAATGTACTACATTTTCATGACTTTTTGTCAAACCAAGATAAACGTCACATAACTATAAATAGCTCGAAAAATTTTGTGAATCTATAAATAGAGAACAGTTTTATAGAAATTTAGTGAACATTTCTGCAGTCCTTATTTTTTGGGTTGTTGTTTTATCAAAAATTGATGTGCAGCAAATGTTGTTGTTTTTACTTTGGTTTCTATAAGTTTTTTTTTGCTGTTATGTATTAAAAAAATTATTGGAGAATTTCGTCAAATGAAAACCAAAATTAGACAACAATGCTTATCAGAAATCCATGATAATCTGACCAATCTAAATCAAGTACATGGACACAAAACAATGAAACATACAGCTAATACATTCCTTATTTCATACATACTAAAAATAATAAACAAAAATAAAGTATTAAATTTACTTTTGAGTATGTTAAAAGTAAAGCAGAATTTTTTGAAAGTCCAAATACATCATTAGTAAGTAATGGTACAAAGTCAGAAACTAGAGTCTTGTGTTTTCTTTTCCAAATATACATGGGTGTATTTTCCTCTGGAGATCCAACATAAGTTCCCCATTTTAAATTGTTTACACCTATAATATAAATAATTATAAGATCTCATACAAAATAAAATGTAAATGAACAACAAGTACTATTTACAAACAATAATTTACCATTAATAACATTTCGAAAATTGGTCGGTTTCGATATGTTTTTGGGTGCGTAATCATCAACAGTCATTGGATGAGGAAAACGAAATAGCTGTCGTGGAGTTTGTCCATAAGTATTTATCATAGTTTTGAATGCAGATCTTGCAACTGGATCTTCTGTTTCTTCTATATGTGATCCATAATAAGTCGCTGGATGAAACACATTAATTGCATCTATAGCCGCTTTACCAGTCTGTTTGTAACCAAATATTAAGTCTATCCAATGTGGTAAGTTTTCGCTAACTATTTCAGATTCTAAAAGTTGCCTTCATATGAAAAAATGAATTATTAACTATTACTAAAATAATTGGTTAATATTTTTTTTCAAATAAATATTTAAAAAAAAAAACTCACCTTTGAATAAGTACAAATAATCTAGGATTATTTTGTGCCCAAACAGGTAATTTCACATCATCAACAATTTCTCCGGATTGTTTAACACCAAAATTTAATTGTTCAAAGTTTATGAACATTTCTGGTAAATAGTAAAATTCTGGTATAAGTTCTTTCAAGTCGGTGGTGGATTCATCAGATGATAAACGCCAAGTGATTTCCATTGAATGAAATGATCGATCAGGTACATCAAAATTATTATCCTATTAACAAAAATTAAATTAATTTCATTTTTATGATTTTAAATTATTATTTATTACCTGATATTTAATAAACATTTGAGTGTATGGTGGAACTCTGATCAAAAAATGTAATATTGTACCCGAATTACTATAATGAGAACTATAGTGATGTGGATCTGTTCCAAAACGTTCAACTTCTTCTTTCAAATACTAAAATGAAGTAAATTACACATGAATATTAAATTAAAAAAAAAAAAAAAAACTTTTACATTATAATGTTGAATATAATGATCTTCTTTCTTTTTATTTTGAATTGCCATAGGTCGTTTTAAATTTCTATAAAAAAAATAAAAAAAAAAATTGAATTTTATATTATTTACTAAAAAATACAATATTTTATAGTCTACCTGTAAGTAGATATTTGATTTAAATCTAATTCTGGATCAGTGTAACTGGCTAATACAAATGGCATAACAGGATATTGCATTAAATCATTATATGAACGTGCAGCCATTTTATTCAGAATAGACAAATATTCCATATTAGTGATTTGACGAGTTCTCCATAAATCTACTGTTTCACTTAAAATCTCATTGGTAATCCGGTTCGGTAATGAAAAATTCAATAGGTAATTTCCAAAATCATCTCTTTCCTGAGCACAAAAATTAACTTTATTCATAGTCATATATTAAAATGAAAATTATTAAATATACTTTTTGAGAATGAAAAGCAATTAAATATGTTTTTCCATTAGTAAGAAAAATTTCTACAGCTTTTTCCTTTAGAGAATATCTTCGGTTGTGTATTTCTTTAATTTCATCAAATTTAAGAACATGAGAATAATCATTTTGGAAAGACTATAAAAATCATTTAAATTAAAATTAATAAATTTTAGTTAACATTTTTATTTAATTTATTATGTACACTAGCTGCAGGAACAATGTAAATTGCATTTTCACTAATTAAAACTTCACATTTAATTATTTGCCACGGATGCACTAATTTTGCAGTGCACATGTATGAAATTTTTTCTTGTGATAATAAATTCTCAACAACAGCAGAAGAAACAACTTCTAAATCATTTGACAATAAATAGTCTAGAGGTCTTTTGATATTATTTTTTTCTACAAATAAAAAGTTAAAAATCAATTAAAAATCCATAACTAACATAAAAATAATATTTACCAGCTTTATGTGAGTGTTCAGGCTTAAAGAATCGTTTTAATATATTTAAGTGACATCTTTGAAGTCGAATTCGCATTCTATTAGGTCCTTCTGTTGGATTTAGTTCCCATGATCTAAAAATAAAGGTTATATGAATATAAAGGTATTAAGAAAAGATATATCAGAATATTGTTTACGAGATATACTGTTTACGTTGGATATGACTCAGGAAAGTACCAAGGCGCCTTTTCATGAGACATTTGATTGATAATAGTTTTCCATCGAATTGTAGCTTGTATGATATTCCTATAATTTTTTTTAGCTTTTTCAAGTACAAGTTTTCTTTGAGAGTTTTGTTCATCAGATACAACTGTTGTGATTTTCATGGCTGAATTGCAAATTATTTTTATTGTATTGTCCCATTTACAAGCACTTCTAAAATTTAAATATACACTTCATTTTTTTAACAGTTCTTATAATATAAATTTAACTTAAAATAAATGATTATAGATTAAAATTTATAATTAAGTTTTTGTAAATGAAATTAATTTTCAGAACAAAATTTTTAAAAGTTTATAAATATATGATGTTTAATAAAAATGTATAAGTTTAAAGCTATATATGAATAATTTTAGAAAATATAGGAATACTTTTCAATATTGTCCTTATGATTATTATCAATTTCATTTAATTCAACATTCATTTGTTCTACAATATGATTTATTTGGGAATGCCATTCATTTTCATAAACAATTCCATTACTGTCAGCAGTCAATAATTCTAATTCAATAAGATGTTCTTTCAATGCTTCACATGTGCATTTTTCTTCTTCAGTAAGTGGTACTGTTAATTCAGCATTCATTAACGAATACAAATACACATAAAATCTTTGTTCAATCTAAAAATTAATATTTATATTTATATATACAAATTAATATTAATAAAATACATAAATTAAATTAAGTCTTAATTGATTTAAGTCTTTAAACAAATAAAAACATGTTACTTTGTTTAAATTTAAATGTTAATATTATAATATAAAATAATATGTTCAGATCATATTCTCAATCAATATTCTTTCAACTTAACTATGGTAATCAATTTAAGTCACTTCTAAGAAATGTCATATATATATTCTTTGTTTTGATTTTTCTAGTCCATCCACATATACATCTTATTAACCCTATCTATATTAAATGTCTACTCTGTTCTATCCATTAAAATTATCATCTAGATAACATTACTTATCTCACTAAAGTTCTATGCTATTTACATTGTTATCTTACTAGTAGATATTAATTTATCTATTTCTATTAATTAAAATATAATAAACGTGGCATATCTCTTTAATTTATCTATCAACAATTCATCCATTGTTTCGTGTTCTATTTAGAACCGACCATTGTTCTGCAACCCTGAATATAAATACTAGAATCTGTTTACTTAACTTAATATATTTTTATTTATCTTTAAAGCTTCTCTTGTCCTATTACCTGTGCAAACTTAATAACTTATCAATTTATAACCATCATCTTTAAAAGTATTTTAATGCTCCTTTCTCATCAAAAAATACTTTTCATAAAAAACAAAAATGTATCTTTTAAAATAATTAATAATTTACCTGAGGATTAATATATATAATATTTTTAAACAATTCTTTAGATCTAGGTTCATTCAATAATGACTTAACAGCAAACATACGTATCCTGGTTGTTTGATGTGGACTTAATAGCCACACTAATAAATTAGCTCCTTGAATTCTAAAAAAAATACATAAATGCTAAACAATTTAACCTTAGATTTTGAAAGTTCTTAATATTTAATCATTCTAACATATTTTTTTATAATTAATACAACACTTTCAAGTATTATACAATTAAAACTTCATTAATATTATAATTTTTCAGTTTTTATTAATATTATAAAAAAGATTTTCATTGTATAAATATAGTATACACATGATAATTTATATCATATATGAATGCAAACACATTTTTAGCAATATGTATATGATAATATAACTAAAAGTTTTGATTATTGTTGACCACTGTCATTAATAATTTATCATATCCTAACAAACACCCCAACTGAACAATTAATTAAATTTAGAATTTTTTTAAGTAGAATAGTTATCTGGATAGATATTTTTTATTATCCCTATAGTTTTAAAATAATTTTGGTACCATTGAAGATCTATATACATCTCTCAACTTTAATCACAATACACTAAACCAGGGATCTTCAACCTTTTTATGCAGCGGACTACATATTATTTTTTTTAAATCTTGCATTCTTAGTAAAAACATGTATTTTATATTAAAATTCAGTTTTATTCTTACAATTTTTAAAATTAATTGGGCACATTTAAAATTATAAATTATTATTATTATTAAAACATAAATAAATATTTTTTTTTAGTTACAATTTTTTTATTTTATTTTTAATGTGAAAACATTTAAAATGTGATCTCGGGCCGCATATTATGACAGGGCGGGTCGCAAGCGGCCCGCGTGCCGCGAGTTGAAGACCCCTGCACTAAACAACTAGGGGTAGGCCGATCCTATAACCGATAATTGGTATCAGCTGATACTCGTGGTATCAGATATATTGGTATCAGTTTTTTTTTATAATGAATATTGGAATTGATAACGCAAAAAAAAAAATGACTTAAGACTCGATAAAAAAAAAAAAAAAAATAATAATAATAATCATTAAATAAAATAATGAATACCTGGTTTTCTAAAAATATCATACCAGTCTAGGAATTATATGAAATAACTTTTCAGTAAAAAGCCAATACTATTTATATCACACATATATAAATGTATAATATATTTACAAGATAGACTAAAAATGTAAATAAAGACAAAAATAATTCTTGTACCTTATAATATCACGAGCAGCTCCATAAATAGATACCCAAGGTTGTTGCCTTTGTTCTCTTGTATTTTGTATAATACTGGTAAGATTATATAAAAGGATTGTAAATAAATGGCATGCAAAAGCAACTTCAGGAGAAACTTTGTCATTAAATTGTTCATCTAAAAACAATATTATTATTATTTTAAATAGGCATTTTATTATAATATTTATATTATTTGACATACTTAAGGCAAAAATAAATTCAACAGATCTATTAATTATATGTTTATATCTTTCAATTAATTCTGTTTTAGATAATGGTTTTTGACGATTATAATTAGATGCCATACTAAATAGGCTTGATTCGCTGTTGGTCATATAAGGATCATTATATGTATCTTTTATGCTGTTTAATGATAACACTATATATATATAAAAAAAAATTGTTGAAACAAAACTATAAATTATAACTCAATAATATAAATATATATGTACCAGAACTTAGATTTTTTTTCAACCGTGATAATGCAGGCATTAATGGAGGTTGAGTTTGTATGAGCTCTTGAATAGTATCCATTCCTGATTCAAGAATAAAACGCTGTGTTTCTCTTAAGGTCAAATTAGATTTATTACCCTCTTTTGGACTTTGTATTTCTGCTTTTTGTAAATAACGACACTGATAAACAGAATCATTAAAAATCTGAAAAAATAATATTATCAGTATATTAAAAAAAATAATTTAAAAAAAATACTGTAATTATATTATAATAAAATTGTTTAACTGACTTGAATGTTGTGTATGCCAGGGGTATGAATAGCAGAAGTATTTATTGTTATTATTAATGAATTTATATCATCAACAAGTATCTCTTGTTTAGTTGAATCTGCATGAACTGGAGAATTTGAGTAAATACTTGCTATTGTAGACAAAGTTTTTAGTAGACATTCCATCAAACCATACTCTAAAATAGTATGCAAGCATTGTGGAACCTACAAGTATTATTAAAATGAATATTATAAATATTTGATTAGTTATATTTTAATTCTTACTTTAGAAACAAGTTTGAGGAAAAAGTTTATTATATTCGTACACAATGTTAAATTAAATGCAGATTTCGGTAAAAGTGATAGCAACAATGGAAGTGCCGAAAAATTAAAAGAACTCATGTCAACAGATTGGTCCCACTGCAATTGTTGATCCATAGGAACCCAATAACTACCAGTAAATATTGAAGCACAAGTATCAACTAAATTAACTGTAGTTTGATGTAAGCACAAAACATTGGCCATTTGATAAAATCCTTTGAATTTATAAACAAATTTTTTAGCATATGATGGACTACAGCGTTGTAAAAACACATTTATTATCTGAAACAATAAACATCTATTTAAAATACAACAATCATGAAATACTTCAACAATTAATCATACTTACTTTTAAAATAATAATTCTTACTGAAGGACTTGGGTTATTAAGTAAAATAACCATTTTTTCTGCATCAAACATTTTATCAATAAGATTTTCAGGTACAATGTTTGAAAAATTAATTAAAGTATTTCGTAATATAGAAAATAAACCTTCGATTATTTCACTATTATTTTCAGTATTAGCATATTTAAATTGTTTATTTTCATATGATTTTGTCTAGAGTTAATATTTAAAATCATATTATTAAATTAATGTAATTAAAATGTTTAATATTAATAATAGACTAATATATTACTTACTTGAGCTTCAAAATATACTTCTGCTTCACAAGCATTACTACAGTCATAAGAAATGTTACTTTCATCTAATAGGATAGGCACTGAAATATCTTTTACACTACCATCTATGCCTGAATCCTGACCGGTTTCTTCTGGAATAAAATGTTCACTATTTTCTGATGTTTCTTCACTAACTTTTGATGAATAAATGTTAGTATGATTATTTACTGGTAATTCTTGTTGTACCTACAAGACAAAAGTTATGAAATTAATTAGAAAAAAAATATGTATCAAAATATTAAAGATCTATTTATTTTACCTGAAGTTTTAATAATTCTGTATTTAATATATGACTATCAATAGATCCACAAAAGTCAGTCTCTGAGTAATCATTTAAATGTATTTGTTCAGATTCAGATTCATGAAATTCTAAAAATAAAAATAAAAACTTTAAAATTTTAAATAATTTTAAATAAAAATATATTAGTAAATATATACCTGATGATATATGAATATGAAAATCAGGTGATGTATAAATTCTTGATTGAGGAGACAAAACAAAATACACAGATGCTTTTAAATGAGGCAAATATAAATTTGAAGTGGGATGTACAGCAATTAAGAAGTCTAATATTAAATTTATATAATTTTTATTCAATTGTAAATCAAAAATACTTTGTACAAAATCCACCAAATCTTTTTGTACATAACTTGACAATGTAGTTTCATTTGAATCTTCTAATAATAATTGGCACTACACACAATTAAAATATGATTTTAATATATATATTCAATAAAATTAGTATTCAAATTATACTTAATTACCTTTATTTGCAACAAAATTGATTCTAATAATTCAGATGACTGAATTTGTTTTAAATTAAATTTTCTATGTGGATGACTTGATGATAAAAGATGTTTACAAAATTTGAAAAGATATTGAATAATTTGTTGATTTTTAGAAGTCCATATCTTCCAACATGGCAAAATTACATCTTTAATAAAACAAGTATTTAACAAAACTCCTTCGTAGAACATATTAACTATCCATTCTTCATTAACATAAATAAAAGCCCCTTTTTTATTACAACCAGCTTCCAGGAGGACCTTTAAATAAAATTAGAATTAAAATAATGATACAGTATTTAATACAAGATTAGATATTTATATACATACCATTAATAGTGAACAGCTAGGTTGAGTTTTTGAAGAAGTCAAAGCTTTTGTCAGTAATTTATAACCATCGAGTGCAATAAATTCTGAATATAATTTAGAATCAGACTGCATAAAATGTAACATAATTCTTAATGCTTTTACTAGATCATTAGAAGATGAACTAAATTCTATAATCTATTTAACAAATTATAATTAATAACTAAAAATAAAAATACAAACTACATAAAATTAAATTTATAATTAAGTAACTAATTTACCCTAGCATATAAAAATAAAATCAATGGCATGCCACCTATTTTATGAATAACAGTTATTAATCCATGTGGTTCATCAATTGTAAGAGACCCAACAATAACTGTTGATACCATTTGAGGTGGACTCTGGCATGCACGTAAATCATAAGCTGTCATCTTGAACATTAATGGTTGAGTTGGTGGAAATAAAGAACCTAAATAAAATAGTGAAATAAAATATTTAAATACTAACTTATAATATATATATATATTTATATATATATATAGATTTTATGAGAACTAAGAATGTATTAGTTTTCTTTAGTTTTTTTATATTGGTTATGATGTGTTAATGTTAATTTTTTTGTTTGTATACATGATTAAAAAGTAAATTGACCTTATTAAGAAATTTGGTTTGACTACTATATCTTTAGAAATATAAACTAATCCAATATAACTTATTCATTCAAAATTAATTTTTCAATAGCAATAGTAAATTGGTTTTAAATTCAAAAGACCAATACAAAAATATAATTTACTCGCCTGTCCCTGTATCTCACTCATTTTTAATATTTATTTTAAATATAAATAAACTTTTATTAAAATAACAATATATAAATAATTTATTTAGTTTTAATTTAAAAAAATATTGAATTAAAACTCTGAGATATAAAATAAAATTGATCAAATTCAACATATTAATTGTTTATTAGTATGAAATTCTATACACAAAAAAAGACAATACTTCTAGGTTGGACGACATTTCATAGCTGGATAAGATACATGGATTATTATTATTATCATATGACCATTATTAAATGCAATATGATTAAAATATTATAATATTACTACTTCTAGTTAATTGGCAAATTAGAATAAGCAAATGAATAACTTTATAAAACAAATATAAAATATACATACAGAGATGGATGAATGATATTACTATACCAGTTTTTTAAACTTAAAACCAATGTATCATGATTACTCTCAAAAATAATTTTAAGCGAAAGAGGTTGGGCAAAAAATTGTTATACATTGCTTAATATAATTATAGAACTAAATTTCTCAGCAAAGTAAACTGAACTTTTAATGTTATAATTTTTGTAAAAATAAAAAAAGAAAAGAAAAATAAAGCATATAGGTACATAAATAAATAACATTAAAATGTTATATTTTTTTCTGTTATCAAATTATTTTTTGAGTTACGATGAAAACAAAAATTTGATATTTAAATTACTTCCATTATAGTAGTGATAAAAAAACATTACTTATAAGAGACTCTTAGAATTTTAATGATTGGAGCAATTTTTCTGGTCAAAATTATGTACGAATAAAAAAAACATATTATAGTAAACCAATACATTTCTCATTTTACACAGAAACTAAAATAGATAATTAACATATCAAAAAAAATAAAAAAAATAAAAAAAATACCTGTAGGGTTTGGCAGAGTCAGTGAATACAAACAAACAATAAGTGGTTGTCTTGGAGTAAAACTCAATAAAATGACATCCTGAATACATAAACAATCATAATATAATAAATTTAACAATGAATTTAACTTGAAACTAAATTTCACAAATAATTTAACAACTAATCAAAAATTTTTATCAAGTTAATTAATTTTTAATTACCTGCAATGGTTTAATGATTTCATAACATTGTTTTAACATGAAATTCCAATCTAAATTAGAATTTAATGATGTATTAATATTATAAACAGAATCATTGAATAACATGCTAAAATTTGGCTTTAACGGGTTGTTTGAACAATCAGCTAGATTTTCTAACTCTGGTCCAAATGCTGCAAGTACACTGGCACACTCTATTGTCAATACTGGTAATCTAAACATTAGAATGTTTCCAATAGAAAAAGGTGAAGTATTTTCTCTGGTATCACCTAGTAAAACATTTGATGGACGAGGTTTTTTGATGAAAAATCCATTAAACAATAATTTGGCTTTAGTTTCACAAACCCCATCAACTACAAGAGAAATCTAAATAAAAATAAAAAGTGTTTTTAGTTTTTTTATATACAATTTTAACATTATAACATTTATGATAAATTTACCTCAATAAATTTATCGCCTTTTCTAATACCATTCACATTTACAGCGATATGATGCCATGCAATTGAACCCAAGCAATTGTTAAAGTTGACTTCGGAGAGTAATTCAAATTTATTTTCATTTGGTCTTGTAAGTCTTACAATAAAACCATCAGTAAATGAATTCAACCAAAATTCGACAAGCATTGCATCATATCCAATAGAAAACACATGAGTTAAATCATCTAAATGAATTAATTCTTTATGTAGATGTTGATCTAGAAATATAATATAATTATAATTATTTAAATTAATCGAATTAATATTAATTGTATTAAAATGGATTATTCTAATGATTTTACTTTTTCCAATTGATTCTACAGAATTGTTTCTTTTAATACTTATACGTCTATGCACATGGTCTAAACGTAACCACATTGATATTGAAAAACCGGTTGATAATACTGACCAACCAAGATCTGTATTTATAGGTAAACTTAAAGCAAATATTGACCATGGTGTTAAAAGTCCTTAAAAACAAACAAAAGAAATAAAAACAACTAATAAAAATAATATTTTTACTTTCATACTCATATCTTTGTGGTTTTCTCGAGTTGATAATGCTAATGCTTCAGCAGGTCTATCACTAATCGGTATATCTGCAGCTGTTTTCATAGGAAATTTAATACTGTAATATGACTGCCATCCAATTGGTATATGATCAGTCAAATAAATTAATGGCAAGAGTAATAAATTCTAAAACCAAATAAATATAAAAATACTCTAAATTTCACCTTTAAATTATATCATTAAAACTTGTCTTACAAGAGGAGGATTATTTGTTTTAAATAAGTTTAAATACATCTCAAGTTCAAATGTTTCAATATAATGACAGGCTATTAAAGCTATAAGTTCCATCATGTAAATATAAATTGTATCATCTAAAGTAGAACAAAATATTTTATGAGTAATTTAAATAAAATCAATAACAAAAAAATAATATTCTCACAATTATTGGTTCTTTCAGCATTATTTACGTGTTCTTTAATACAATTTAATAATTTGGATATAAGTCCTTCTTTACCAAGTTTTAAACAACTATCATCATTGTCTTTGCAAATTGCAATTAATCTTTGTAAACAATAAATTATTCCATCTACATTATCAAGATTTCTATATATATAAAAAAAAAAAAAAGTTCATTGAATACAAAATAATTTAAAGATGTATAAAAAAAAATACCTAGCAAAAGTCATTAAGTCAACAGCCAATGTACACAATGCTGGATGCATAATATTTAATTTTTTTGTATCGGTATGAACATTTTTATGAGGTATTGTTTCATCTGCAGTTCTAAAAACAACAAATATGACACATATGTATACAAAATAATAATGGTAATAATAAAAAACATTTAATTTGTGTGTTGCTCTCTTTAACCAAATATATCATATAATCCAAGAGATTTTTTATATTATAATAAGTAGTAACTACAAGAATAAAAAGCTAGAGGTACGTGAAGGGACTTTTAAATTAATCAAAGGAAGATAGGAAGCACCAAGGTACCATATTCCAGATTTTGCAAAACTCTAAATTAGCATTAACTCTTCTTCTAACAATGATATAAGACAGTGTCTCAACATAACTAGGGAATAATCATGAAAAGGATGATTTATCTTTTATATAAACCTGTGGAAGTTAAAATCTGTTTCTGGGCATGTTCTAATGACAGGAGTCGGTACCTGTATATGAGTACCACAGGACAGTTGCATACTCCAATAGGGAACAGACAGTTTAAATTGTAATATCATATAATTTTATTAACAGTACTGTTTATTATTTTTATTATAGGTACTTACTTATCAGATGAATCAATATTTATCCAACTTTGAAACTCAATATCTGCTTCATACCCTTCATCTCCTGAAATACAATCGTCATCATCATCAAATGGCACCCAATCAGATTTGCCTGGTGTTTCTATCTCCAATAACTGTTTAAATTTTTTTAATTAAATTCAATAATATAATTATTACAAAAAATTTTCAGATAAATATAAAAATAATTGAACATACTCTAGTTAAAGATTGAGCAGTTGTTACTGAATTTACAGCTTGTCGATTCAAAGATACAGTAGCACACTTTATTAAGGAGCTACAAACTTGTTTAATTCCAATATGGCCTTTAGATAGTGCTTCAATTAACAAATCTTTGACATGAGAATCCAATGTAACTTAAAAATGATAAAATGATGTAAAAAGAAGATTTGGATGGATAAGTTTCTATTTTTAAAGATGATTAATATAGTAAAACCAAAGTATTTTTTTGGTAGGTTGAACTTTTAGTGTTCTAACTTAAGCAAATCGCTATACCGCAAATTATGTCTTTTATTTTTACTATGTAAGCTATTAGGAAAATAAAAACCATAGGCGTAAATAGCGGAGGGGGGGGGGGCTCTTTGGCTTAGCCTTCTAGAATTACTATAGCCCTTCTATAACTAATGATTTTACTATATGTTTTGTTATGACGTAAAAGGATCCAATAAGACCTGAGCTTCAACACCACTATTTGCGTTTATGAAATGATACTCATTATAGTACCAACTAAAAAACATTTTCTATCAAAAAAAATTATAGTAATAATAGGAGAAATAACTGTGGTCGAAATCAAGTACACGGACACAAGAAAAAACTCGCATTATAGGAAAACTTATAAACACCTGGTTTAGCTCATAATACGAGTATAATAAAATATAAACTTCAATAAAAAATAAAATAAAAAATAAAACACTAATTTTGAGGTACCTAAATACATTTAGATATATTAAGATACTTGTAAACTATACTTACTTTTATTTTCGAAAATTGATAAATTCAAGACAAGTAAACATTCAATAAGTTTTAAATTTATAACATTTTTGTCTTCGAGTGTTATTTCATCTATGCCTAAAAACATTAAACAAGAAATAAATATACCAAATTATACTTTTAATAAATTAAAAAAAAAATAGCAGAAATCGACTGACCTTCCACAATAACTGGTCTTGTTAAAAGTAATGATACAATGGATAAAAGAGTGTCATATTGATATACAACTGATGAAACTTGCAAATAACTTCGAATTCTAGGGCAAGTTAATGAAAGTCTAGCTAAACATTGAAATAAATCTCCTAATCTAGTTATAACACTGTTATAATCATGATACTGATCTTCAGATTTAAATGTAATTTCTTCTCTTAAAAAATCTGATAAAGCTGATAAACTATATTTAAATTTCAAATTAAAATGTACTGACTGAGGTTTTATTACATAACTACAAAATAATTCAACTAAATTAAATACTGCAGTTACAATAATATTTAAATCTTCTGCTTGACTATCGGTGATTAGAATTGGAGTAGATTTAATTTGATTTAAGGTCCACATTTTTGACATGATTTTTGTTTCCAACACATTACAAGATAATTTAGTAAAAACCGGATTAGTTATTAAATCTTTTAAGTACCTTACTCCATTCATAGAATCAAATTCTGATGTAAAATCTAGGGAAGCTAATAGTATGTTAAATACATTTAATGAAACATTGATTAGAAAACGATCAACATCGTTTTTATTTTCTTTATAGGACTTTTCGCTTGTTTTAAAAATTGGATAAAATATACGAAATAAAATGACATGTTGAACATCTTTTATAAATACTGAAGCATTTTTTGACAAATGTAATCCAATTATGTATGATAGTTTAGGACTAGATCCAGTCAACAATTTTCTAAACAGTTCAAAAGTAATCCATTTTTGTTCTTTTTTATTTTTATTTTTTTCATACAAAATCATATTACTTTGTGATGTACTTTCATCTTCACAACATAACTTGCAAGAACTGTCTCTATATGCAACTCCTGTGTCTCGATACAATGTTTTCTCCATAAGTTGTAATATCATGTAACTCTTTTTATAGTCATGGTCACCAACCATTTTTAATAAATTTGGTAAAATGATTGGTAGTGGAACACAACAACATGTTCCTATAACACTAATTGTCTTAGCCAAATAAAACCATAATTCTTTATCTTGACTGTCTAAATTGATCATTAAGCGAATAAGAATCATCGACAAAGAAGTAACACAACAATTTTGACCGGTATCTTGAGATGAAACTATGCTACTTACATAAACATCTCCAAACAGATTGTCATGATGATGAAACATAATTTTTATGCAATGTCGATGTCTGATTTTGTTACAATGCTGTAAATGTACCATACGTTGTCTTATCTTTTTCATGTTCAACACTAATAAACCTAATAAATTTATAATTATTTTAACATGGTTGGTAGACAGTTCTGAATCTTGATCTCGGACACTAAGAATTATTGAAATACATTTTTCTACGAGTTTCCCACGTTGACAGTCAAGCATTATCCGAATTTGCTTCAAAAAATGGAAATGACTGTTATATGAATGACATTCAAATAACATTAATGAAAACATCATCAATAAAGCACTTAAAACTCCAAAAAGAATTTTTTGAAGGCATGGATATTCTTTGATCTCATTTATTCTTGATTTTTTCACTAGATTTTCCAATATTTGCAATAATAAAGGTACAATACCTTCCTGAGTAATCGTTTCATTAATATTTGGATATTGATACAGCTTTTTTACAGCTAAAACCATATTATACAACATTTTGGATTGTATTATGTCATCATCCTTGTTTCTAACATCAAACTGTGATAGACATAGACTATCCAATGAGAATTTCATAACAATAAATGGTACAAATTGATGACTATTTTTTAAATTATATTTTAAAGGATTCTGAGTACCAAATGACAACATTTGGGTTAATAAATCTAAAATTAATAATTTTATTTGATTTGGAGTTGCAATTTGACTGGTAATAGCTTTAATAAGTTCGTCATAAAAGTAACCAGGATACATATTTCTTCTTTTAGTTAAATTAATTTCTTCTGAATCAGATTCATTATGTTCATCTTCACTACGTACAATAGAGGTAAAATAATCAAAATCCATTCGATTAAAACGAATACGTAATGTGCTAGGAGACTTAATTGAATCTAATGCAATTTGAGATTCTGATTCACTAGATTCTTCAACCATTTTAGATTTCTCATTAGCTTCTACAGATTGAGATTTAAACCTATGAAAATATACAAATTAATATAATAAAATTGAAATTAATTAATTTTAAAATACTTAATAATTATAAGTAACACACCTATTTGCTGATACAGAGCTTACTCGACGAGATCTTGGTATACTTGGACTTGATCTGTCATACATGGAGTTAAGTTGAATTTTTGATCTTGATTTCATGCCTTGGCATTTTGTTAATTTTATTAAGTCATCAAGTTTTAAATTAGTTTCATCTGGTGGTGAAGTATAGGGGTTAACATTTTTGACATCATAATTTATTTTTAAATCAGTATCATCATTAAATATTTTAAAAATGGAAACTAGAATATTAGCCAACTCCTTTAGCTGTTGAACATCCTAAAAATAAATAAAAAATAATTAATAAAATAATAAAACTAGTTTTATTTATAAAAAAAATTATTAGGTCAGCAATTGCTTCATTTACTCTGAACTCAAAATCCCATACATTCCCAACCTCTCACTACTACAATTACACATTCAAACACTTAAATCTCATAATTTTCAACCTCTCATCCCTTTTACAATTTGATCACCCACCACGCTGTCTTAAATGAAAATGGCCCACAAACCTCCTTACTTAACATGTGAGAAAAAAAATACAGTAATAACTATATATTGTTTAAAATTGTGAAGCGGTATCATTGGACCCCCCTTTCCATCAAGCTGTCCAGCCCAGTAAATCCTTTATTATTAATACTATACTGTATTATTTAATATAGATTGTTTATATTCATTGTAGCTCTAAAAAAAAAAAAAAAATTAAAAATAAATAAATAAAGAAAGAAAAGAAGAAAAAAATAGATAGTATATGATGAAATTGAGTACATTAACACATTTTTTTCTCTTACTTTAGTGTTATGACACCTGTAAAATCCCAATTATATTATTATTTTTTAATCCATGGGAACTTTAGCTATTGAATGTAGTATGTATAATGGAAGAGAATTGCAGGTTTTATTTTATCAATCAATAGGTTAGTATGTGAAGAAGCATGGTGATTATTGGTAGTAATGATACCGGGTGGGCGTTTAACTTAAAGAGACCATACGTCCCATTTTTTCGCATCTTTGTCCCATTGTCCCCAGGAAAATTTTTAGGACATTAAAATGTCCCATTTTAAAAATAGTAGTAAAATTAACGATAGTTAATTTTAATCTAATTATTGTTCCTACCAGTATTATATTTAACTATTATGTGTGCATGTAACGTGTATATTAGAGATGTAATGTATATTCAAATATCAGTATTCGATGATACAATACCTATTATTATTAAACGTTTTGTGTTGCGCGAAAATTTAAACGAATAATTTTCGTTGCGTATTTTATTATAGCATCGAATACTGATATTCGAATGGTCAAATATTCAAATATTTGAATTATTTACGCAAGACCTATTCGAATACTCAAATAATTCCCATCACTGATGTATATACTGTATTACTGCATGGATAACGTTGAACAGAATCGGGACTATGTGATGTATCGGAATATAACTACACTAATAAAAAATAAAAAAAACTTATTGCGGCGAAAGATGTATCAATATGGACGTATTAATCAAATGTGTTTTAATACTGCAAGATCAGTGCTAACAAATATTATTTTCATAGTTCATTATTTTGGTAATACAGTAATCATGGACCGTTTTTTTTTTTATATAAAAAAGTTGTTAATTTAAATAAAATTTAATTTTTTTGTCTCATAAAACCATAATAGTACATTATTTTATTAATAATTGTAAAATAAAAAAATTTGTTTTTAATCAGAATGATTTTTTTTTTTTTTTGTCCTGTTTAGACTAGAAAAATATATGATCACCTTAGTTTAACCTCTCAGTACTAAACAGTAACTTTGGTTAATAAACCCCCCATCATGTCCATTCAGTCATACTAATAATTTTTAATTATTTACCTAATTTATAATTTATATAAAAAATTAAAAAAACATCAATTACAAAAAAAAAAAATCTTAATATATATTAAATTTATTTTTTCTTAATCTCTATGTATATTTTACAAATATTATTTCATACATTCATTTTATATACAAATTTAAAACAAATTTAGTATGATAAAATAATTATGAAATATTACTTGAGTGCCAAGCAAATGTAAGACTGTTAGAGATCTCCATCCTCTTTCATTCAAAATATATTTCTTCAAACTAGATAAATCTTCTTCGCCAGACATAGAACATACATGATTAATATCTAACAGTAATTGATCCACTATTGCATTGGATATACTAAAAACAAAAATTTAATTTATATAAAAAAATTATCAGATTTCATAAATTTATAAATAAATTAGCAAAATTTAATAATACATTTTAATTTTATAAATATTAAGTACCTATAAATCTACAGTTTTATTTTTTTAAGTCTAAATACAAATACCTAAAATAATTTAATATGTAATGAAAATATTTTAATGTAATATATTACATAATACAGTCAACAATAAAAATCTAAAATTTCAAAAGACTAAAAAGTATAGATTATTTTAAACTTAATTAACATGACTAAACTCACAGTTTAAAATAATTCTTTTTAGCTTAGCTGTCAAAAATACAACATTTATTTAATCATTTGAAATCTAATACAATAATCTGTAATTAATAAATTATATATACAATTATAATAATGTGTAATTAGTACTTTAGCTTATGCTCTTTTGTTTGCCTAAAAATGTTATTATGTATAAATGAGCTCATGAACTAAAAAAAGTTGGATTACACTAATTTTGGCATTTACAAATTAGAATAGATAGGAAATATCTTGTTATGTTTTTTTTGATTGAATATTTGAGTTTCTACATAAGTTATCTACTTTTTTAAGAGGCCAAAAATCAGTAAAGAATAAATAATGTTTTTCATTAACTTTATAATTATATTAATTAATTAAATTAAATATTGTTTATATTAAATTCACTGATAGCATTGACTACTATCAATTTCTTAGAAAAAAATTCAAATGCTAGAAAAAAATAGGTTTATGAAATATTTATTTAAAAAGGAAGGACACAGTAGTTGCTATTGTTTTATAAAAAAAATGTGTACTCTTTATACGACTTATAAGATCCAAATACAATAACTCAAAACGGTATTAATAACTAATAATATAGGAGTGTAGAATTTTATTAAACTATTAAAGATAATAAAATTATATTTTAAAAAAATTATAAAATTTTAAGTGTAAACATTTTTGTTACTCATCAAGACTTAGATATAAAGTTTTCAATTCTAGGTAAAAATGTATAGTTATAAGATTATGGAACACTTAAAAGAATATTTGGTATAATATTTTTATAAATTACATATTTTTATGTATTACTTTAACTTAAAAGAAGTTATAACACTTCGTTATTACTACAAAATGTGATCTCATATATAATAAATATAACTAATATAATAATAACTAATGGTTTCATTATAATGAGGATAATTGGTATATAACATAATTAAATATTATTAGTTTGACTAAATATTTTTTATGTATATTTATTTCATGAAGTTATGAAAAAAGTATGTATTTTTATTAACAATAACAATTAAATAGTAAAAAAAAAAGTAAGCAGACAAATAATATGATTTGTATAATTGGCCATCTTTGGACTTCTGATTGTAAATTATAAAAACTAGATAAAAGTTAAGACATAATAATAAAAATGTAACAAAATCAGGCATTGATTTATTTTGCATTAATTTATTCTGATGCAACAGAATTATCTTGTTACATTGAACGGGTATAAAACATTTTATTTAAATATTTTTTTTTTTTTTTTAACAGAAAATAAGTGTTTTGGTAAACAAATAAGAAAATTGTTCATAGTTAAAAATTAGAGATAATTTAAAATACAACATAAAACTTGTATTAATTACATAATATCTAACATCTATAAAATTAGGGTAAACATAAGTTATTACTTCTGCTACAATTCTAAGTTTATAAAAATTAATATTTAACTGTATAAAATATATATCTTGTTATCCATCACTATATATTTCTAATTGAATACTTGACAATAGTTAATATACAAATTATAGCTGTTTGTTAATTACAAACAATTGAGGTATGTTGTATGTTTTATGAATTTATTTATTTAATAATTTATAACTACAAATGTAGATTTGTGTTTTTAAGAATCTCCTTGTGAGCTTTCATTTAAAAATTAAGTCTATTATTTTGTATACATACAATTAATTAAATAATTGATAAATTATTGAAAATCAACTTGTAGTTATTATTTTTAAATATTGGTCAATATTTAAAACGGATAATTAACTAATTTTACAAAATAGCTTATAAATACTAATACATAATTTACTTTTTAAGTCATATTCTTGGAAAAAAAAAAACAGGAAATAAGTTTTACAAATACTTCATAAATTTAATAATAAATAGTAGTACAAATATATTATATTTTTTGATATGAATTAATGAGTAATACTAATTAATAAAAAAGTTTTACATTCATTTTTTATTTATTATTAAAAGGGCACAGAATGTGTTATGCGAATGACCTTAAACAATTTTATCTTTTCTGATATCGTTTAACATATGAAATAATTAATTGTTCCTTCTTGAATCTCATTTTCTGGTGTATATATGTACTATGTTTAATTAATTTTTTTTGATGTTTAATTTCATCATCCATATTTTATACATATAATTAGTGATATAACTAAACAATGCTAAATTTAAACTTAATAATATTAGTTGCCAATTTAATAGAAATTTTACCTATTTAATTTAATACCAATTTTATTACTACAATGATGTTTTGTTTAAATACTTTTTTACTCTAAATAACTAAAGACTATACATTGAGAACAGTGATTACTTTCTCGAGTAATTTTTTTTACATCACTTATTTTAACATAAGATAATGGTATATCTATATATTATAAATATAAACTAAGAATGTTTGTTTGGGCATGTGATGAGAAGAGAGGAAACAAATACAGTAGGAGTTATTATGAAAATGAACATTGTAAGGAAAAGAGGAAGAGGAAGACTAAAAAAATAAATGATTGGGAACAATTGAGAATGATATGAGGACTGTTGATGTGTGTGTAGAGGATGTAAAAAATCAAGACAAGTGGACATTTAGGACATGGGTATTCGACTCTAAATAGTTGGGAAAATGGTAAAAAAGTATAAGATTTATTACAATATATTATAAATTATTTAAATATTTTAACTGTTAGTTTAGGTGACTTACACTTAAAAAAGTAACGAGTTACACCTAAAAGGAGTAGAAAACTAACAATTGTCTTACTGAGCAATGTTGGATAATTCAGCCAGTTAATAAATATGAATAAATAATATAATATAGACCCTGAGATTACATATTATTGTTGTCTTATCAAGGCTAGATTAAGTAGGGTTTTAGCTCGAACGGCAGCCTAGGAATTCAAATCAGCAAATATCCTAAAAATAGTTGGGCTATACATGCTACTATGACATATTGATGACTATTATATTGACTTTTATATTTATTAATAGTATGTTTTGTTTTAAAACTTTTATTATTAAGATTAAAAAAAACTTACAATTATTTATTTTTGATTGAAAAGAGGGTTTGGAAAGATATTAATCCAGTTTTGCGTACAATTTAAGAAAATAATAAATTTAAATAGGTTGTAAGACTTAAAACATAAATATATTTTATTTTTTAAAATAAATATAAAATTTTTTTGGAAAATAAACACACTTACTTTGTTTTGTTAAATACAAATAATATAAAAACATTCATTAATTATCTAATTCACAATATTTTGATTTTATTGATAACATTTATTAAATAAATTCTAGTACTAATACAGTTAACAAACATTTTATAAAAAAATATAATACACATATGATATATTATAATGATACACAAATAAATTAGAAATATTATTTATAGTAAAAATAATAACCACTTATGCTAATGTTTTAGCACTTGATAAATTATAACTTTATTTTTTTATTATTATTAGACATACAATCTGTATATATTAACACATGCATATACAGTGTATGGGATGAAGTGGTTATTCTAAGAAGGATTAGCTGATTTTATTTTATAAGAATAATGTATAAAAAATTAAGGAAAGGCTCATATTTATAGATGGTTTATACAAGATGAATAAGATTAGAATTTTAAGATAAGACTTCTAAACAGTTGTTGACAAACAACATAACAAACAACTAACATATTTATCTTTTAAACCCTTTATTAACTTAAATATTATTTAGTTGAGATTAATTTGTAATAAATAAAAATAGTTTTACTTAATTAATTGATAGATGCAGTAAAATAATAACAAATTGTATAACTAACTTGATCAAAAATATCTTAAATATAATCCCAAACATGATAAAAATGAAACCCCATTTAATCAAATGGATATAATGGTTGAAAAAGTAACAAAAACTTTTATACAGTTGAGTCGCTATAACTCGAAAAGCTTGACAACTCGAATTGTGTTTTATTCCCTTAAAAAATTTTTCCCCTATAAATTAGTTAGATATCTCGAAGTGAATTTTTATCCCCTTTCAACTTCGAGTTATTGCAACTCGACTGTATATAGTTTTAATATAATTAACTATTTAATAGTGCAAAACTTATTTTTATAAAATTTACTCCAACTATTATAAATATATACTCACACACTGAAATAATATGTAATATACATAAATAGAGATTGTAAAATGCATAGTTAAGATTTTAGATTTAAATTAGAACTGTAGGAATAGATCCACAGACCACAATCCCTGTGTTCCATCTACACTCTAAATTATTATAAATTATACTGTAACATTTGCCATAGTTTAATTTAACCGTTGCAACTAGTGTAGAATGTAATATTATACTTTATTGGTCATCCTAATGGATTTTCACTTTTTATATAAAATTAAATTGTATAAAACTAAATTGTTAAGTGAATTGAAAACTTTTTTTTTTGTATTAATCAAATAAATATAAAATTTTTGTGAATTTTATTTGATTTACACATTTTACCAGTACCCATATTTTGTAAAATAACTAATGATTAAATTCGGATGGGTTAGGTCATCTACCTGAGTATTAAAAACGTTTTACATAGTTAAATAATGATAAAATTGATTAATTTTCAAATAAATACAAGCAATCAACATAAGAATGTTATTAGATCATATGTTATCAATTTATTATACCATTCATGGCCAATTGGATAAACGTATATTAAATAAAATACTTTAAAACATAACATTTATTTTTATAAAAGTAACTTAAACTGTTAATTTAACTGAATATTTTTTACTGAATATGCCATTATATATTTATAAGTATATTAAATAGCAATTTTTTTTCAACTCCGGATAAAAAACTATTTATAATTATTTTAATAGTTTTTAGAACATTAATTTCAAATTTGTTGAATAAAAATGAAAAATTGTTTTTACAATGTGATTAAATACTGGTATAGAATATATATTAAAATATAATAGTTTGATTATTTTGCATCAGTCTACAATTCTATGGTCAGTCTATCATTATATTGAAGTTAAAAATACAAAATTGATATTAATGAATACAGATTTGACATATTGTAAATTTTTAAGACGGAGAAAACACATGTGAGCATGTGAGTGTGACGACTTTTTAAGAATTAAAATTACAGATAAATTTAACAGTTTCAAAATAAGATTACACTTTTATGGTTTAAATTTTTAAATAGGTATTACTTCTTTAAAAATTAATAATAATATTATATAAACAAGTGTAGATTAAGTTTTATTAAAAGTAATTTGTATGTTTTTAATGGTAATTTATAAGTTTATGGTTAAAATTAAAATATAAAATATTAATTGATATATATATATATAGTGACAGCAAGATCCTTAATTGTCCGTTAAGCTAATGATGATGATATATATATATATATTCACTGAGGTTTTGTAAAATTCATGAAATAGTTATTTGGCTTTAAATATTTTTAAGACTCATTATAACAATAATATAAAAGTAACCACCATTAACATGGTACTTAAATGATTTAACGCTAAGTGTAACAATATTTCATATTGATTTGATCCTAAAATATTATATGATTCCATCACTTGACAATCATCTTTCAAAATTATCTTAATAACAGAATAATAAAATAATAATATTAAAATTTGAACACAGTAATATTCACAATATTTAAAATAATTTTAGGTGGTGTGCAAGTTACAAAACAAGTAGCTAGTTATGCTTCTTTACAATTTTTCAAATTTTTTTTTTTTTAAGTACTCAAAAATTGTTTTAATTATTAATTTATGGTTATATTATGAATATGAAGATGTTACACACCAAAAATAACTATATAAAATATATCAATATAAAATTAAAATTATCGGAATCCAAAATTGATTTTGTAATAACTATAAACATATATAATAATAATATATACAATAACTATAAACTAATAATAGTTTATAATTATATTAAAGTAGTTTATCCAGGATTTTATTTAAATATGTCAATAAAATAATTAAATCATTGATATCGACATTGCTTAACTTATCTAATATGATTAATATTATCAAAGGCTTCTTACAGATTAGGGTAAATTATGGACCATATACAAATAAAAATTAAATTAATTATGTATGATTTATAAGTTATCAAACAAATGAATCAATGAGTGTATATTTCATAAACTCTAAACTGAAAAATTAATTTTAGTATATATAATATTACAAAGTATTAAAATGTAAAGTAAAAATTGTATTTAATTTAGGTATATGGATATAAAACAAATCAGAAATATATTAAAGAGTTTAATTATTTAATGTTTATTTTATTTATGTTTTCAAACTATTTATTATATATTTTTCCTTTGGATAGTATAATATGAATTATATACAATTATTATTAACTTATATAATTTTATTTTATTTACTTATTTCTTAATAAATACATTTTATTTTTTTTATTTTGTGTTATATAGAAAATAAAATGTTAAACATATGAGAGTAGCTACAAAAATGAAAGTTAAAAAATTCTGCTAGAGAGAGCACATTTTATTATTATTATCAAATTAATAGTAAAATATCAGACAGTATAAAATAAATTTTATCATAATTAGCTATTAATCAAATTTTAGAAAACCAAATATATTTATAGAAGTTTATTAAACTGTTGAATAATAATTTATGAATTAATAGTAAATTTTTATAGTATTCACTCAATTAGGTATTTATTTATATGCATGAATATTTCAATCAGATGATTTAACATTTTTTATAATAAATAGTATTTTCAGAAGAAATAAAAAAAAAAAATTAATATAAAAATAATCTATGACAAACCTTGAATTCATAATAAATAGGATATTAAAAAAATGTTTGGAACAGATGTATTTTATCAAACACGAATATTTCATAGTAATTGAATAAAATTGAAACTCACTTTGCTTTTGGAATATCTTCTGGCACTCGTTTAACTTTTTGGTGTATGGACAGTATTTCGCATAGCAGTAAATCAAACCATGCAATTCTCTGTAAATAAAAAATGAGTGATACTGTGAGTCACAAAACATTGATGTTTCAACTTTTTAAAATTCAAATATTGATTTCACACGTCATTTCATTTCATTGAAACAAAAACATAGTTAAGTACTACTTACAAAATCATTTTTCAGCGCATTTCCCACAATATCGTTGCATTTCAAATAAGCCTCCCAGAAAACGTCTATCCTTGACGGTTTTAGAGGCGTTGAATAATCCATGTAACCACAGAACTTTGTGGTGATCTGCGACGGCGGTAAATGGTTGTAACGCACAACACTATATTGATCTATTTGATCATTCGCTTAAGATTTATAATAAATATCGACACCGAGAGATATAGGTTATTGAATTCTAAAAGTTGATTTTAGAATGATATTGAGACACGTTGAGGAGAGAAGCGGAAAAAAATCAGAAAAACGTGAAAGATGGCTCGACCAGTTATTATGTAACACTCGCCTAGGGTTCTACCAGAGATCTCAAACTATTAAATATTGTTGAACGTTTCGGTTATTGGCGCGTTATCACCGCACGGCTATCTCAACATATCACGTGACATAGCTTATCAACGTAGAGCGACGGGTTTGTTTATAACTAACCTAAACGGTGCACCGAGAACTTGTTTTGGTTCGCAATCCGGGACATTGTTCCGCGGCCAGTATACACGACACTACTTGCCTACATTATGTTATTATTCCATACATATATCATTGATTATAAATATTATAGATTGTTCACTGACCGGTTTTTCGATGGATTGCAAATTAATTCTCAACAGGCACTAAATTGTAAATAATTTAATATTTAATATCGACGTTATAATGATCGAGCAATACTCAGAAAAACCCGGTTTTCAATTATCACCCGTGTATAAATAATATTACCAATCATACACATATAAAGGCCAATATTATGTTTATATTTTATGTACATTATTATTATACTATATAATAGTATTTTACCTGTAAAAATGATTAAAAATGACAGAGAAAGAGGTATATTGTTATTTTACCGGATGTCCAATAAAGTAATTAAGTTCTAAAAAGGATTAATTAAAAAAAATGGAAAAACACTCAATGTTATTTTTTTTATTAAGCAAGGTTTATTAATTATAATAAAAAAGTAATAAATATAATATATTATACTATAAACTATAAACTTTGGGTGTTAAGGCGTCTGTTATCAGTGTTTATCATGAACACATTTCCCGCGATTCCCGGTATTTTCATCTTATCAGATACTTCCGGAGCTTGAGCAGATCGAAATTTGAAAATAAAAATAAATCACCGTTCACACTTCGGACGTTCGACGTGAACCAATAATGACAATCGTTCTGACAAATGATTCTATCAACGTATGTAGTACACCATATTATTATTACAAACTAGACATTACTCCGTGTACCTACTATAAAATTACCTAAATTTGTTCGAAAAGTATAACAATATTGTTTGTTTTTATGCTGTAGAAACTATGCAATGGTGTTAATGTAACGCAGCCGATTGTCCAGTTGCTCGTGAGTGTGATTTTATTTGCTTTTTGTTTGCTTCGGCTCATCATAGTTATAATTAACGCACAAGTGTGTTTATGTTTCTCTTTTATTCATTTAAAGGGTTATGAGGCAGTATTATTAAAAAAAAATCAAACAAGATATCGTTTAGTTTTGTCAGATGGTGTCCATATGAATTCTTATTTCTTCTTGGATCCCAAATTAAACGATATGATTGTAAAAAAGCAAATAAAATACGGTACGATCCTCAGTATTGATCAGTATAAATTTTTAGATGGAAAAAATTGCAAAGACCACAGTCCAAGGTTAACTTGTGAAAGTTCACTTGCCTTTATCAAAAAATACATATTATTATGTTTCATTTGTAGATGGACTATATATATTGAAAAAATAGCAGTATTGGTTCATAGAAATGTCCTTGGTGACCCACAGCCGTTAATAAATATTGAAAAAAAGAATAAGCCGTTGTTAAATTTAAATTTGAATGAATATCCGAGTAGAATGTTCAATAGTATAGAACAATTGGAAAATAATCTTATAAGTGTAAAAGATTTAAATAAACAACTGAACAGGTAACAACAACTTAATAATATGTTTTCTACTACAAAAAACTCAAGGATAGTTTAAAATTTTTCATTATTGAAAAATGTTTCTTTTTGTATGTACCTACATTTATGCTTTTGTCAAGTTCTATTCATACATACAATTTTTTCTATGCCTAGTTTTTTATTATTTTCCAAGTTATAAAAATACCTTTATTATTTCAGCAAATGCACTTCTGTACTAAAGTTAACAGTAAAAAAAAAATATCCAATCAATACACACAGCAAATGTAGAGTTTTAAATATGAATTTGGAAGATTCCACAGGGATGGTTCGTGTAAGTGCATTCAATTCACTTTCTGATATAATGGATGAAATATTTAAGGTATTTTTTTATTTCTTTATTTTATTTCAGATTTGACAGTATTCTTTTTACTATTATTAATTTTTAGGAAAATAAAACATATTATATAACAGATACTATTTTGAAATTTTTTGGAAGTCACTTTGAACTAAAACTTCAATCCTATTCAGTTGTAATAGAATGTATCGAAACAATTTTACAAAACATACCATCGATTAACACATCTGATTTTAATATAATATTAGACAAAGATCCAAATACATTTTGTGGTAAATATGCAGATGGATATTATGAATTTAAATTGTTAATTAATTTGGTTTTAGATTTAATTGGTGTCTGCATAGAAATCAGTGATATTGAAGTATGTGGTAACTCAACTGCTCAAACAGAAATCGCTAAAAGAGAAATAGTATTGATTGATAAATCTATGGCAACAGTTGGTTTTTGATTTTTATTAATTTTAGATAATTTAAATTAATTGTATTGTACTGTTAATTTAAATATTAACCATGTTATTGTGTTCAATTATAAAATATTTTATTTTCCCCTCAAAAATCAATAATAACATGGTCTCATATTAACTGTTATATATTTTTTCAAAGAAATTTAACATATTGTGATACTCATAAATACTTTATTTAATCCAGGTAACTTTAAAAGTATGGGGTGAACTTGTTAACAAATTCGAAAAACAATTTATTGATAATCCGCTAGTAGTAGCGGCTAAGAAAACTGTTCTAAAACAGTTCAATGGGAAGAAATACTTCTCATTGATTAAGGACAGTGTATTGTTTGTCAATCCAAATACAGCTGAAGCCCATAAATTAAAGCAATGGTATAAAGATTTGGGTACCATGGAAGACTTGTAATGTAACTTGTTATGTTTCTGAAAATATGTTCCTCTATTAATATGTACTTATGTATGTAGTTATTATTTTTATTAAAATACCATTATAATAATTATAATGGTATTTTAATAAACAATTATTGTTGTAAATTATTTTAGTTTGGCTAGTAAGAAAAATTCAATGTTATAAAAAAATTTATCCAGTGTTAAAATCAAATCGGGTATATCGTCGTATGTGTGTAATTTTTAAAGTTTGATATCCCAAACGTCGTTTTTATCTTGTTATCTATGTTAAATCTTCATTTATCAATTTTATCACATTTTATCATCTAACTTAAATAATAATAAATGTCAAATGATAACATAAATTATTTAAAAATGTAATGCTCCAATAATATATTTTTTATTACTCAATTAAAATAAATTTGGTGAACGTTCATATTACTGCTTTACTATGTTATATATTATATATTGTTGCTTTGTGTATTGTAGCTTTTACTTGTTTGATAATAATTAAGTTATTTACATAGTAAAAAGTATTGTGTTTGTATAATGAACATAGGAAAATATATACTACTTAAAATGAAGCCACCTAGTCTTCTTGTTTATGTAAGTGCCATCCTTTTGTTGACATTCGCTGTAGGCGTTTATAAGCAACTAACTCAGAAAACAACGAACAACTGTGAAATGACTTTTATGTTTGAATATCCACATTTTATTGTGAGTAGTGAAAGAAATAAAGTTTTCAATCTGTTTAACCAAATGTTTCTTCTAATTTATGTAAATATTTTTACTACCAGGATATCTTAGTACCTATGAATCGGGGAAAGTATAATTTATATGCTTATACTGAGGGTCAAACAATGGAAAAAATCAAATCCATGAAGTTTTATGGTACTCCAGTTGTCTTCATACCTGGGCACAGTGGATCTTACAGACAAGGTTGAAATTAAAATTATTAATTATCCATTAATTATCAATTAACCATCTTTGATGGTACTTTTTAGTAAGATCGATTGCTTCAGTGAACATTCGAAAAATGTACCATATACAGTCTAATATAAAATTTGATTTCTTCACTGTTGACTTAAACGAAGAGTATTCTGCTGTTTTTGGTGGGGTTTTACCCCAACAAACTGAATTTGTTTCTCAATGCATTAATACAATAATAAAAATATATGAACACGATTATAAGCCTACATCAATTATACTAATTGGACATTCTATGGTAACTTATTAAGTTTAATCAAACTGAAAACCAAAAATTAGTTGACTAACAATATCTAGTTTTAAGTAAAAAATAATTCTTATTATTTTTAGGGTGGTATTATAGCTAAAGGGCTGTTCATTAATCCCAAGTTTGATACTAGTCTTGTTGAACTGATCATTACTCTAGCTACTCCTCATAGGCCTCTGTTTCTAGCTGATAATTTTATGGATAGTTATTATGAAAACGTTGAAAATATTTGGGGCAACGGATTGGATAAACCTAGATCTTCGTTTTTGTCAAATATTTCACTGTTATCCATAGGAGGTGGTCATCGAGATTTGATGGTTTGGCCATGTCTTACGTATACTCCGCATGCAGATATAAACGTATTAGTGAGTTGTATTTTTATTAATCTCTGCACTAGATCTCAAGGATTAAATTAATAGTATAATATATTACTAATAATTTTATTTTAATCCTAGAGTTTAGCTATACCTGGTGTTTGGACATCTACGGACCATCAGTGTATATTATGGTGCAAATCATTAGTTAAATCCATTGTTAGAGTATTATTTGACTCTGCTGAATCAGACTCTGATGATACAATTTATGATTGGAGAAAGAAAGTATCTACTTATCATTTTGATAAAGTATGTAATGGGGGTTGTAACAAAAATATATTTTTCTATTTTTTTTTTTTTTTATACTTATAGAGAAGTAATGGGAAGTGGTTTCATTCAAACTTGCATCCTATTTCTGTAAAATTAAATGAACCAAATATGATTGTATGGAACGAAACTTATAAAGCTCGTCGATCAATTTTATTAGAATCTGGTACACCAATGCCAATTGTTATACATGTGCCATTATACAATCAATCGCTTGATTATGAAATGACTGCTGAAGCCATAAACATTGAATACCACGATTGGGTATTTTCATGCAAACCTGACTATCATTCAAAAAAATATTGGTAAAATATTATTTTTATTTTTTTTACCTGCAACTGCCAATATAAATTGAGTATAATTTCAGTTTGTTTGGTGTAAATTGGTCTTCTAATAGTACTATATCTGTCTCGAAATATATGAAAAGAAGACACATAACAATAAAACTTTCTGACGTGTACAGATTAGATCATTCGAATTTGGTTTTCAAAATAAAAAATACAAAAAAACCTGTAAGACTTTTTAAAAACTTTAATCTATAGTGTATCAATTATTGGTGTTCAATTATAGACTGGATTAAATATTGACTTGTATGAAGTAAGGGACAGAACTAATGAAGTATCATGGAAAATTTGGTATGGAATTTTATATAGAAAGCTTTTATGGAAAATCAATGTTTATAACACAGTTCAGTACAAAACTATTCTGCGCGATTGGTCTAATAGTATATGTATGAACTGTGTGTATAATGTACACATGATAACTGTTAAATGTTCAAAAAAAAAACATCATGCTGTTTCTAAATTTATTGTACCATGGACACAAGGTGTTTTGCATGGACTTACCAGGTAAGCCTTGTTCTATTTTTTTATTACTCAATAAAAATATTTATTGACTCAATAAAATTATTTCATATTGAATTGCAGTGATAATGCAGTTGATCCATTGAGAATATCTTTAGAAAATATTTATTCATCAAATAAAACTGAAGACCCATACTTACAATTCATATTAGACCCAAATTGCAATTATCGTATTGAGTAAGTGAGATTGTTGTCAATAATTTGTCATTAATATGTAGCTCTTTAATATTCAGAGGTGGAACTAGGAATTTTTATACCCGGAGAAGATGTTAATATAGCGCCCTATCATTGACCAATAATCAAATACTTTTTTCAAAAATGTTTTTCTAATAATTAACATACAATTATACTTTATAAATTGTAAACCTAATATTAGTAATTAACAAAGTTAAAAATATTAAACTTGTCATTAATAACTACAAAAATTACACTCTCTAAAATTGTATGCCCAGGAATGAATCCCTGTCTTCCACCTCCTAGTTCTGCTTCTAATAATATTAATAACAATATGATATGTATTTATTATATAAATTTGATGTCTCTTAGGCTAGAATTATCTGTTATGGACACAATCGGAACCATGGGTTTAAAATATGGCTTAACATTTCCTTCTTACATAGGAATTATAATACTTTTAGTACTATCACACCAGTTTTCACAGTTGGCCAATTCCACTAATGATGATTGCTCAATATATCACAACTCTTTGCCATCTCTATTTAAGATTGTTAAGATTTTGGTCGTTTCAATTTGTCTTATGACTTTTGTGTAAGAATAATTATTAGATTTTAATTCTTACATACTTGAGCTATAATCTGATCCTGTTGTAGACAATACCAATGGTCTATTATAAATAAACCAATTGGTGGTATAGACTGGCTAGGACATCCATTAAAAACGTTTGTATTTTCATCACTGTTATATTGCATAACCAACTCATTCATGTGTTTCGCAACTTTAGTATTATGGTCTATGATGTTATTTTGGGGCAAAGCTATTAATGAACTTTTAATTAGGTAAGTATCAAACAAAATTTATAATTTTTTTGATTAAAATATGTTAATTCATTTTCAGATTTATTATGAAAGCATTGCAAAAAAATGCTACTGTATCTGATTGGATACTGTATGGATTTGGAAAATTACCAATTGCTGTTTCAATGATAGCTATTTTAATGTCATACCACACTTGTGGTACTGTAGGACTTATTATCTCAGCATTCTTCTATTATTTTATGGTAAAATAAATTTTAAACAAATTATTGATAATTAATTAATATTCAAATTGATTTGAATTGATTTTACAGCTTTGTACAATGGTGCAAGACTGTATTGACCAGTTAATTTATTATCCAGTGATTTTTATTAAAGATTATTTCATAAAAGGCGAAAAACCAACTTTGAACTTATCACTAACACCCATTCATTTACATTTTTCACTGTTTTTATTGTGGCTTCTAATTTGCGGATGTAATTTGCCTTGTAGCATTGAATGGGCACGAAATTTTCAGTAATTATTTTTTGTTACCTCTAAACGTTTTTAGCCAATTAACAATGTTTTGATTTTTATAGTCATAGTAAATATTTAGATCCTGATCCATCATGGATTTCATCAGTAGTTTTAAATACATGTGCTGGTATCTTATGGCAAATGGACATTCCCAAACGCAATATGTAAGTTATGTTTACTAAATTAAATTATGTATTACGAACTAATCATTTTTTTAATTATTATTATTATCCTAAATTAATGGACACTTATATGTTTTAGAAAATGTTATGCAGGTTTAAGTGATTTCTGTGTAGCTACCTCGGTTATTTTGTTTGTATTTTGTCAAACTGCACTATTTCGAGTAACTCCAATTTTAACAATTGTTTTTGTAGTCATCACTCTCCATCAATATATCAGTTCATGGATTGGCGGAGTTAGAGATCTGAATGATAGACAAGTTAATCATACTAATGTTAATTGAGTTATTGTTTCTAATGATAATACACCAGAAAATTAGCAACTATAAAACAAATAGTAATTTTATAATATAGCAATAATGTATATGTATTAATAATAGTTCTACGTTAAATAACCAGGAATAGCTAACCCTGTCATGTATACATAATGTATTACGTTGGCCAATTATTTGTTTGTATGTTTTTTATTTTTTTATTTATATAGTCATTTCATTTTCTTAAAAGACTGATTCGTGTCTATATGTTAGACATACTATTTTCGGTTTAAATCTGATTAATTGTTTATAATTTCTTTAATATTAATATTAATTTATTAATTCAGTTTATAGTGTTTAATAATACATTTTGTTCAATTGTGATTATACGATGAAGCCATGTCAATATGTTATCACTAAGTCATAAGATCTTCTAGTCAGTTATTTAACTCTATGGCATTTGAATGTAAAGCTAATATGCATATGGTATTACTTTATAATATAACTATACTACCATATGTATGTCGTATAAACAAAAATAATAACTAAAACACAAATAAGTTGTTATATGAATTTGTTTTAATATGTATGTAATAATGTCCATACTTGTATCAATAATTACCATCTGTTGAATAATGCATGATGTTTTATTTGTATTTTTATTCCGCATCAATCACTAACTTTCTTTTTTATAATTAAGTTTACTCCTTATAATTATCTTCTGTTTAATTAACTGAGGTTTTTTTTTTTTAATACCAATAAAGGTTTTCGATTACCCGATTACCAAACTCAGTTCACAATTGCATTATGACTGTAGTTTTACAGTTAACTTCTGAATTTCAGAAACTTCAACCAATTGAACAAACCACAATGAAGAGTTCTCGCTATTTTTGCAACAAGACGGATTTTTGGATATCAATACAAAAAAAAAAAAAAAATTATAGTCATCTAGAGCAGTGATTTTTTTACTGGTGTGCTGTAATCGTTTTTGAAGTGTGCCTTGATAAATCTATAAATTGTTTTATAAGTATATATGTATGTTTTTACTAGTATTATTATTGATATTCGGTGAAAATTGATTGAAATAATCATAGATACTTGTAATATTATTTATTGAAAATTATTTTTAAGTATGCTCGTCACAGCCGTCTCCATCGGTCGATTTCACAATAATTAACCCTCTAATAGAGAAGACAGTAAATAGTGTGCCTATTTATCAGAGGCGTCATTTCAATTTGTATGGTATGGATATCACGAAAACTGTTTTATAAAGATTAAATATATAGAAATATATAATATACCAAAAATAAAGTTTATAAGGTTCGCATAATAACGATTGTCATAAACCGGGGAGGAACCAGTGTTTCCCAACTTTTAATAAACCGTGAATATGTAATTTTTTTCTCGTGTCAGGCATTATATATTTAAAATTAAATAAACATGTAATTTATAAAACAAAACAAAACTAAATAAATATTATCAAGTACAAGGGGGTACAAGGAAAACACCTCTAGTCAGTGTACCCTAGGCAACGTTTTTTTAATGGCTAATTTTTTCAAACTCAGGCACATATGATCTCTACAAAACGTGTATTTGTCTATATGTCTACACCACTGCAGGAATGTAAGAAGTTTCGCTGGCGCTTCTAACAAATTTCGAAAAAACTCGCCTTTAACAAGTCTATACAACAAAAAGTTGGTACAAAATAAAAATCCTTCGATCTGACGTAAACATTTTAGCAATTTTACACTACTAGACTACGCCGACCTTCGCGTAGCATGTTTTTTTAATTATTATTATTATTATCATTATTATTTGAAATTTGAATGTGATGCTTTTTTACTTTCAACATTAACAAATAGGTACTAAACGAATAAACAATACCGATGGAACTAAAGGACTTCATGGTAATCGTACATAGTTATATTTACCAGTGATATTCTGATACATTTTGTTGAGAGCATAGGTACTATGCAAACGAGTGTCTGAATTTGGACATTTTTATAATTTAGACGGCGGTTGTATAGGAAAAAGTTGTAAATATTAATAAAAAATTTAAATTCATAGATTTTTATTTTCTGCCATAATCGAGATTAAAATTATTTAATTCAATTAATACTATTAACTTACTAATCGTCTGTATATCGTCTGAGCAACGATGAGATAGATAATCTATGTCCAATATTATTTGTCTTATTCTATTCACGTTTGTTAAATATTGTCCTTCTTACAAATATATATATACAAATAATTTTTATAATTCCTGCTCATTGTATATATTAATACTAATAAAATAAATAATATTTTATTATATAAATATATATTATTTTATATTATTATTATTATATATTTACTTATCTATATATATATTTATTAGTATTTATTCATGTTTTTAAGCTTCGAACTATTTGTTTTATATTTAATCCATTAACTTTTTAAACTTAAAATAATTAAGTATTCTCTGTTATGTAAATAATATATTTCCATTACTTAAATCAATGTTTTTCCTTATTATATTTATTTAAATTATTAATACTCTAAATTAATAAATTACATTTCAATTTATTTGAATTTATTTGAATATTTGTTTTTTTTTATTATTAAATATATTTTTGTGTTTCATCTGCATGAGTAATCTCTAGACCCCTTTTTATTTTTTCTTTTGTTATTAAAGTATTTATTTTTATTAACAATTTAATGTATAATGTTTTTAATAACATTAACTTATGTTTTTTTATACGTAAATAATGTTTAAAATTATGTCATAATTTATATATTCCCCGGGCTCCAGGTAAAAAGGAAACTTTTTTTTGGCATACTTCTTTTATCGCGACTGAAATTTTTTTAAGAAATATGATTTTTAAGTTATAAAATATAGTACCTATATTTTCAATATTGAATCCATATTTAAAATAGAAATACATTGTTGTATTAGAGCCCGGATTAAGTAGGAGCCAGAAGAAACCATGGTTCTGGGCCCACAATTATATCAAACAATAATAGGCCCTTGACGGATAGTAGGTTTTTTTGTTTTTTTAACTCTTTTTTTTTTTTTTTTTAGCTCGTATAAAAAACAAGTATAGAACGAGCAGTTCTCAAGCAAATTTAAATAGTTTAATTGTTTTGTGTTCAGGGAGTAATGTATTGAAGGCGATTAATACCAATTATATAATTAAAGGGTTTGCTTTCCAAAAAGAAAGAAAAAATTATTTATACACAAATATATAACAATATAAGAAATGTTTTAATCGATTGATCTTATCATGTTTTTAGGTATAATTCATATAAATTAAGACTATGTGGACCGTGGAGGTAATTATTTTTTCATACCTTATTTTGCTATAACATTTTATAGAACTCTAGCCCCCCCTGATGTAAAGGCCTAGTTACGCCTATGATTGTATATAATATATAAATATATTATGTTTATACTGGATAAAAATCGCCATCTCCACCGCCGTAATGTGTTCAGGTCTGCGATTTTAATATCATCATCGTTACCGCCATCACCACCACCACCACGTATTTATTGTAATAAGACATAATTTTTAGTATTTAATCCATATTTTAAATAAAAATAAATTGTTATATTTGTACATGGTTGTATTCTAATATGCGCTATAGCTGTATTTATTGTTCATCGGTTTATGTTTTATGATTTGTGGTAGGTATTTGTTTGATACATTTTTTTTGATATATTTTCTTTATCATCTAACTAAATTATTCTGTGAGCCAGGTAACCATTTTTCATTTTTTTTTCATTTTTAATGGTATAAATATGATAATTTTGTAACTTATTTAAATAATTTAATAATTTTAAATAAATCAAATCAACTTTATATAATTACTTTCATTTAATAATCAAATAATAATATTATTATTCCATTTCCTTTACGTTTTTTTTTAGAACTAGGATTTTTTTTTTCATCTACCCAAATCAAAATTCTTTCGGGAGCTAGGGATCCCCTTTTCATTTATTTTTTTTTATTTTTACCTTTTCATTTTTAATAGTATAAATATGATAATTTTGTAACTTACTTAAAATAATTTGAAAATTTTAAATAAATTAAATCAAATTTATATAACTATACTCATACTAGGGTCCACCCTAAATAACCAAAACAACATGCATGGAGATATCAATATCAGATTTGGCGCTGCTTGATGTCTTTATGCACTGAATACCCGCTTTAAATCTAAGCTGTTGTCATGAAAAGCAAAATAACATCTGTACATGAGTTACATACACCCTATATTGACGTATATATGTGCTACATGGGAAACGATGAGAGCTGATAATGAAAAAGAAAAGTTCTTAGAAAAATGTATGTACCCGTATTCAACAATACAGAACAGAAATGGAAAATAAGAACGAATGCTTAACTGTATCAACTTTACAAAAAAGAAGATGTAATCCAATTCACCAGAGGAACAAGGATAGAATGGGCAGGCCATATATGGCGGGTCGATGGAAATATACCGAAAGGAGCATTGACATATGCGGTGATAGGAAAGAGACCAAGGGGTAGACCGCGGAAAAGATGGAAGGACAGCATCAGGGAAATATTAGAAGTGTTTGGAGTGGATTGGGAACAGGCATATAACAGAGAGCGATGGAAGGGAGTAGTTTTAGCAGCTAAAAGTTTAAATGACTTGTAAAGGTCCAAAAAAAAAAATTCAAAAAAATAATAGAGTCCTATGAAAAACTTTTAAAACTTTCGAATTTAATTGTACCGCTGTGATATGAGGTGTAATTTTATTTTATTTTTATTTTTTTTTAGGCGAATCAAACGTTTATACCATCGGAAAAATGGGAAACCACAGTGTAGCTTGCAACAAACTTCCCGCGTTAGGTCAAAGTCGAGAAGCTACGACTACTACGAGCAGTGCAATAACTCACTTTCTAGGTTAACTACATGTTTTTATGATAGACTTTGATTTAACAACCGGAACGATTTACAGGAACTTTTCAAAAAGTCAAATACGTATTCGTGTGTGGTGCCGGAGGCGGTGTGCCACATTACACAAACTACGACAAACACGTGAAACTAGGAAACGTGGTCGTTTTCATTACAGAGATAATCAAAAGTACATTTACTTATTGGAATACCTAGAGTGGCTGATGCTATTATTACAAATATACATGCTACCGATTCGTTTAGGTGACCAATAATTTAATTGAAGTATTATTATTAAATTTAGGACCGTCTACACGTATTGTGAGAAAGTCGTCGTCGAAAATGGAAACATCAAATTTTATATTGCCGCCAGTACAGTTCGATAGTATTCGATATTCGGATAGCTACGATGAAATTGTAAATGGAAGTAAATTTAGTGTTCGGACAGGGTGTATTTCGGGTCAGATTGTTGTCGGATGTGCGTGATCATAGGAGCTCGACTTGTATGACGTGTATTCCTCAACCGTACGAAGTGATGAAAATAACGTGAAGATTAAAAGAGATTTTCAATACTGACGAAAATAATAAATTTTTAAATATTTCAATGTTCTCGTATGAAACAAAAGCATTTTCAGAACATTCTATGTTGGTTAGCCCCGCAAGCTCCCGTATAGGTGACCATAAGTAACGTATGGATTATATAGTTTGATCGTATGTTTCGGAAAGCCCGTACGTTTAAATTTAACTCAAAACTGTACATTTGTGTTTGTGGCATTTATGAGCCTTCTGAAATAAACGATTCAACCACACACCAAAATAGGCCACGGGACAGATTTAAACTGTTAGGTTTAATCAAAGTCGAGTGCTAATCGTGCCGCTATTGACTAGCGCAGTAGTCAACGGCCACATCCTTCTGCAAACATCTAAGCCAAGGAGATACCAAGACATGCGCGTACCGTACGTGTTGTTTGCCGAGCGCCTGAGCAATCGGGTGCACACGTAGCGGGCGACAAATATCTACGTCGATTCGGTACCGCGCGACGAGTACCTAATATTAGAGGCGCACGTCGATAAAAAATATACTGCTCCGCATACAATGCGCAAGCACAGCGGTTCCTGACCTGAGGGTAGTTACCCTTTAAGGAATAAAATATGATTTTTTGAGGGGTAAAGACTAGACTAATTTTTTATTTTTTTATTTACTTATTATGTGTAACCTCTTGATATAATTATTAGAGCGCGGATTTATATGTATTTGCATATTTATTCTGGTTGATCTGATATTCCAAGTAAGCATAACATTTGTTTCATAACATAACAATTTAAAAAATTAAAATTTTTTAGCGCATATTTTTGCATATTTTAACATTTTTCTATTTTAAGGGCTTATTTTACAATTTTAATAGCATTTTTCATATTTTAGTGCATAATTCGATCGTTTTTGTTTTTTTAGATATTTTTGAAATACATAGTATTATAATATAAGAAATAATTATTATATTTTTATAATTTCCATTTATATCAAAATAAATTAATTGGTATACTTGTAGGTATAAACGGTATTCCCAAATATAACCTTAGATCGATAATCGGGGAAATAAAATACGTACATTAAGATAAGATTTTTTTTATGCATATTTTTTTATTTTTCGTGCATATTTTAACATTTTAGTGTATATATTTATGAATATTTAGGGATTTTTTAGCGCATATTTGGTTGGTTTTTAATGCATATAAATCCGTACTCTAATAATTATAATTATTGTTTTATTATTTTCAATTTATGATTATACAGTGTGTCTTCAATTATTCTTTGCGAAACGAACCATTTTTACATAAATACAAACAAAAAAATCAAAAAATTAAACGTTTCTTTACGTAATGCATTGCGGTTCCATAAATCAATCTAATTGAATTGCGATAACCCGATAATGCGTGTATACGTTGGGCCAGACGCACGTGCTTTTTTTAGCGGGCAGAGGTATTTACTAATTATCTTACCGGGTTTGAGGGTAATAGTGTCCAAAAATATTGAGAACCGCTGCGCCAGCATTATGTGTTCGTACCGTTTTCGTATTCAATTGGTCAGATTACGTGTGTTGTGGGTGCACGTAAACCGTTTATTTTTTTCTCCGTCCCGCGGCGGTGTCGATATCGCAACCGGTGCGTGCAAAAATATAAAAAAAATGTTATGTAATGGTCGACTTCGCGTGCCGCTGTAACAACAGTGTAAATATTGGCTGTGCGCATATTTACACGCCGCGTATTTCCGCAGGTACCCCGAAGTATGACGTAGATGATAACATTGTATGTGTAGAGATAACGCTCGAGTGCTTGGGCACTCCGTTAATACTCCGGATTCCTCTTTTACGACAATTTGTCGCGACGTCGCGATCTATGACGTCGGTCCAGGATTATTCGCACGTGTAACATTTGTTTGCACAGTGTTTCAGTCGCGTTCAAACAAATTGAATCCAATCCAATTTCGAGTGCTTCTTTTTGTCGTTCTAACACGCACGTTTGTGCGTGCGAATATAATACCTAATGTATAGGTGCAGAGCCGTGTCAAATATTTCAGCGCCCCTGGGCAACATTTTTTCTTCGGGGCCACTGGGCACAGGTAGCATATTAAGTGCAGATAAGGGTGCCCCCTTACTTTTACAAAACTAAGGCGCCTGAGGGTGATTGCCCCTATTGACCCCCCTCCCTTAGCACAGCCCTGTATAGGTATAATACTTGTAATCATGTTTATCGGATTACGGATTCGAACGCGGTCGTAAAAATGTTTTAAACACAATATTATCATTTCACAATACACATGCGGAGATGATTTAATCATCATCTAATAATAATAATAATAATAAATAATAATAAAAATGAACACAAATATCTATCAATAATTATTATCGTTCCATAACGTTGTTATAAATATTATATGTACATATAAATCGTTATGAATTATAAACGGGGGATAATAATGTGGTGATGGAGTTGAACGATTTTCAGAGGTCATCTAAAACTCTTATGTAAACGAATGAGAAATAGTTGTATAATCTATACATTTTAAAAACAGCATTATGATGGTTTTTATAGTAGTGTACTATATGCTCTAAAATATGTATACGTTTCACATGTTATGCGTAGGTAAATAAATATATTATTTTATAATATAACTGTACAAATATAAAAATGCATGAACCTAGAGTAAAAATGAGGTATGCAATGGAAATATTTCGAAAAGGAAACGGTTCACAGTGCACATATATTTATATAATATATATTCCGTATACATTTTTTCAAAACTAACTATCAAAACACATAAAATTATGTATAAAAATATGAATACTGAACAGAAAAGATAAAAAAACCGCACGTAAAACGTGAGCTTTACCGTGTTACGATATATTAATTATACATACCGTCGGTCTAATTTGCAAAGGTCCAAAATGGTAAATTTTACAGAAGGACAAAAAAACTTTTTAGTTATTTCACATTACTTCGTCTGATTTGCAAGTCCAATAAAGTTAATTAAACGGAGCCATGAAGATACGAATTTTCCGAAGTTTAATTCGATTATATTAACTGACGCGTTTCCCCCTCCATTTTACAAACAATACAGAATAATAAATAATGAAATAAATTTGTGAACCAGGCCAACCATGCATACCGCGAGCACGTTAGTAAATATATACACGGAAATTAGAAAATTTAAGAAACGGTTCGTAAGGGTTAAGAGTTTTCTGACTTTTTGCAGCGGTACGCAATATATCACAATAAAATATGTACGATGAACGAGTGTATAACCGGAAATAATCACGTATTTTTACGTTTTATATCCTGTTGGTCACCACCAAAGTTATATTTGTAAAGCTCCGCAAGGAAAGGGTTGTGAAACGGAACGGGAACACCGCGATGTTCCATGTTACACGGTGCATCATGTCAGGGGATAGTCTGAACGTACGACATGAAAATGCAGCGCGCCACGTGAATCCGCAGACTACACAGTGACTTTTTTTTTTCAAAAAATATAGCGATTTTACATAAAAAAAAAAAATGTTCAAAATATTTAAATTAATTTTCCAGTTTCCCGGTACGCCGACCCATCTCCGTATCATCTGTACGTTCTACGTGTACTTCAGACAGCTGTCACGATTTATGTAGATAGGTTGCGTGAGGATGATTTCGTTTTGAGAGTTGTTTCTGGCACTTCCGGACCGGCCGGGGATCGTTGCGGTAACGTCGGTGACCGTGGTGAAAGTCGAGTAGTTTGGTGGAGCCGAGTGCATTTCTACTTCGTCGCTGATCGACAGGGTCCGGTTCGCAGCGCTCCTGGACGTGTTGGTCTGGCCGAAGTGAGTCGCGCCGTACTCGGGCGGTGGCTGCTGCTGTAGCTGACGAGAAGAAAACAGAAATAAAAAAAATAAAAACCGAAATCTTTTGGACAGGAAGAGTGATCCAAGGAGGAGTACTAGCCCGCCCGAAATATACAGACGTATAACACGCTCCTACGGAACGTTCATCGCTGATTGTTCATACGCGCGTTCGAGATCAAGCTAAGTCCACTCCGCATTGGTGCAAGAATATTTTTATACACATTTTTTTTTAATTAAAACATTACAACAATCAGACCGTACAGGGTTGGGTATAGTATTACGGTTTCAAGTTTAGAGAGCTTGGATATAATTGAGTTTAATATGATACGAGGGGATCGAGAGTTAAGGAAAACTCGGTGATGTGTTTTCATTGAATTTAAGGATCGAAAATGAGAAAATAAAGATGATCAGGAATGAAGTAGTGGACATTGCAAGTGCGTACCAATATTACAGTGTCAAAATTTACTAATCGTTATAGCACCTATAAAAACGCATAATTGAAGAAAATATTGTTCGTAGGTTCAGTTATCAGTGTTTAGTTTAATACTGTGTACACAGATAATCGGACAAAAAAGTACCCGATGTAAAAATCAATGAGGGTTTAAATAAATAATAAAGGTTAAGGGAAATAAGGGTTCATTTTTCTTGGGTTTCGATTAACGGGTTAAAACAAGGTTTGAGGTTTTCATAAAAAATGTTACTTAAATGTATTCAACAAAAAATGTTTAAATTTATGTATATTATTTAAGTAAATAGAAAAATTAAAAGGTTTCTTATTGATGGTACTTGTCATTTTTTGTCAGGCTATAGAGAGTAAATACGGCAGTAAAGTACACAAATTAATGATAAATGATAAAATGGAAACAGTAAAAGTAACGATTTTTTAAAAAAATAGCATAAATACACCACACAAAATTCGCTTTTCAATATAACTAACACTTTGTTTATTTTTTTTTTTATAAGGACTATTGACAACACTCTATTCTAACTTCCAAGTACTACCTCTCACAATACCAATGGCATTATAAAAATAAAAATATACATTTAAATTTTTTAAATTTTGTTCTCCGAAAGTTAATTCTAAAGATAAAATACAAATATAGACCAACTTCTATTTCATAAAAACGTTTTACTTAATTAATTATTTATTTCAAACTAGTTTACAATTTTTCCGCGGTTTAACATTTTAAAATTAATTGTAATGTATTTCAACACCGGTTTTTAATTGAAACCGGGTTTAATTATTCTTTGGGTCACGGTTTTGGATAAAAATCTACTTTAAATATTTGTTGGGTTTCAGGTTTCAGTTTGTAACCAGTTTCCAATTTTTCCCGGGTACTCCAGATTTCTAAATTAGATTTGTAACACGTTTTGACTTCCTGGTAAAAATTTTTCGTTTCCTATGTTAGAATATTGAACACTAGTTTAAACCTTCGGAGACCAGTGTATCGATTACATCATTGATTCCTACAATCGCATACTTTTGATAAAATACAGAACAAAACCATACAATTTTGATGGATTGAAACCGCACACTTTTGATTTTGATTCCAAAAAGGTTATACTTACCTAAGTTAGGTATACTTAGGTTAGATGGGAACAATATACATCGAGCAGTTACCAGCGGTGTCCCTCAAGGGTCAGTACTCTATCCAATTTTATGGAATATAATCAGTGCCGGCTCTAGAAGAGAGGGCAAACCGTGCGATCACCGGGCTCCGTGCTTGTATGGGGTTCCACAAATTGTGTATTACGAATAATCACTTTATCTACAAGTAAAAATAATATAGTCCCAGTACACAAATCACAACCCGTGTGGTCTTGTGGTTTTCTCAGGATACGGGTTGTTATCAACGAAAATTAAGACAGTACCAATTATGCATAGCTTTGAAGTATTGCACGCGCATGCACTTGTAAAATTGTTTATCATCGACGACGGTTCGAAATATTATTTAGTTTTATAATAACATAAATAAACGTAGATTTTTATAAACAATTAATAAATTAATATATATATATATATATATATACACCCTACAAATGGCCCACTATGGCCTCACAAAATTCTGCACTGGGCTCCGAAAACCGTCGAGCCGGCACTGAATATAATGTACGATGACATGCTACGTATGGAGTTGCCGAGAAACATCAGTGGGTTCAAACATGAGTCAAGTTCAACCCTGATAGATTTTGCTGACGACGTCGCGATCTTGGCTACTGGACACACAACGACGTTGCTGGAAGAAGCCATGAACCAAGCTTTGGACTTAGTAGCGAGGTGGATGGCCAGCAGAAGTTTTATACTATCAGTAGGCAAGACAGAAGCAATAATGTTGAAATCTAAACGTGGGTACACGACTCCGAGGTTCTTATTGGAGAACACACTGCTTTCACTCAAAGAACACATTCGTTATCTTGGCATAGAGCTGAGCGGGGAATTAATCTGCCATTGTCCATTGACAGTTGTATTTTGAAGTTGTCAATAAACAGCATTCGGCCACCTGGGGGTAAGATTGCCGAAGGAAAAGTGCCCCCCAGGTGGCTACGGAGGGCATATACAAAAAAAAAAAGGTTAGGTATACTTAAAAGCTTATAATTTAGTCAAACAAAAAAAAAAAAAAAAAAGCATATAGGCACGAGTATTCTAAAATGCAAAAATGAAAAATGTGAAGTGTCTACAATTTTTGAAGTTTGATTGGCTGAAATCTAATACCAACATTTTTTAAAAATTTCATATGATCTCTGTTGATTAAAAATTCTTCTCACCATTTAAATAAGTGCTCCTAAAATAAATACAATTTAATTAAAAACCGAAATATTAAAACTTGTTAGCATGATTATTACAGTATATATTATAATCTTTTCTTATAAGTTTGTTATCACTAAAAATAGTGTGCGGTTTTAACCACTGTAAGTTTGGAGCATTTTGTTATACAATGACCAATAAAGTTTGCGATTTTTGTCTATCGACCTTTTTTAGGTCAAAATTAAAAGTGTGCGGTTTTCGAATCAAATCGATTACATTTTCGTTTCACGCCCGTATACGTGTGGTATATATTAGTGTTCTAAATAATTGTGATGATGACCATTTATAACAGTAAGGTACAAACGACGGAAGGGCAAAATCGCCGTGGGGAGAGGATAGCTAAAACTGAGTACACACTATTATATATTTTACTATTTCTGAAGGGCAAACTATTTAATATCTGCAACGGTAAAACTTACCCACAGGCTGCACGTGTCTATAGGAACTTTACGGTCTTTCTCGATGTCATCGTAACACGGCGGTCTGTCCTGCATTTTGTGCTTGATGAACTCGTTCAGCGAACTGTCGCTGGCCACTCTACTCATCGAGTCGCACCTGCAAAAGCTGCACCTGTAAAACCAACGTCCGTAATGATTACCCGTAACACTTTGATAGCTATGATGGGCTTCGCTCGCCAAATTTCGGTAAAAATAATCGGTATTCGAGTGTAATTATACTAGGCAAAAATGCGAACTAAATAATCCAAGAGTGTATTTCACTTAACCACATTTCGCGTGTATCAAAGTGAAGTAGTTAAGTGTACCAATATAATTAAGTGTATAGCCTATACGTAGTAGTTTTATCGAAAAAACTATTTGAAGTAACAATGTTTTCTGAGTTGAATAATTTAAAAGTAATACATCATAAAACTAAAGTGGTTAAACACCATGAAATGTATACATCAATTATTGTAATGTCAAAATATACTATTATTATTATTAGTAAATAAATATAAGTAATTACAACTTATCATCCAGTAATGTAATATTGTTTTACTGTAATTTTTAGTTGAAGTATCAATAATTTGAGTTATAACAAATAATAACTATTTTCTGTGAACAATGTATCCCCCCCCCCCCAAAAAAAAAAACCTAATGCTGAAAAAAGGCCAAGTTCCAAACTCCCTCCCAAAAAAGTCGGCCTATCAAAGTAGTGAAATCTACATTGTGGCCAAGTCTGGTATTTTTTAATTTGTAACCTCACTGCGCTCCTACATTAAAGAGTAATACTCCTATTTTATTTGTATATGTAGTTTAACACTTCGCCAGTTTCTGAATGAGGCATGAACTAGACTTGGTCGCAATGTAGATACCACTACTTATTATGTCGTTGTCTTTTTTTAAGAAGAAATCTAAACCTTTTTCTTTTTTCTGAGTTCTCTTCTCCCAATAACCCACGTAAATCTCATAAATTACTACATTCGATAATGATGTTTCTTTCAAAATTTCTTTCAAAACGGATCAAAATTAATTAAGTGAACTCCCTGGAGGCTCGTCACCCTAGAGAAGGCCGCGTATGCTTGACCACAAGAGAATGTTGAGTTACTAACATCAAATAAAGCATTTGGCAAACTTAACCCTTGACTCTTATGGATGGTAATGGCATACTGCTAGAATTGATGTCGGTGCACCATAAGCTCGGCTGATGATTTCGAACTTAACTAATAATTTTATTGAATTCATAAGAGCATTAAACTTTTCATCAAAATTTTCTTATGACGTTACTACGTTAACTTATCGTCCGTATACCGACGAATATTATTAAAATATTCTATATTTGAATAATTATATTATATATTGTATTTGAATAAAATAAATGTACGAAAACATTATTTATAAATATATATATATAAGTCAACTACAAACAATTTCTTATTACCATATTGTAACGCTGTTTGAAGAAAACGTTTATGCGTGCTAAGCGCGACACTTCATACGTTTAGAAATACACTCACTAAAGCGGCATTAATTTTGAAAAAAATTAAATTTTTAGATTTTTCCCTTTAGTTACACTGTAAAATCTACCTCTATGCCAAATTTCACCTTTCTACCTATACGGGAAGTGTCTTATAATTTTGATGATCAGTGAGTGAGTCAGTTACAAAGTTGTAAATTTTGAAATTCTCTCATTTTGAAATGGTACAATATTAAAGGCTCATTTTCTTACAGCGTCCTAAACTACTCGAGATTAATTTGTGTTTTAAATTTCAAAAGTTTATCTCAAGAGGAAACAGAGATATATTGGTTAGAATAATCGGGCGAATTGGTTCGTATAAAGATACACTGGCATTGCTGGAACTTGGCCGGCGCACTGCCGTGCGCTCAGATGTTGTAATGATCACAGGATATGTATATTCACAGGGTAAAGTAAGGTATTTTCATGGTATAAGTAATTTTGGGATAATATTTATTGTACGTTCACGTATATATATATACCTATAGATATAGTATAATTTCTTATTAGATGATTGACTAGAAATTACATTGATCCTTAAAATTACTGTATTTTTAAGGATAAATGTAATTTTAAAGTTAATCGTGTAATAAGATATCGCATTATACGTTCAACAAATAAAATCACAAAATGTCCTATACTACAAAAATACGTTACTTCACCCTATGTACGTATAAATTATAATTTTATATACGCTACATTATGCATTTATATACTCACCTCAATAACGTTTTCCTAATGACAGCGATGAATGTGATAGCCAAAAAGACGAAAGCGAACGATACTGAAAGCGTGTTAGCCAATTGAATGCCCAACGTCGGCGTGTATCTGCTTCTGTAAATGACCGACCTGTACGGTTATTAACCCACGTCGGTTTCGACAGGAAAAAGAAAACGTGAATCGCAAATGCCGCGTCGAAAAGAATAAGACCTACCTCCGTTTACGTAAACGAGTACATACACAGATACGGTATGTTTGTACAGGTGTTGATATGGTTAGAAATAAGTGGAGGGATGAAGAATGAAAATTATAAATGGCAGGATGCCTCCCTTAGTATCCGTTTCTCTACCTTTACCGCGATGTTTATATTCATGTATAGGAAGTATGTACGAACTTACATTTCACTCGGAATAATTCGATAATGACCGGACAAACAAGACTAGGAATCAGTGGTTGTATGATGGAGAGTACCTCATAAGGCCAAGACAACCATATACCAGATTTCAACTGTAGGTTTCCCATAGACTAAATATTTTTATGTATAGGAAAATAATGAAAGTTATCATATTATATAATATTAAGATAGACGAGATTTTGTTTATTACAATTTATATTTGGCTATTGATGGAGACTTTTTGTGGTCGGTGGTTGATATTTATAGTGAATTAATAAATTCGTAGCCCGTAGTATTATGATATGTGGTTAGGAGCAACAGATTTTGAATTGAAAATCCCCCATCAGGAAATTTATAAAATCAAAAAAAAAAAAAAAAATCGCGACTGTAAACCAGCGATTCCCAAAGTGGGTTCCGCGGAACCTAAAAATTCCGTGGGACAATCTTAAGGGTTCCGCAAGGTGTATATGAATATTGAAAACGGTAATTGTTGTAAATAATAATCATGAACATTTTTTATCTATTAATCATTTTTTGGAGTATAGGTTTTATAATAAATAAATGAAAAATTGGGGTGAAGTTGGAGTTAGATACGTCAGGGTTCCACGAAACAAAAAATATTTCCTAAGGTTTCCGTGGTCGTAAAAGTTTGGGAACCGCTGCTGTAAAAAAAAAAAAAAAATAAATAAAGGAATACATTGAGAGAAATTGGTTGTTTTACATAGAGATAATTTATTTTAATAGAAGATATTATTTAAATGAGTTATTATTAGGTATAAATTGATTTATTTCTACTCGTATACTATTAATTTAAATATTAATTTACTAATTTATGTTTTATTTTATTATTTTATTACTTTATTATAGTTGTATTTTTTTTTCTTACCATACATTTGCGCTATCGATAATAAGCTGATAATTCACTTTTATTACTCTCTACCAATACATTTAAAGTGGTGTACAATGTACATTGTTTGACCATCTAAAATGTTTTCAACTATTTACTATTATAAAATAATTTTTTTCCGTGTATTTGCTTCGTGGAATAATTTAGGTTACGTTCATTTCGCCAATACTTGGAATCAGGTTAATCAGCATCATCGACGAATTATGAAATTGTTGTCATAACCTCCAAAATCATTTAAAAAAAATCGAGGATAATCGATGAGACGTGTGTCGGAAAATGCAAAGGAAAATAAGCTGCAGGTAGTCTATATAAGTTTTAACGTTTTTTCTTGCGGTTGCTAACCTGTATGGACAGAAAAATGTGAGAATAGGTACATGGTGGTCAACCCTGTATACTCTGTACAACGACGCACGTGTTCAAATGCATTTCTACTCCATCGCATTGTGTACATCGTAATTGCATACATCGTGATCGTGTTCACCCCGGAGTACTTTAGTCAAATTTTCTAAATTTTAGTTTTCAATTTTGTTTTTAATATGAGATTTAAAGCTGTACAAATATGCTCATCAAATAGTAATAAGAGAGGTGGTTAAGAAATCAACATTAAAACAAAAAATTAAACGATGTAATGGTGTTTAAAAACTACTTTTAATTTTAAAGAGAAGTTTTAACTAGAAGAAGTCTCAACACCATTATCATTTTAATCTTTACCCCTGGTTGTTTAGGTATTTAAATTTTAAAGATAATTTATAACACTCACAGACATTCTTCTTCCATTCCCGATCTGCACACGCACACGTCGTTGATGCACGCAGTAGCTTGCGGGTTCTGACAACATTTATTCATCGCACAGCTCTCTTGGAACCCTGCAATACAGATATTTTATAAACGATCTTCTCGTTTTCTTCAGAATTTTAAATCGAGATCATGATATAATGTATTTTTTTCAACGTAGTAACATTATTCTACAACACGGAGATATGTTTAAGTCTCAGAGGCTTAAGTAAGGGTGGAAAGGTTAGGGGGTTCAACCCCCCCCCACAATCGCCAAAATTCTTACAAGTGAATAAATAGATAATAATAATAATAATAACTATTACCTAAATATATCATACCTCAATAAATAATCTAATTACGCTCTTGGTAAGTTCAAACTATGTAAACATATTTACGGAGTTGTACATTTATAATAAATTAAAAAATACTTGCAATTAGTTTTCATAAAACACGGGGAGAAGTCAATAAGGGGTTATTTGTAAAAAAGTAAACAATAAACCGTATGCCTTTTTGACAATAGTAATAAAAACTGTCTATTACAAGCGTTTGTTGCGATTTCGGGAGCGAGTAAGGATTTTGCGTTTTCACACGATAACCGAAAAGTTTACACCGGATGTGTAACAACGAATGTCTTGACCAATTGATATTATTATAACAATAAGCAGATATGGTTAAAACGATAATAGGAATTGAAAAATCAATATAAATCAATATAATCCGGATTTACGGATTTCATTATCCGAATTTTAGGATTAACATTGTGGAATTTTGTATACTAATTAGAAAATCAATTTATTAATAAAACTTATGTAGTTATTAAAACTTTGATATAAGTCATACATGAAAGAATACTAATTCAATTTTTTCAAAATCGGAAATCTGAATTCAGAGTGAAATCCGGATTTTCCCCATAACAACCTGGTATGTACTCACTCGAACACAAATGGCAATAGGTTTTCCTGGACGTGTCGTTGTACACCTTGTACGAGTTCTCGTCGCACATGCACATGTGGTTCTCGCACCTAGTGAAGCCGTACTCTCCTGGGCACGGTAAACTGTAGTTGCAGTAGCTCATCGCGAATGGTGCTTCCGTGACACCTGCAATACAATGTACGGACAAATATTGAAATCTGTGTGCAGTGCCGTTGCGCTTATGCAAATTATTGTGCAACGGTGTTATGCAACAGCATAACGTCACTCGTAGAATCAAGTACGGAGATCAAGGACGCGGTACACGAGCAATTAAGGTAATGTCTATGCGAAACACGATGTTAGTTAGTTAGTTAACTCACGCGTTAAGGCCGGGATCATACTAAGAGTTTAATGCGTGCGGTCGCCGAATTAAACAGAACCCAACATTTTCAAATGACACCGCAGGAGCGCAACTAGGGGATGGAAGACGGGGATTCATCCCCGCGCGTAACATTTTAGAGGGTGTAATTTTTGTAATTATTAACAACTAATTTGATAATTTTTATTTTGTTAAATACTGACATTAGATTAAAATTCAATAATTATGACTATATATTAATTATTAGAAAAAAATTGTCGAGAAGAGTATTTGATTATTGGTATTTGATCGGGCGTAATTTTAATATTTTACCCGGACGTAAAAATTCCTAGTTTCACCTCTGGACACCGGTCTTGCAATCCGGAATTGTATGCGTTTTTATTGCACTGACTGAACGTATTATTTTAAGACGAGAGCTGTCACTCTGTGCATTTTGCCGGTCCGGTTTGTGGACAAAATTTGTTATTATACTCGTAATACGGTTTGAGATTGAAATTGGTGGTAAAATATTCTAATAGCTGTTTGTTAATAATACGTTACGTTTATTAAACGTATAGCATATCAGTAGCGGACTGTGCGTCAAAAAGCGCACGGTAAAACGCATGCGACAGAAAACGCTTAGTATGACATCGGTCTAAGCGTTTCCGAAACGTACCACGACACAAAAGGACGATGAGACCGATGAGCATTAGTCTCGTCGCACGATCACGAATCCCTGATCATCGTTCTTTTATGTTACGATGCGACGTACTTCTATCGTGCATGAAACGACAACCGAACCGTCGACTGCACCGAAGTGAACATTTACGGACAATGATATATCGATTATATTTTGGTCTTGCGGTTTTACGTATACCTCAAGATTTTGAGAATATAAACGCACATTTCAGTATATTTCAAAACAAACAGCTTATGTACCTGTAAAATAAATCGTTCCGGATTTCCACCACGAAGCCTAGGCGTATTTAAAACTCTTTCGCCGCGCCGTTGGTGTCACACGAAACGTTCTGTACACAGTGACGACTGTAATCGATTAAACCGTAATACTACGCATATCATTTTTCATTTGTTGACATCGGTTTGACGCAACGCGGGCGTCGTTCGACGTAGACCGTAACGCGAGGTTGGTTTTCCGAACACTGCGCACGCAAACACAGGCGGGGCTGCGAAACCGATACGTATAGTATGAGTTTACCTACATTGTATCGTCCTAGAATCGATAACCTGTTGGGACGGATAAATCGAGAGCGGAAGCACGTATCCGAAAACATATAGGTAATAATGATGATGAAACGAAATAATCTAACCTAACCGATGTATTAACAATGAACGACCGCGGTTTGAATCGTTTTGAATAGATGCACAGAATTTCAGCAGATGTACTTAAACGTCAAATCGTATTTCATAGGCCGGTGTGTCGATGTATAATGTCAGAGGTCGCGTCATAAGTGCAACTTAAGGAGGGGTTTGGATAGGCTTACTCTGAGTATTTTTCGTAGTCTTCCCAGATTAAAAATAATGAATCTTGACGAGTCTAGTACTGGAAATTGAGTTAAAATCGAATTATCATCTATGCCTATAATCTGAGTACACTAAATAATTGTTAAGGTTGACAATTTTTTATTATTCAGAGTTTTGGATTTCAGTTATAACCACTGCTGTGGATAGTATTTCACGGGTAAACGTGTTTCAAATCAATTGTAAATCTTAATCCACCGTGCATTGCATGTATCCACTTTGGTTTCTCACCAAGAGCGGTCACTTCCGGTGATCCTGTGAATAACCAGTCCTATGTAGCACCCCAGTCAGCATTTTTTATTTCAGGAGGTGACCAGGGAGCATTCCCCCCAAAGAAAAATGTATACCACCCCAAAAAAGTTTATTCATTAATTATTTACTCCTATAGCATACCGCATATTACATCCCTCTCGAAAATGTCCGATACCCCTCGGGGATAGGTCTAAAATAAACAGTGCCAGCTCCTTCACACAGATCGTTAAGAACACACGGTGCAGTAATAAGATACTTATGCACGTTTCGATAGTCAGGTCGTGTACGACGTTTTCTCGAAATATCACGTTGGATTCGTGATACGAATCCGTCACACGTGCATACGTATTTAAACCCTCGGCGACGGTCGGCCTACGTACACCAACGTCTCGCTTGAAACGAATCCGGGAGCGCAATTAAAAGCCTAATTACGAACCGACATAATCGCGGTGCCCACAGTTCAAGGTCTGAAATCGTCAAAACCCTCAGTGATCTACGCTTGTTCATAGAAACTCCGGCGAGACACTGTTGTCGATGGCGTACCATCGGAACTCCGAGACGCTCAACTTTGTGTCCGACATAAAGACCCTATACGTTCGAAAAATCACAGGGGCGGTTCGTAAACATGGGGAAACGGGTGACGGCATCTAAGCCTACACCCGTACGGCGCCTGAACGTTTTACCGTTTGGTTGTCCGCAAGATTTCGAGTTTTCCGAAATCGTCACGGATGATGGAGGCGTTTTATCGCAGGGGCCGTGTTGAAAGTTCAAAACGTCGAACGAAAAGTCCATACGAATGAAATGCACCGTTTCCCTAACCACGGTTTGATCCGTAGTACGTAAATGCTTTGATAAAACCGTATAGGTTGATGTCCACACTGTGACTACCAACTGTCGTTAGGGAACCGGTGCGTTTTATGCACGTTTATGTTGCGTGCCAGACGTATCCATGTGAAGCGTGGATACTGGAAGACGAGCGTGACATCCGCTTTGTTTTCCTGATATATCGATTTGTTTTACTCGAACTTCAACCCAACAGCGAAACCATCGACTCGATAATAAACAGTTTTCGATAAGCTGTAGTACCGGGACGCCGCGATGGTTTTCCAAAACGGCGGGGGAGGGTGAAAGAAGTACATCATTATATAGCTCGGCGTTGGACTACAGCGGTTCGGGAGTCATAAATATGCGACACGGACCGGTCGCCCGTAAACCCTTAGCGCGCAAGGTTTGCGGCGATCGACGGACGAACGGGGGTGGAAAACGAACGTCGGTCTCGGTCTTCCGTCTTTTCACTCGTGGAAATGGAAGGGTAACCGGGATGATCAAGCGTGCGTCTTACACCGCGAATGGCAGCGTGTGAACACTACATTAGACTTACCGGTCTCGTTGTCCGGCGACGACGTGGCGGAAAACAACGCGGGGCGCGGGGCCGTGCAGATGACGACCACGGTCGACGTCAATGCGGCCGTTGCGAATAGCATAGCGGTATGCGCGTGCGCGCACTCGCCCGCGACCGTCGTACGTCGTGTCGACGCGAAAAAAAAATATTCAAATATATTTTCGAGAAAAAAAAAAAAAATGTATAAAAAAATATATGCAAAAAAACCGGACGTAGAAGACGGAAAGAAAAAAATCAACTGCGTTGCGAATCGTTCACATGACACGCACACACACGCACTATGTTGTCTTGACGCACGCGCGAGCTTACATCGGAAGACTACAGCAGCAGCAGCAGCGTAGTACGTAGTGGCTCTGGACGGACCGTCCGACAACGGAAGCGCGACAAACTTGCGACGACGAAATGCTCATAGCATCAGCACTGAAGTGTGCACTTCATGTACACATATGATATTAATATATTACACGCTCGTAGTTGCGTACAATTCCGTTTTCGAACGCGCGCCGTGCTGCTCTACCGCAGACGACGGTAATGGGATAACGCGTACAATGGGAAAAACGTAAACACAAAAAAGAAAAAAATAAAAAAAATGAGACGTCCGCGACGGAGATGAAAACCGAAGAGCTCCGCACGAACGATAAAGACCATATAAAACACAACAAAGACCAGTCGTACGGTAACACAAGTAGCGAAAAGGTTTTTGTTCGTTCGATAAGTACGCGCGCGCATTAATAACTTATGTGTATCATTTATAATATTATTATTAACGAGCGCGCGCGGACGCGCTCACACACGCGAGCGCGCGATCGAGGTGATGCACCTATGATGATATGCATTGCCGTCGTGTAATGTAATGTTGAAACACCGAGTGGGAGTAAAAATAAACGTATATTTGAAAACACATTAGGTACACAATATTCCGGATAATCGCGTTAAACGTGTTTTTTTTTTTTCTTTTTTTTCATATTTTATTTGCTTACGTCGTTCGAACACATGATTTGATATTTACAGCGTTTCATATATTTTTTATTGATTTTTTTTTTATCTTTTATTTTTACTAGAAAAATGCAATCTCGATCTTCGTTTTTTAATTTGTCAGAGCCACTAAGGCTTCGACCACATCTCCGTGACATTCCCTCAACGTTCTCTCGGCCAGCGTTTTCGATATTTCCATTTCTCTTATCTGTAAGAAAAATGTATATACAATTTAGATGAAATGGATTTTAATTAAACACACGGGTATTTTTAATTACTAATAATAATTAATTATAATTATTGTTGCTATTATGTACAATAATTTTAAAAGTAATAAAGTTATAACAGGCACATCAATCTTATCAAACCACCGACGTCAATGAGGTGATGACGAGTAAAAAACTACTATATTTCACACGTTAAGTGCACGCGTCGGGCTACACGAGAGCCTACATTTTCTTAAAGCATATTGAATGTGTACCTTATTGTGACATTTTTTCTGAACAATGTAGAATGTTAAATTACATTATTTATATATTCTTATTATTATTTCACGATAATAATATATTCTTTTTCGATTTATTCATTTTTTTTAAACGTTTAACAAGAACTTATTATATATAACTATTTTTGAACACAGAATTTTGACTGATTCAAACTAAATACTTAATGAAAAAAAATGTTATTGTATTTCAATTGTATTGTAATGGTAGAAAAAACAAAGCAATTATAAGTTGTATTCAATAAATATTTTTATGTAGTTAATAACACCAGGGGACAAAATGCTGTGCGAGTAAAATTTTCTAATGCTAAATTAAAATCACAAATGTATCGAAAAATCATCAACTAAATACTAATTTTTCAGTTAGTAAATATTTCAAAATTGAACTTTTTGACAAAAACTAACCATTTAACAAAACTAAAGAAATTTATATTGACGAGCAGATAGTCTAATACATTATTTAATAGGCATAGTGCATAGTGATATTAGTTTACGTGATTCAAGTTCATTGACTTCCCATGATTAGAGATACCTACGTTTGCTGAGAAAGATAATTATTGCAACACAATTATTAATTATGTAAATTACGATCAAAACATATGTTGAAAATGGTAAACGGTTTTTTTGATCATAGTCTAAGTGCCACTCCTATATTACGTTACTTTGAAAAATATAAGTTCTATTTTGTATTTTTACATTTCAATATTATACAAATATTTAGGAATTCAAATATGAAAAATAATAATTTATATTACTGTTAAAATCCTAATATTTGAATAAGAAAATGATCACATATTGTAGAAAAATTCAAGATGAATGTTATATTTTAATTTTAGATTTGTTTTTTTTATATATCTTGATTTTTTTTGGTTTACATACACCCGCAACACACCAATTCTGAGTAAATTATATTAATTTACTATTTTGAATAGATCGCAATGGGAGAACAATTTTAAACAGGCATTAATCTTAAAAGGCTTTTTTTCGTTTTTAATTTAGAAGATTATACTATTTATACTTGTATTGTGCACACATTTGTGATTATTGAAATGCAAAAAATATTATTAATAATAAATTATTACGAATAATAAACATTTAAAAAGAGTTCATAGGTACTGATATAAATAATACTAATAATATCATGTACAAATGTTTGAATTGACGAATTCCAGTGACAGTACTTTGGTCAAGCATTAAAAAGTAACACTACATCGTATAAAATGCAATAGGAACATAATTATAATTTATAGAAATTTAAGAAGTAATTTAATAATTTGTATGTCGACTATTCTTCTGTGAAGTGTACATTTAAACTAATTTTTACACAATGTTTTATTTATTAGATAACAAGAACAAAAGAATAATCAGGCAGGATTGACATTTAGTTAAGGTGAGTAAATGTTAATTCTATTTGTTTTATTTTTATCATATTTAGTTTTTTTTAACTATGCACTTAATATCAATATAAATATTAAGATATAATAAATAAATAAACAAAAAAAAATGTTTAAAACGAAACAAAAGCAAAAATAATAGTGTATAGTATATAGTTCTATATAGTATTCCATACATATCCCATATAGTTTTATGGAAAATATTACATACTGTATTGTAAAATATATCATAAATGTATTAAAAATATAGGTTAAATGAAATATATAAAATGGAATATTTTTAGAAGAATAGTAAGTTTTATTTAAAAAGAGAAATAATTATTTGGAGTTCAACATTGTGTACAAAATAGATTTTGATTTTATAGAAATTTCAATTTTACAAAAGTTAACTTTTTTTTTTTTAAATATATTTTGAGTACTTTGTAAGAGTCAAAATATACTTAAATTAGTATAGATACAATTGAATTGAAATTATATCTTAGAAGCAGATAAAAAACACATACAGAGAGAGATAATTTTCTTATGTTTTCCATGCTTATTTGCATAAATTATTGAAAGTAATAATAAATCATTGCATTGCAAAAAAAAAAAATGTATATGATTATTTATCATAACCCAATGAATATTTTTTTAATATACCAATTTAACAATACATGCTTAAAGTTATCCTATGTTACAGAAATCAAAGCAGATATTTTACTGTAATCATTAAACTTAAGAAAAAAGGGCTATCATTATTTTTTTTAAGAATATATACATATATTAAATATTTATGTACTAAAGTTGATTAATTATTTAAACAATTACAGTTTTATCAGTAGTAAGACTTGAACAAATACTAAATATAATACTTTAAATGGATAAATTGAAGAATACTAGAAGATATGATAATTTAACTTGTTATTCAATACACATTTTAGATTCTAAGTGAAGTAAAAAATGTATAAATTATATAATTATATTATTCTTTCATTTCTAGGAATAAACATTTAGATTGTGAGTCAGTTAAAAGTTTCTTGGAAAAATTACAATTTATCATTTTTATGATTTATTGATTACCTTCATAATAATTTAAACTAAGAAAATAATTAAATCTAAATTAATTCATTTTAATTTTGTATAGTTGATATATCAATATTAATTGTCTAATACATAATTTGAATATGACTATTTTATGTTATAATTATTCATTATATCAATAATAATAGTAATTTTCATATTTTTAATAATTAAGATGAATTAATATGAATCATAACTAATAAGTAATAGACTGGTATGTTATTATTTATTAAAATAATGTATGTACTATACCTATCATTAAAAACATATTTATTTTAATAATATTACATTTTTATCGCTTAACTATTCAATATCTTCAAAAATGAATAGTGAAATATGATATACTTAATAAGTATGAATACAAAATGTATTATTATGTATAATTCTTGTTTAAACTGATAACTAAATTAGAATGTAAGTCATATAAATTTAATTATATTAATATACAAATATTTAAGAATTATGATACATTTGAACATAATATAAATAATTATAAACTACAACTTATGTTAAAATTAATATTGAAATTGGTTAGTTAAATTAATGCATTTAATAGACTTGAAATATTTATAGATAATGAAATAATAATTATAGTATTAAGAAAAGAAGAAAGAAGGATTTAAATTATTAATTCGTATACGATGGTTTTTTTTGGCAATAATTTGATATATTAATCTTAAAAATAAAATTGAAATGAGGACTTAAATCATTGAGAAATTTAAAGAAAATATTGAATGGTAATTATTAATTACAAAATAACAATTTATGAGTATACCCAACCAAATAGATGATTTTTATTATCAATTACTATGTTATCAAGGGGCAAATTATGCATTGCTTAACACTGCATAAACTAAACACTATAGATTGACTTACAATAAGCTCGACATCAGACTTCTTAATAGAAACTTTTTGTAATTCTTTTTCTTTGGCTATTTTGTCTGCTGCTTCTTTTAACCTTCGATCGCCGATTATGGTCATGGCCTGTACATCGGACACAAATTAATTACATTCATCATGAAAACAGTGTAAACAACAATGTGGAAAATCACCCCAGAGATGTCGTCAGTCGAGATGACTTCTTTTTCTTCGGCATAGTCGGTTACTTTCTCTAGATCGGCTGCTCCACTGTCGTACTTATTGATTTTTTTGGAGTTCACGTCGTCCACACCATCGGTTTGCTCCTCGGGACTGCCGCTTCCGTTCACGGTTGGTTCTGCTGACATTGCGATTGAGATTTTGAATGGTTTATACAATGGTTCAAGTGCTAAGTTCGTATTTAACGGTAGAAACGGACGGGACAGTAATCATAAAATCAAAAACGATGCGTTTTCGTTTCAGTGATTTGAATACCCATAGAATTTAAAAAAAAATATTCCAATGCGGCACGAACAACTCAGAGGAATGAGTGATATCTCTGATATGCCTTATCGCAACCGTTGACTGTTATCAATCGGAATCCCGACGTGCACGAAGTTAGCGACGAACGGATCCGGCCGTGTTGTCGACGGGAATACGAGTAAACGGAGACGGCGAATCTTTCGATTTCAAGTGAAAACACGCAAACCACGAATGCCATGTAAACTTCTATTTGTATATAAAAAAATCTGATCGGCTGTGACCCGACCGGTGGTGACCATAGGCGCCGCCAAGAATTTCGTCCGGGGGGGAGTAAATCATGCATAGTATATACACTAATTTTTAAATAATGCTTTAATTATTTAAGTTTATAAGTTTTCGAATCGTATGACAGTACAAAATTGTTTTGGTTTTTTTCGACGGCTACAAAGTAGTGCACGATATTAGGAAATCCGATAACGATAATATAGGCTCTACCTTACATTTTTAAATTTTATTTTATTTTATTTTTTAAATCCAGGGGTGTGCAAGTGTACCCATTTGCACCCCCTCGCGGCGCTTATGGTAGTGGCTGGAATCATTATTTCCATCGAACCTCTTGTAATATTTTCAAGCCATCCGTCGCAAGATAACTTTTAAGCATTCGATTGTAATAGCTTTTTAAATTTGAGTTCATGCGTTAATTAGTTTATAAATAATAATTCTGAAACTTGTAATTGCAATGAACAGTTCGAGAATCACCGCAACGACGAATCCTTTTAGTTTTTCATATTAATTTTATCGGTGGTTTTCGAACCTGGTATATTAAAAAAAAAAAAACCAATTAAATAATGACCTTGAGAAAAAAGGTTTTAAAACGTTAAACGTGGCCGACACACGTGTTGTGAAAATGTTGAGAAGAGCTTGGTGTGCCGTGTTAAAAAAAAAAAAAATTATTTTAAATAATTGTCGAACATCTCTGTGGTTCACAGTTATATTTGTGGTATAGATTATATATAGACGCGATGCACAATTAAAATCTCAATGATAAATTTAAACTGTCTGAAAATACACGTAGTCACGACTGTGAGTAATCGTTAAGTTAGATGACGCGGTTATCAATAATGAACAGTTAATATTATTAATTTTTTTTTTTTATTGCAAAGACAAAACGATATGAAATTTCACTTTAAGTCATACAAATTATAACTTTATTGTTACGATTATCATTACGCTCATGCAGTTTATTCAAGTAATTTCGAACATGACGTAGTAATCATTCGAAATTCATAGAAAGTTTAATTTTTTGTCGACGTCGGTGAAAAGTAGTAGTGCGCAACACGAGACATTGCGTTTGTAGTCTGTAGTATAGTTATTGAAGGTGTATTAACAACTTTGGCATAGATTCTGCGTCAAAGTAATTTGTTTGAAATTGGGTACAATTCGATTAACAACATTGTTTTCATGGATACAGGAGTGAACCTAAGGGAAGAGGTTCAGGAGCTCAGCTGACCCACATTTATTTTTTGTCGATAAAATTGGCCTCTTGAATACTTTTTATGCACCTGAAGTGTACCGAATATAGGTTGAAGTCAATACCAGACCGAGGAAAATGCTTCAGTTGCCAATCCTTCTCCACCCAAATTACGGCACTGGTTTGACTGCGTAGTACAGTGAAAGATCTCTATGGCGGACCCCATGAAAGGCTTTCATAAAAGAAAATAAATGCTAATATTTTCAATGATTGAATTATGAAAAAATTTAGAAAATACATATTACATAATCATATTAGGTTTTTTGTCACAATGTATACATTTATAATCCAGTTTCAACCCTAATAAGTGCCCTTTTGAAACAGTTTGAACCACAGTTTTCTAATTGTGGAACCACCTCTGCATGGATGCGTATTATGGCTGGAGGTAATGTTAAAATGTGGTTCGAAACGTCACGTCGGATTTCACGCGATCTTCGAGCGAAAAGTTCAAACGTGTAAAGGGCACCGTTTCCCCAACAATGGTTTGGCTGCATCATGGTGTAAGTTCGTTGTGAAATTATAGCACAAGTTGTGTGTAAATATTTTGAAAAAAGCAGAATCTGTGTGTTCTACTTCGACAATCAAACCGTTGTTGGGGAAACGACACATTTCACTCGTTTTTGTGTGTTGCGCGTAAGACATATAAGTACATATATAAGTCTGTAAAATTACGGAGTGATCGTCGACAATAATCACTTCTACGAATAGGATATCTTGTTAATTATTATACAATAAATGTTTTATTTTTGTAGCGAATGATAAAATATTATAATTTCATACAATATATTACGTTCGGAAAAATGTATCAGAGCATGCATTTCAATTGCCTATATATAAGCGCCGTCTTATCCGAATTTATTTGACCTAATATATAAAATTTAATTTCATGTTATATTTATTTTATTCATTGTTCAATTTTAAACTTAAACTTCGAATCCGCATGATAACTGTCGTCCGTACAGCAAGTATTATTAGTGCTCCAGCACAAATCGAACTTCTTATTTCTGAAACTCATCGTACGTACAAGTATGGAGAACCTAAATAACCAGAAAAGAAAAATCTTTCAAAACATTTCTTCACACCAAATGTATTTCAATTCTGGTGAACTACACAGAATGAATTACGGTAAATATAATTGCTTAATTATATACACATATATCTTATCGTCGATAACCATCGGTCACTGTTCGGCCGAGCGTCCTTCAAACAAGTATACATCGCATCAATGTTACACAATATTTATAGTATTATATATTATCACGCAAACAATAACAATAAAAATACTAATTACAAATAATCAAAAAAATATAATCGCACTTCATTATGTTATTTTCTAATAACAAAAATATGCCCAATGTCACTCGTAAAAGTATATAAAACAGTTCAAATACCTCTCGTACATCTATATCTGAACCCATTTATCAATAAATCAAAAACGTATCAATTCCTATATTCCTCATATCAAAAACATCCAAAAATACTTTTCATGGAGTTCGAATATCCAGATCCACCCTAAGCATGCCCTTATATTCAGTATAAATGTTTTCATAATTTTATTCGATTAGGTGCACGATCAGTTGGTCACAGTATATATGTATTATAAAATAAGCGCATAATCAATCATTTATTTTTGCAAACAATTTTTTTCAATTTTATATGGTGCTCCATTTTCTTAACTGTAGTACTGATTGATAATCGTTTGAAAAATTGACCAATGATCGAGGTATTTAGTTAGTGATTTAGAACAAATTGCATCGTGCTTTGGAACACGTGTACGAATATAGAAAAACAAAATTAATAAATATTTTATTTAAAGCTTTTATATTTCCTAAACCATTTAATAAATAATCTATCACGCCGTCATAGACAACGGTTATGGGCAATGACAATTTTGTAGTAGTATGAGTAATGGTAGTACATTTTCCTGCGGGTAAATGGGTTTTTGTGACTGTAAAATAAATTTTATGTTGTCACACAGGAATACAATTTAATGTTACGTAAACAATATTAAATTATTATCATAATTATTTGTATAACGTTTCAGGTATTCGTTTTATATACTTATGTTATGTGTAAGGAAATTATTTGCTCAACTCGGGGAATATCAAGGGATACGGGTTAGTGGGGTCCAATGTGTCCGTACTGATCGGTGTCGGCGGTCTGGGATCTTGTTCGGTGCACCCGACCAACCAGTAGGTGACCACTGCGCCTTTGCCCTTTAGCTCCACGTCACCCCTCAGTTCCAGTTTGAACGTCTGAAATGTGTCTAGTATGTGTTTGGTCGCCCAGCTTACGTGAATTCTCAACGCTAAAAAAAAAAATGTTCTTATTTTTACTGGGAAGACCGACGCAGGTGGTGTTTTTTTCGTTCGAATCATTATTAAAATTTATCGATTTCTATACACCAATAATCATAGGCGCGAATAGTGGTGCACGAGATTTAGAAAGCAGTGAGTGGGCTTAAGCTTATAAATATACATTATGTTATGAAGTTATTATTAGTTTGATAGGGGATGGTATAGAATATCTAGTGTTAGATAGGGTTATTTATAGTTAATAAATTAATCTTATTTCATATAAATACTCGGAAATTTATCACTATTAACACCGTTGCTTACGTTCTCCAGTCGATTCCATCCTGGACGCGGTGTTAACTGTGTCTCCGAATAAACAGTAATGAGGCATTTTTTGACCGACGACACCTGCACACACGGGACCTGCAAAACGAATGACAAGCACGTGTTGAAAATTATATCATTCGAAGAATTTTCTCTCTTGAACACCTTGTACAGTAGACGTTAGTTCAAATACCGATTGTACCGTTTCTATTTTTACAGTTATCATCTTACATTAAGTTAAAAACTAAAAATTTACTTCGTTGTTTTTTCTGTTTTTATTCTCTTGGTTAGATTAATGATAACATAAATTCATATTGATTACATTACGTACAGAATTGAATCATCCCTGTATTCCGGTTAAAATGATAATCTCAACTTTTTAAAATTTAAAATTTTTTAAAGAAAGAAGAAATCATAGCAATTTTTCATTCTTAAAAACAATTATAAGCCATCATGTATTGATGATTTTTTTTTTTAACTCGTAAAAACTATGACGTAAGTTTTCATAAATTCCGTGATAAAAGTGTATTTTATTTTCCACATTATTCTCAAAAATACGAATAATCTTTTCCCATTAATATTGTGTTCAAAATTTTGTAAGGTTAGGTTAGGTTAGCTTATAAATCGTGAAATTCACTTACTAATATTTACAAAATTATTAATTCAGAATATGTAAAATTGTACTGGTACATGATATCTATTTTATTTAAATATTTTCTCCTACCTACCTAGTTTTATTAATTTTCAATTCCATTTTCATTCATTTGTAGATAAATAAAAATATAGTTTTTTATTATGTATATTTCACTACGATATTTTGCAAGAGAAAAAAAAATTATCAAAAATGACTGTGAACAAAAGAAAAACCTATAACATTACAGTAGAAACTTAGAAACTTGATCGGGACCGTGACTATGACGGTTAATCGAATAGGCGGTTAACAGAAAGTTTTAAATAAACATATATTTTATGCATGTATTTTCAGAAAAAATAATACATCTATATTCTACATATTGCATACCATACTAAACACTACCAAACAAAAACAAACAATTTTAAATAAAATAATCTGTTATTTTATTTTGTTTTTTTTGGCGTTCAAACTTTTTTAGCTGCAATATTTCGTATTTTATGTAGTCGTTAAACTTGTCAATCACTGATTAAATTAAAAATAATTCAATTTGTTCATTCACGTCGTGATTTTCACATAAGTTGGATAATAGGAAAAATCTGTACAGGTACGCTGATGGTTCCCGTAACAAGTTCATCGCGATTGTCTCAATAACGATAGCGGTGACGGATAATCGAGTTTCTACTGTATAATATATAAATTTAAAACTATGTTTGGTACAGTCGTTCAAATTTAATGTTTTAAAACAATAAAACTTTCTAACAATTCAACTATTATCATTTTAAACATCTTATCCCAAATTTCTTTAACCACATTTTATATTTATTTATTTTATTTCTATCTTATACGTATAAACAACAACAAATAAAATTTTATTATTATTAAAAATTATCGATGTAAAAACAAAAATTTGTTAAACAATTAATTTAATAAATAGAAAAAAAATAAATAAAAAAAACAATAATTATTGCACCATCCAAATTAGGCATACGGTTAATTTTGAACTGTAATCTATTTTTAATTCGGTTTTTTTAAAATTCTTGAAAATAATATAATACGCTTCGAACAAATACCTGTGTGAATTCCTATTCGGACTTTGAGCTGAGCATCGGGTTTATGTTGAATGGTGAACATCTGAACGGCGTCTAGTATAGCTAAAGCCATTAGTGCAATTTCTTTGGCATGGTTGTCACCGTTTCTCTCTGGCAATCCAGAGACAACCATGTATGCGTCACCAATCGTTTCGACCTAACAATGTATTTACACATTAGACATGGCATATTGAAATGATTAAAAAACACGAGGAATTTATTAAGATTCGGTATTGTTACGCAAGTAGGTAATGTTTTCCACATGCGAGTTTATTTTTCCAATACAAATTAAGCATTCGCGTTTAGTATTAATTCAATATAATATTTTAACACATCACACCCGTAGCCGTATGCGAACAATACACCGATAAATTTTAATTGTGAACGAAACCGTACACGCACTCACACACATTACCTTATAGACGTCGTAAAATCCTATTATCCGATCGAACGTGCTGTACAAATCGTTCAAGAGGTTTACCACCTGAAAACCCGAGAAAAAAAATGTTGTGAGAAAATTGCACAATGTCTATTGGTTTAAACGTTTTCGATTAACCTGCATTGGAGAACTCTGAGCGCACAGGACGGTAAAGCCCACGATGTCGCTGAAGTACACCGTGACGCTTTCAAATTGTTCTGGTTTAACCATTTCCCCGGCCATTAGTTGTTGAGCGACAGGTCTGCGAGGTGAAAACAAATATCCGTCGATTAAAAAAAAAAAAAATGTAAATCATCCACTAGGATTTCAATCATTACGATACGGTTAAAACGATAAGGGACGCGTTTTCTAATCGTATACCTATTTTATACAACCACTGACCTGGGCAGTACTTGAAATAACAGTTCTTCTGATCGACGTTTTTCTTGACTCAACTGATCGGTTTTTTCCTCGACCAGAGCTTCCAAATTGTTCGCATACTGTTCCATTCGTAAAACCAAGTCGTCCATTAAATTTTCACAGTATCCCCTGGATCGAATACCAATTAAGTAAATTTTTAATTTAAAGCTTATGATCAATATGTACACGCATAATGAGACGGTTTCAAAAATATTCTTGTCGCTTCTATTGCATAAAAATTATTCAAGAAATATGATTTATGATTGTTTAATGTTCACTGTTATAAAGTAGTATAAAAACGAAACTATAATATATAATGTTCGTGTGTCGCGAGTCCTGTGGGTTTTAATTTGAAGCGGATAGGTTAGGATAGGTTTTTTTTAATTTTAATCACTTTTGAAGACGTACCTACTACGTATGTCTATATTTGCGTCATCGAGTTGAGCTTTTCCCAACATTTTTTCGTTAGTTTTCATGTCGTCTGTCAACCGATTCCGGTCGACGACCGATTACTACATCATCACATGTTGGTTAAGACAGTATAGGTTAGTGGGTTAAATATAACTGGCTAACCGGTTTTGACAAAAATTTATTTTAGAATTAGCATATTATTTTATACCTCTAATGTTGGAATATTAATTTTATTATTTATTATTATTATTTTTTATTATAAATGACGTTTAACACAGATTTTTAATAAAAAAAAAACATTCGTCCGCGTAAAACCGTCGTATACTCGAAATATTTTAAGTTGTTTCAATTTTATTTTCTTCCAAACAGGTTTCTCGTGACTTTTGTCGGTCTTATTCGTCCATATATTAGTTATTCATTATAGTTTTTCATTCCCACGTACGACATTACATTAAACACTCAACTCGTAAAGAGTATACCGCAGTTTCTTGCTGGTCGAATTTATTTTTCATCAGACTGATAAAATTACATTTACATTTGCTTATACTGTTTTGATAACAATCAGAGTTAATTTTATGTTTACACATCGTTTGTATGCACAACAGTTTTGTGTCTAACGCTTCGATATCCGAATAAAACTTTTTAACATTGTTATCATTAGTGCTGGTATTTTGCATTTTGCAATTTATATTGTTTTCCAAAGCTTTCAAGGCGTAGCTACTTTATTTAAAATTTTCTATTTTAAGTTTATATTGTATTTTAGTTCGGGCTTTTTAAGAGATTTTTGATCTAAAATTTTTATTTGAAATTGTATTTTTAAATTTTTACTCACTAGTGTGATTTTGATTTAATTATAATACCGTATTTATTCAAAAAATCTGAAGCAAGCTTTGGTGATTCAGTATATTAACTCACAATGAACAGGTTGATTAATATTCATTATTTAAACACGTTAAAATAATAATTAATATTAGGAAATAATATTTTCTCAAATTAAAAGAAGTCCAAATCAAAGATGTCCATTTTTGCGTGTAAAACTTTTTTTTTAATTAACATTTCGTTTTTAATTAAATCAATATAATAAAATATTATTTGTATTAAAATAATTAAAAAAAAAGCTAATTAAAAATGTATATATATATATATACATATATTTAGAATACTATTTAGTCCATTATTTAGAATTTTCAAAAAATAAAAGCAATCTTTTATGTTTAGTGTTATTAGATTTGTATAGGGAATTATATTTCAAACCAAAATTATAAATTGTAGAGTCCTGTATATCGATTGGTGAAATGATATTTTAATTTAAACTTATTAAATGTTGTTAATAAACACGGACTGTTTTACCTGGTAATTTGTCGGACGATACTTCGCATTATGTCGAAGCCAGGTCTCTCTTCGGGAATATCATTCCAACATCTTTGGATGAGTTCGGACAGAGGTTCAGGACAATCGTGTCCAGATATATCCGGACGGAAGTATGGTTCTTCACGCTTCTCGACTCGTTCCAAAATTTCTAAATTTAAAATCGATTGAGGATTACATTATTTCAAAATTGACTATATAAGGATGTCAATTAGAGTTTTTTTTCTTCAGAAATTAGTTGGGTTTTATCCACAACAATTAACGAATTATATTTTTAATCCAAACTGTCGGTAACATTTCATTTTGGTTAATTTATATTGTATTTCGTACACGATTAATATTAACATAAACTTGATATTATTATTCATGACACAAGGTACCTATTAATAAATAATTTGTTATTGTAAATTATCACGTTCTAGTACTGCAATATTCAATTGGAAAAAAACAATGAATTATATACACTATGAACAATGTGTTTCGTTGTCTCTGGTGAATACGCGGTGGAAAAAGTCGGACTTATTACACATATCTGTACACATATATTTATTGATACTTAAACTTTTGACGGATTATGTGTAAATATATATGGAATATTATAGTTATTATTTTATTTATTTGCACGTTAAGTACGTGATGCGATTACATGTTCACTCATTTCTGTAGGACTTAACTCACAAACGGTTAAATGTGTAAGTTATAATACATCGTTTAATTTAATTCGATTGAAATAATACCAGAAAAATTGAACTTATTAAATTTTTATTTTAGATTCATCTATCCGATATAACTTTAACACATTTATTGAGTTAAATTTGTAATTAGTAGTCTATTATAAATTAAAATCAATAAAAAAAAACTATGTTCACATAATATGTGTTCTTGAATTCTATATGAAATAACTTGTTGAATAATAAACGTATAGTGCGTCGTGTAATATTATAATATATATTTAATTCGGTGGGAAAATATCACGGTTTTGTCCTACAATCCTTAGTCGCAAAAAATGGGCACAACTGTAACTGCTTAACTATGCTTAAGTATACATGGGTAAATAATTGTATGAAAGCGATCAATAAGATCCATACGATTTAGGTACTTAACATGTATATTTATTTGTTAAAAAATAGGGGAAACTCTGATTTTTGATTGTTTCTTTGCCTTAGGTATTATTAGAATATATTTTGTACATATTTTTTAGAACAGTGATCATGATGGTTTCTATCAGAAAAAATTATTAACGATGTTAAAAAAGTGAAATGTTTACCTTGTGTAGTCAAATCATTCTTAACAAATTCATAAGGTCCACCACGGACAACAATTTCTTCCAGTACAATAGCAAAACTGTAAACGTCTCCTTTTTGGGTAGCCGGTATTAAGTTCGTGGTGTGTTCGGAAAGGAGTTCTGGAGCCACCCATAATAGTTCTTCCGGAAATAAAACCATCGTTAGAAATCGTTTCATTCAGATAACAATAATTTCGAATAAATATTTATAAATTAGTAGTAGACAAATAGAGCCCTACAAATAGTAGATGAATATAATTATAAAAAAAAAAAAGTGTATATATTTTTAAATCGTTATGCGAAACTTGAAATATAATGCGATTCATTATCATGATAATTTTGTAATAGCATAGAATGTTTAATATTAAATGTATTTTTATTTTTAATGCAAAACTGTAAAATGTCAAACATTAAACTTAACTTAAATATGAATACAGCATATAGAATTGATAATTTTTTTGACAAAAATTTACTTTGACGAACTTAATACCTTAAAAATTTCAATCATAAATCAAATAAATTTGGTGTGTATCTTAAAATGTCGTGCAATATCATTCTGATTTTGAACTATAAAAATATTTAATAACAGTACAATATTCACCAAGTTAGTAAGAAATTAGAAAATATGTGTGTTAAATTTATCTTGTAGGCCAAAATAATTTATAACTTAACATATTTATTTTTATTTTTTTAGTGCAGTAATAAAATGTTTATATTCTGTGTATTTGTATTTTTAATGTTATGAAATGTGATAAATGAGACCTGTAATTTCTTCGTTTAGATTTTAGGTACTTAGAAAATAAACGGGGTTTTTTTTTTTTTTTTTTATTAATATTTTATATTTTTATAACTTTTTATTTAAACTTTATAACATAATTAAAAACCACGTAGAAATTAATACTTAGTTTTACCTAAAATATTTGATTTTTTTTTTCATAGTATTTTATTATTATTAGTTCATTACCTAATCGCGTGAGTCTATATGTACAAAATAAAAGTATTTTTATAATTTGTGGAGCTAAGAAAACTATATTAAAGATTACCAAACGAAATTCTTAACTATGTACATTCGATTTTAACAAATTACCAGTAAACATTGTTATTATAGTTGATTTAATTTGAATGGGACTAATATAACTTGTTACAAGGGGCAACTATGTAGAACATGTAAGCCTTTTTACTTTATTCCAAATACGCGTTTTAAATATTATAATGAACATTTCGGTGAATTCAGCGCTAAGGCATTTATAACAATGGTTAGGTAATTTTTTTGATTATGTCCTTAATATAATATCTATCATAAGACGATTATGATAAGGCGATTAGGATTCGATTTTAGTTGTAAAATAAACTTAAATTGTGAAATAATTTAAAATGAAAACGATTAAGAACGATTTCTAGTGAAAAAATTGAGTTGTAATTGTTTGGAAATTATAAGTAAAATTGATTTAAATTTAAATGAAAAAACTTATTATTTGCTGACGGAAAAGCGCGAGATTTACACAAATAGAACTTCAAACGAATTGATATTTCAACGATAATGCGTAAAACTTTAAACACTCATTACACAAGCATAATATAATATATATTATTTTATCCTATGACGGTTACAAACGTTTTATTAATTTATTTATTTATTTTTTTTTTGATTAAAATTTCAGAATCATAAGAAACGGGAATATTGACACGACCCTATTTATCTAATTATTCTCAGACCTTTGTCAAAATTTCTCACTCCAGCTTACTATGGTAGTAAACACTATCGTGCACGACTTCCGATGGTGTGGTGAGCGTACGCAGCCCGAAGTTGGACAGCTTGAGTACGAACCGTCCATCGATCAGGCAATTACTCGATCGCAGTTTTCCGTGCACTCCTACCTCGCAGCTATGCAAAAACGCCATGCCCTATGACAATACAAAAATACAACAGTGCGCCGGAGTACTATATAAAGGGGGCTTCCTAATCAATTTTTAAGGAAATTTAAAAAATTATATAACAGGGGCTTCTACGTTCATTTTTAAATAGTTTTAAAATTACTTGAAAATCGACTCGGAAGCTCCCTTTATATACTTCTGGCCGAAATCGTTAACAGATTATATTATAATACATAAATAGCGGAAAGTCGCAATTTCAGTTTTTGATCCCAAGTGGGTGCAAACATTTTAAGAAGTAATTGTAATAATAAGAAGTAAGAAGAGACCGACCCGATTAACTCCCTACCACTTTCAAAGGCCAATTCTTCCATATAATCTTACGTGTAAATAAAATTATTTTTCTTTCTCTCAAAATCGAATATTATATTGTTAAATTTCGATTATCTTTAAAGAAGAGAAAAACGAATACTTAAGTCGAACGACTAAGAACAAAGTCGAAATCATCGATATAACTCATAAAACTTATAAGGGAGTACGAATGAATACACATCCTGCCCCATCTCCTCAAAACGTGTTCTTGATTATAAATAAATTATTTAATATCGGGTATCTTGTAGCGAGGATGCTTGGGGTCCTTATCCTGTGTTCACGTCAACGTATATACCTTGACGATATCGTGTATCAATGACATCCTGAAGTTCCAGTCCAATCTAAGTGCGTCGTTTTCCAGAACATCTTTTAAGCTTCCTTTCGGACAGTACTCCGTGAGTATGAGTACGGTAGGACAATGGATGCACGCGCCAATAAAACGTACAGTATTCTCGTGTGTCACGTCACGTACCTATTTTCGAAATATTACAACCATTTATTTAACATAGTTGTACAATAGCATAATTTAGCCAATCTTCGTGATAGTAAAACAATTATTATTTTTGCAGTTGCAAAACACCAACGAAAGGAGCGGTTTAACGTTGGTTTAAATACACACAGTACATGTTTGGAATACAAATATTTACTGACTAAAGGTTGTATGTGTCATTTAAAATCAAAATATTATTTTTGATGATCAATAACTAGACGTTATATCGTCGTGATCTGCATAAATATACGCGGAGTAGTTTTTTTTTTTTTTTTGTAGCTATCAATAAAATGGGCATTTAAAGATTTGGTGGAACGTTCGATAGACGCAATTATTGAACAGAAATTTATAATTTATTAAATAAAATATTGTCGTTTGTGCATTAAATAATTTATTTAATTTATCAAATCAATAAATGCTGCAGTTGCATAAAAAAAATATTATTTTTACATGCATAATGTAATTAATTCTTAGTACACAATGCGCATTGCAACAGTTCTTAATTGTTGTTTCAAATTCACAAAGCAATGGATCACTTTTCGACCAATAAATTAGAAAAAATAATAAATTTAAATTAACAAACGTTAACAAATCAAAACACCGAGAAAATTAAAAACTAATTTCAGTAATTATTTTAGTCTGTATCGATTTATTCCGAACACGTATCATCGTAAGTAAAATGTATATCCATGTAATATTCGAAAGCTTATAGTGTTAATTAGTTTATACTCACTTGTTTAATTTCCCATAAAAGTTTTTTGTTCAGGTCGACTTTTTTTTTGACAACTTTTTTTATCGCAACCCTAGATCCCTTTAATGGTACGAATACAAAATATATAAAGAAATAATCATTGTGAAGTGGTTTTTCATTCGTTTACAATTTTTTTTATTTTTTTTTTAATTTTTTTTTTTACCTTGTAAATACCAACTGTAGTGTAAACTTGAGCCGGTGGCAACGACGAATTTGACGTGTCAGACCTTCGACGACAGATTAATTTTTCTTGCAACGCTGGTTCGAATATCTACGAAATAATCAAGATACGTAACATGGTAAGACTTTTACAATAACGAAAAAAAACCCAAATTATATTTTTCACACAGACAGTTGATCATAACACTATTTCCATTTACGATTGATGTAGTAATAATCATGCGCTGTGGATCTTGATGCGAAAGTGAGTAATATTTTATCATTACACCGCTCGTAAACGAAAAAAAAAAATAATATAGTAAAATAAATAAATAAATAATTATACCGTTAAATGGGATTAAAAATCATGTTTTTCTGAGTTCGCCATAAAGTTTGATTTAGATCAATTTTCAAATGTTTTTTAAATGTTGTGCTTAACATATAAAATAATTAACTTTTGTTGAATATGATATTTCTAATTTTTTTAATTATATTTTGGGAAATTTTAGGAGATAAAATCGAAAAATTGGGGAAAGTTGATCTAAAGTGTACTGTATGACGTATTCAAATCAGTTTTAAATTGATTGATTGGTAGGCACGTTGGAAATATCTTCTGCGTGTGATAGACAAGGACTTCAAGAGACACTGTACAATATTATATGTATATGTGTGCTACACACGAGCCGCGAAAATCGTTATATAATTTTAATAATTTTTTCTCTACATCTCTTTCGCATTACCTCGGTGGGCTTCTGCAGAGCCAAACGAGACGAATACGGTTTGCTGACTTCAATTAATACTTCTTCTGGTCGCACTCTCCAACTCATGTTGTTCAGATCCGCAGCCAGTTTCAACTGCCTATAGAAATGAAACGCACATATGCCAGTTTATAATGATAATGCAGGGTGATCCAAAGGTGAGGTACACCATGTGACTTACCTGTTGACGATAATAGCTAGCACGGTGACGAATGAAATGAACACGGTGAAGGCTATCAACGCGTACAACGTGATATAGTAAGCATCTGTAATTACGAGTGGAAAAAAAAACAAACAACAATCAGTATGGATCAAACACTTCGGGTGTTAATAAATACTATTAACTAGCGGAAAACTACTCTAATGATAGAGCAAGTGAAATATAAAATTATTTACGTTGCAAGTATGATTTCCCGTCAGAAATGTAAACCGGTTACAACCTGTTGCATACGAATCACGAAAAAAAAAGTGTATTATCAAAAAAGAGCTTTAGACATGGATTTTCTAAACGGTTTCTAAAAATCACTCGATGTAAATTCTCAGCAATGAATCTATTGTTATAACGTCATAAAAACGGTTTTAAGTTCATCGCCTTCACGTAGTGGACAGTACATTTTAGTCATGTGATTTATTACCGTGAAATTGTCGATGATAACTTAACAGTGCTGAGAATATTGTTGTTTTTTATGGAAAAAATGAATAAATGTTATAATAAGAAAAACTTCGAAATTTCTATTAATTTATCAACATCTTCATAAGACTTGCAAAATATCTCGAGACAAACCGTGGAAATCGTACAATATTGTATAAATACAAATCATGGGTATGTATAAATTACAATATTTCGACCGCAATTATTTAATCATAAATTCTGATACGCCTTAAGTAGAATTGTTGTTACAAAAAAAAAAAAAAATCATTACACATATTTCACTCGAAACGTATAGAATTCAATTTAAATCCAATTTCCGAATGAATGAATACACTTTATAAACGAAAGAAATTAAAGCGCATTTGCTACTAAAGAAAATGCTCGTGTATATCGAAAAAAAAAAATATATCTTTATAAAAGTTAATTGCTTTTAAATTAGACGATTTTATTGATGTAGGTTCCAGTTTATGTCATGGAGGCATTGGTCTATCGCGATTTTGTAGACGGGCGAAATAGTATGTACAACTTTAAATAAAAATTGGTTGAAGTAAAGAAAAAAAAAATGTTGTATACAAATTAGTGCGTGGCACATCGGAAAGTTTACGCTTATTCGAGGGGTTTATTTTTCTTGTTAAAAAAGTGTTTCGTTTATAAGAATTGAACGCGTGTGTGGGTTAGGGTTTTCATTACATTGTCATCCGTACATTTCCTTATTACTTCTCATACGTAATGTTATGTATTGGTTTGTTCCAAATCGAAACGATAAATGATCAAACGCAGTCATAATTAACCCCCCCCTCCCGAATTGTTTTAAAACGGCTAACACGATTGCGCAATTTTTCTTTTTTCGACCCGACTAATTACATCACGATTGCGGATTGCACAAAAAATTTGCAACACGATTGCGCCCCGATCCCATTTTACCTGATAAAATCACAACACCATTGCGCACCTATATTATTACCTATTCATTCACAATTTTCCTTCACAATTGTTACATGCTTAGGACTGTCAACAAATTATCATCGTTGGCTTGGTTAAAAATTGTTTTTTTTTTTAAATTACATGTATGCTAAATGTATATACTAATATGGTCCATAGTCGATATTATTAAAACTATCATTAGCTCAATCAACTTTTCATTTCGATTTGAAAAAGTTCATTTTGTGAATTAATAATTTGAGTGCATGTATATGCAAATTATAAAAAGTATGTATTGTATACATTATTTTATGTTGTGCATAAATTATTATATATATATAGTATGGTATATACACAAATAATTTGGTGCGCAATGGTGTTGTGATTTTACTAGGTAAAAGGGATCAGGGTGCAATCGTGGTGTAATTAGTCGAGTCAAAAAAAGGAAAAATTGTGCAATCGTGTTGTACCGATTTAAAACCACGCTATGGTGATTGAAATTTACAGATTCATCTATTGTGCAGTCAAAAAGTTGATTGTTAACAGTTAAGTTTTTAGTTAAGGCATTCAGTTCAGCGTATACAGAAGGTTTTAATTACACGGTCACAGGTTTCGACAGTAAGATTTTAATCGAATATTGGTATTTTTCTGTTTGGCATATGATTATTTGCGTTTTTTTTTTTTATAAGTCTATAAAATATTATTTTTTTATTATTATTTTGGTTCACAGTAAAAAACAAAAAAAAAAAATAATAAAAATTAACATTTTCACAAACAACAGTCCGACTCCAAGTTGATCCTTTAAATCTGTATTTACGATGTACTATGTACACGTAATTTATTCATTCTAAAGCTCATGAATATAATTAATATTATTTTTATATTAGTTTTAATGAAAATATTGAATCAATTACACTACGCGATGTTTAACGGAATGAAATCCTTGCAGGTTTGAGTGAACGTCGACAACTGGAATTAACAAATCATTCCTAGGCAGTGGGGATTTTTTTAATCTCAACTTGAAAGGTACTGATGTTACTAAATAATTATAAATAGATTAAATTAATAGAAAATTAGTACTTAGTGCGTAAAAATCGTCTACACATATACATATTTTAGTTATCTTTTTTATATTTTTCGTTTGGAGGGGAAGTGAATTCCGATATCCCTGGATCTTCTGTACATACACAATACTGCTACCATTAGATCATATATTCAAAAATATCTGCTACGGGTGCGCGAACAATAGTAGAAATACAAGAATTCACGTTTCGTCAGCATAACGAATTTTCGTTTTAAATAGTTTTTATTCCGAATTTACAAATCGTTATTGTTTACGCGTCTGAGTGCATCACTGCGCGGATCATCGAACCGTCCGACGGACAGGTTGGCGCCAAATGTCCAGCAGCAGTTGGATAGTAGAAATGTAGTCGTAGTAGTGGAAGTAGTAGTAGACAGTAATAGTAGTTGTGCTTAATGTAATCCGGGAAAAAAATCAATCGCCGAGTCATCAGAGGTCAGAGCGTCACTGTTATTATACCTTTCGAGTCGCACGCCGGGCTGTTGCCCATGAAACCGCAGGACGGCACGTCCTTGGGAGGTCCGTCCGATCCTCCGGGCCAATGGATGTGTTTGCCCACCACGGGGCTGTAGTTCCTTGCCTCGCCGTAATAACGGGCCACCACCTCGAACCGGCCGGTGATCGGGTCCAAGTCCAGTATCGCGTAGTCCGCATCCCTGTCGCCGTTCTCGTCAATCCTCACGCGACCCGTCACACCTGCAGGATGACGCACGCAATGACAATAAAAACAACATCGAACAGCGTCCGACAGCAATTACAATAATAACGATAATTGTAACGTTATTACGGCGATTCGTCGGCGGCGGTAATTTATTTCTCGTCGCTATTCACCGCACCGACATCGATCCCGCGCACATTGTAACGTTGTAATAAATAATCGAATACTCACTGTTATCGCATCGCGTCACCTGTTAGGGATCGTACCTATATCGCTTTTGTCGTCATATAACCATTGTAATACTATTGTAATTATACATCAGCGGTTGCCGAACTGTGCGAGCAATTAATGGGGGGAGGTATGAATTGCGTTTGTTTATTTCTTTCCGGACGAACAAAAATGTTTGAACATTTAAACAATCAAGAGTCGAACAGTAATGATTGTAACCAACGTTTTATTTTATTGAATTAATTAGTGGGAAGCGCAACGAATTTTATTTTATTTTTAAGGGGATCGAATTGAAAAAAATCTAGTAACTTTTTCCTCTCTTAACCGAATTTAATAGACTTTAAATCAAAATATGATAATACTGACACTTTATGCGATCATAAAGTATTGTGCGACGAAAATTATTCATTTAAGCTCGATCACAAATAATTTTGGAAGCGGTCGGGGGCGATTTCTCAAGGCTGTCGTCCCTCCCGAAAGCCGTGGAAACCGTCACCGCTGTTGACCGGGTACGGATCAGTGACTATGATGCGATTAAACCTTTCTATTACTGATTACAAAGCGATGAAATTATTATTATTATTATTATTCAATCCCTAGAGGACGTCGACCTAGTTCGAAAAGAACGCTTACGCCTATATACGATCAACGACTCGTATACGTATATGTCGCGCGTTGCGTAGGAAATGTCAACGAAACCGTTCGCAATTTTCCCGGTGGATAAAATATTATTCCGATTCGTCGCGCACACGAAACTCGGTCGAACGGAAGGTCATACGAATCTGCCCCCTTACTCCACACTTATCACTGTTGGGGTAAATAATATTATTTAATGCCACGCATTAAGGTGTACCGTCTACTTCATTCGCATCGGAATTAGTTTTATTGTTTTTAAGTTTTTCGATTTTTTTTCCATCGTAATAAGTTCGCGGTCGTATCGGGGGATAACATTGAAATGTACAAATAATCGAACATAACCACTGTAATTCTATCGTTGATAAACCAATTAAATTACCGTTCACTATCATAGGATCTACGGGGCTTAAATGTTTTACAAATACGAAAACTGTAAATCCGGTGAATCCAATACACATGTATAATAATTATATATTGCCTTCGTCTTTCACGCGCAGTGAAACGTAGTATAAACTATACATTTTTGGTCGCATTTGGTACGGTTGATGTATTGAAGCGATGAGGATTTTAAAAGCAGTGTCATTAATAGTATGAAACCTATTACTATTGAGAATCGTTCGGACTAACTCTTTATACTTTTACATCCCTAACTTTAATAAATTTATTTTTTTTAAATTAAAATTTTTAAATATTTTATTCTCTGTTTCAATCGGAAATCTATATAACATAAATAGCTTAACGGTCTTACCCAAGTTATCTGATTATTTTTTTGTTAAAAGGACAACACACTAAGGATTTTCGTAGTGAAATAGTGCTTTCGCATTTCAAATGGTACGAGCTATTCGATAATGATAGATAGATAATGTTTTTTTTTGTATTAGCAAAGTGATAACATTTACGATGTTTTGTTAAAAGCAATTTTTAAAAATTGAAGTATTTACGAGAATTTTTTGTAAAATTATATTTAATAATAGTTTTATTTTTGTGATACGATGAATCAACCCCCAAACGATCGGTCGGATCGAACAGCTTGGCCGTCGATCGTCAATGTTCGGAGGATCGAGTGACGACGGGTACGGTGAGACGTACGTTAGGGGGTCATCGATATCCGTCTTACCGCTGAACGTTCTGTTCCACATCAGACTGGTGATGGCCTTGCCGTCCCTGATGTCCCGTTTTTGTGTCAACGTCTCGTTCAGAGCCATGCCGAGCAAGTGCACGCCGTCGTAAAACGCTCCGACGAAGAAGTTCACCTATGACCAACAAGACAATTTATGCACCATCGCGCGCGTTCTCTCCGACAGCCGCTGTCGTCAACTTCATGCACCGTCAACGGCCGTAACATGTTGCGGCGCCCGGACCCTTGCAGGGATCCAGAAAAGCGTTGTGGTGACGTCGCGCGTGTAACGGTCGCACGTTTACAATGAATGGGGTTCCGAGATCATAATACGGATTATGCGCGTTTCAGGAAATTTAAGAGAAAAAAAACAAATATATCGATACACCGACGAAAACGAGTTCAAGGGTCCGTCGACCTCATCGTAATCCCTAACTCCTGCGCTAACAGCGCACGTTTTCCGCGACGTTTACCTCTTCGCTCTCGGACAGCGTGTAGTTGTAGGTCTCCAGCGCCTTTTGCTTGACCAGTTTGGAAAAATTGTGAAACTGCGTGCTGGTGGGCTTCAGCAGCGACACCCGTAACAGCGCTTGGTACGCTTTTCTCGCCGCGCCGTCTTCCCCGTCGCCCACCGACCATCCGTGTTCCCCCCAATAAGTGCCCTGGAAAATCCGTGCCCGAACGTTAAGAAACATAAATCGAGAACACTGCTTAATGATGTGCAGTAGACGCCGCTTATAGGACTCGCGCGGATACAAGGTTCAGCCGCTTGTATGACTCGAAATCAGGGCCTGGGACGGTCCAAATGTATTAAAAAAAAAAAAAAATCAATCATAAGACTCAAATTTCGTAAGAAAAATTGTAGAAAATAAACTTATGTGTTGGTCATTGCCTATGTATTACTGGTTTGTAAACCGTGTACGTATAACAAAATGCATCGCATTTTAAATCGATCGCATTGACGATTCAACAATCGTCGCAATCGACGGTAAAATCTTATATGTATTCGACGTAAATAATACGTATTATGGTATGTATTATTTAATACGCTATATGTAGTAATAGAACAGCGAAATATAGTTAATAATTAATTCGAATTTTAGCTGGATTTTTCCGTTTCATTAGATGCATTCGGTTATAAGACTTACTTTGTGTTGGTTCCAAAGTGAGTCTTATAAGCGGCGTCCACTATATTATTTTTAATAAGCGTGCATAGGAAGCGCGTGTAAAGGTATTAAGGTATGCGTGGCTGAATTGTATAATACTTTCGGAAAGGTTTTTTTATTTTTTTTATTTCATGACATCACAGTTGCTGAAAACGATTTGCTTGGACTTAATGTGCGTTATAATCTACAAAATATGGCGTGAGTATAAAAAAATTTCTCACTGGGGTGGCCCAATGAAGATTTTTTTGAAATTTTTTTTGTCTTCAAAAAGTAGGTATTATCTAATTATCTTAAATTTCAAAATAAATATTAGTATGATGTTTTTTGCAGAGTTCTCATACGAATTGACATGTCACACCATTGATTCTGAAGATCCGGCCGTGAAAAATTATCAGCAAGCTTAAAAATGATGTTACACATCTGTTCATAAGAAAAATTTGCAAGAAATTTCATAATAGTATTTATTTTTACATTTTAAGATAATTTTCTAAACATAATTAGAAAAGACATAGGCTTCGAAAATGGATAGAAAGAAAGAGTACGCTTGTGTTAGTTTACGCAACAGTTTTAGAAATACTCTGAATAATTTTTTGTCCCCCGGGTACCTGAAAAGTATTTATATATTTCAATATATTCTATAGTATTTTCATAGTGTTTAAAATTATTAGAGAACATTTTGTAAAATTTAATTTATTAATGATGAAACGACGTCGGCATAGTATGGTGGCATACGACGTAAACTTAATTTTACGAAATTTACATGATAACACTATTTATTTTAGGTATAAAATAATAAGGTACTTCAAATTTACAATTATACTACTGTCTTAAACATTCAAAAATACTATACAGTGCTTATCGGCTCTACGATGTCACGCGATTATTGATCAAATGTCATCTCGTTAAATAATCGATTTTTTTATCTTTTGAATTTTACCAAAAGGTTTTTCATTACAACGACTATAATAAATAATATATATTAAATAACGAGACTTAATATTAAGAAATAAATAAAATAAAATTCAGTTTTATGATGTCTTTAAGTGTACAAACGTTTATACTTGCAAATCAGAACTCTTTACCTGTACTAGTTCCACGTCCAAAAATGCCCATTCCCCTTTGGTCATTCCGAGCCGGTGTGCCGCCAACATGCACTTCCGCACTAACGTTCCCCTCACGCACAATATCACAACTGTAAACCAAAAAACGTTCGAATGTGCTTTTATAAATACTTTATATCTACAACCAGAGCCATCGTCAGGGGGAGAGGATAACGGGACCATTTTGCAATAGGTCCCAGCCAACGAAAATTTAAAGGGGTCCCCTTAAAATCCAAATTGATAACAATTACTCGGCGTTATCTATTAGAGAAAATCTATATTATTTTTAAAATATTTTTCTTTACGAAATATTGATAAATTTAATTAAATAGAATTAACTTAAATTTATATTAAAACGCTATTATACAAGCTGCATTTTCAGTTATACTGATTTCTAAATATTTATGATTATAATTTATTATGACAATTGCTGGAGTTTGAAGAATGACATAATTGTATCCAGATTTACGTAGAAATTCGTTATCGTATCTACCGACACGACAATCATCCAAAGTTCTTATATTCTATAGCTGTTTATAAATGATCCAAGAATACATTTAATTAAAATTAAATGTGGTACTGATAATGTCATCTTAATGGCATCGTCGAAAAGTTGTTAAAATTGTTATTTATTGTATTTAAATGCATTTGATTGACCTTGATTGGTTGGGGTTCCGGAAACTATATTTACCAACATTTTGCAAACTTAGTAAGTATTTTATTATCATACTCGTATATTATTGTAACGATTGAAGGGCCCCCCGGACTAATTTGCCCCAGGCCCTAAGAATCCTTAGGACGGTTTTGTTTACAATTATGACTTGAAAGTTATAAGCTAAAATATAGAAGGATTCAAACGGAGTTCCGCGTTAGTTCGAAGTTCGTCTTTTAGCATAACGAATTCGATCTTTTCTTCCGTACATTACAACAGCGAGCGTTTTAGCAGACAAACTTAATAATATTGTTATACTCTATAACAGCGGTCCCCAATCCATGGTCCATACGAGCACAGATCGGATCATAATTACTGGATGTGCAAGACGTCTAACGATGATTTGCCGGCGAAATGACACCGTTAATAATACAAAGCAACATTAATATGATAATATGATAATATAACATTAATACAAAGCAGTTCGACGGCAAAAGCTCTTATCTTCAAATATTAATTAATATTGTTGTATTTACCTCGGGCATACATGCTAGCGTCTTTTAAATATATTTCGCACGGGTCTTCATCATTGCCGTCCAATTCTCGTATGAAACTCAGAACCCCAGCTTTTCGAAGTCCCGATTCCAAGTTCTTACCTGTAACAACGGAAACGTTTTACGAATACAAATAATGAAAAGCTCGTTTTGATTGAAGTGCATTTTCCACTAAACGTTTTCATTAACGACCGAAACGCGTAGTTCTCATTAGAATTTCTTCGACGCACATTTTTGTACACAGGCGCGCTAAACAACGACAATCAATTTGTCATGAAAATGGATTTCTAATTGAACGGTACGAGCACATCAATTTTATTCAGCTGGTTTATAAATTAAATTGTTTTTGCGTATTTAAAAACGTGACGACAAGAAGTCGGAAAATATTTTGTGTTCAATTACTCTTTTCAACAATTGTGTAGGTGCGATGATTTAACGATAATATTTACCAGGATGTGATAGTACTTCGCACCTTTGTAAATTAGAATTGATCGTGTTCACGCAGCAAGAGTACAAGCCACGTATTACGATAAGAATGTTGAAAATTTAATGCTACAAATATTGTGTATATTGTACACACGAGAATAAAAAAAAATAATCATAAGAACGTGTACGAATAATTATGCTATAAATAAATAGGTAATTACTGTTTTTTTTTTTTTTGTTAATAAAAACAAGAAAAATATACCAAACGCATAGACGTTGCAGTTTTCTATACGAACTTTTTGGCGCAGATATTTAATATATACGTAATTCTCTATAACTATATTCGTGTTAGTTTTTCAATTATTGTTGCGTAGCGCAGAACAACAACGCATTGCTTTTAAAAAAATATAATTACCCAAGGGTCGTCATGAATTGGTTAACAAATAAATTATACAAGTTGATAAAAAAAAAAAAAAAATTAATTTAATCTCGTGTAAGCTTGTATAAATTAACTAAAAAATTAAACAAATCGTGTTCAAGTTCCCGGTGGTATAAGGGTTATGAATTTCGAATTGAAGTAGTGAAAAGTTATGCATTATTTAAATTATTAAGTTTCATATGCATCTTGAGGTATATATTTTGGAAATTGATTTTAAGACTCACGATTTCCATTATTGTTTTAAAAATTGATGTAATATTTTGAGGACGTATAACATAACTATTTTAGAAATTTGGGATCGAATTAAAGTCGCGCTCTGCAGAGCCCACAGCAATAAGATTGTTACTGATGTATCAGAAGAACGTCAGTATTTAGCTTCGGGGCGGTTAAAAAAAAACATTTTGTTTTTTATCGATAACGTATAAATCTCACACGTCGATTCATCGTCATTGTAAATATATAGCGGGTCCCATGATGATTTGATAAATGCAATAAATTTTGTTCTGTTTATTATTTTAAATTTTTTTTTTTTAGAATTCAAATTTAAAAATTTAAAACTTTATTCTACAGTTTCGTTAATCAGTTTTCTATGATTTTTTTAAATTTTGTGAAAAAGTTAACAATATTATTGTGTATCACCTAATTATTATAACATATATTATTGTATAATGGTTGATCGAAATTTAATTTATTTCAAGATTTATATTATCATTTGTAGCTACTATTTCACTATCATTAATTGAAAATGTATATTTATCATTATAACCTAAAGTAATTAGCATAAGTACGTCATGTATGAATAATCAATATAAACAGTTAACCTTAAAAATTTTAATTTGTTAGTTCAAAATTGAAATAAATTAAGAGTTTCTACAGGTGTGATTTTTCTATTTTTAGTTAATTAGTATTTATAATATAAGTTGAATCACTCGGATCACAATATTGTTACGTTGTACATTTTTTTGTTACACTTGTCGTTTATTCATGTGTGAAATCGCAGAGCTGCAGAGAAAACCTTTTTATGCAATTTATAAATGTGACATTCAAATATTGTACAGTACAATTTGAAGATAATTGTTCATCCAACTTGATAAATAATGTTTACAGTTTGTCATACTGGAAATCAAATTTGTATTTTTTTTTTTAATCATTTATTGAAAAAATATAAAATATAAGAAATGACAACTTGTTGAAAAAAATCGACAAATTGCCTATAACTAATGGACTGTCATATTTATAAACAGCAGGAAACAAATCATTATAGCATTTTCATTAAATGACATAAAGTAATAATTCTAGATACCAACACAATATTTAATAGTATGTACTATGAAAAGTTTCCTGAAAGGAATGTATTGGTTATAATATGGTATACGTTTTTCATTCTTTTTTTCGAGTCTCGTCTATGTACACGATTTTTACCCGAAAGATTGCTCCGATCATCACAATAACAAGATATTTCTGTTTAGAAAAATTGAATGATTGTTTTCATCGTACTTAAAATAATAATAATCATAGAGACTTGAAATTTTCACCGAATGCTTATATCATCGTTCATTACAAACAATATAATTTTATTTATATTTATTTTTGGAGCAATTTATAAAAAATTTAAATTTTTATATTTTCTTAGTTTTTGAAATATCTTGAAAATGTAATACAAACCTACATTGTTATAGTCGAAAATATATAACATTATCAATTTTCTATACTTGAGGCTTGACAATTTCATACAAGATTTTTCATACGATTTTCTTCTTAGTTATTGAAAAGTCAATTTATACGCGTAACAAAATGAAATTTCAATAAATTTCCATGAAATTATATTATTTAGTTATTTATTTAAAGACATTTCATAGTTTTGAATAATTTCAATGTAGTTTATGCTGAAATTATCGATTTTTTTCAGATTTATTTTTTTTGTGAATTTTGTCAAAGTTTAAACTTTAAAAGTTCAATCTACCTTATTAAGAAATTTGGTTCTTTTACTGTATCAACTTTCTTTATAAATATCAACTATTTCACCCGACCTTTTTCATTCGGAATCGTTTTTTCGAGAGCAATGTTATATTGGTTTCAAGTTTAAAAGACCAATACAGCAATACCATTCATCCATCCCTGTATCTCACCCGACCTAGGAATCCGCTCTTTTTTATTTTGAACGCCATGCGTTGTCTGTATTTATAAGTCAAATTCATATTATTATCATAATTATTCATATGATAATTTATCGGTCGGACGATGAATTTAACCGTTCTACATCGAACGTATTTTATTATAAATAATAAACTCAACCTAACCTAACCGCATTATATAATATACTCATGCGATTTACGACAGTTAATTTCTGTTAGTAAATATTATAAATTATATCTTTTACAGATGCAAACTCTGCAAATTCCGAGAACGTTTCGGCCGCACGTGTGCTCTTTAAAGCGGAACGCTTAGTTGCATTCCACCAATGTTAGAGTCTTTTGTACATACGCCTTATTTGCTCGTCGAAACATATCATCGCGCGCAAGGCGCATTTTTTCGACGTCAAACAGTTATTAAATAATAATAATTTATTTCACGTTCGTCTTTGAAGATGAAGAGGACCCAATGTCTCGGAGTTATTTTTATCTCGCCGTACACCTACAAAGGGACGTATTTATTGTAATGTACTTTGCGGTTTGTTGCGAACGAAATTTCATTTGTTTGGCGCTTTTATGGGAGACCGAAGCATACTCGCTTGTATACGTATGAGTGATACGTTATTTATTGGACGCATTGATGGTGAGTGGGTGTTAGTTGAAAACGAACGTCTCCTAGACGATGTTCACCGTGCTACTGCTCGGTGACAAAAAGACGAAAATGATGAAACCACAAAATATAAATGTAAAAACATAATAAAAACACGCGCTGCTTTTCAAGGTATAGTAACAATGTCCGTCGCCCGTAAGACCACGTGTGAAATTCATATAGATATCCGACCGGACGTCCGAATCGGTGTAAGACGATCGGTTGAAAATGTAATGGTAATCACAATGTTCGGTATTGAAGACTCATTGGCGCAGAACAGATGGATTACCGAATGAAAAAAACTGCGTGTACACGAGATGAATGGAAAAACGGATCAGTTATATCCACGACCGGAATATCGCGGTGATGGTTAAAACCAATTTTCTAATAAAAATCAGTAAAACATTTTACCCGATAATCTTGAGGTAAAATGGAAATTTAGTCTTTGATAAAGTAATAATTGACATCTAGCGAGTTTGAAAATGAAATCCTGATAATTATGTTTTTAAATATTTAACAATTTCAGAGTATTTATTTTAACGAGTATATTTATAAATCAGATCCAATGGTTAGATTTTTCTAAACCGTGCTTGTTCCAGATGTAATTGGCTACCACCAAATTGATGGCCAAATTTTATTTATGGAAACATGAATTGCTTTTTCGAAATCAGCAAACAGTTTTAGGATTAAAACATAAATTAAATTGTTGACATTCTGAAATGATTAATTTGAAAAGAAGCCTTACACAGGATTGAAGATTTGTCTTAAAGTAAACAAAATACTAAAGATATGTAATTAATATTTTTCATTCCGTGTATAGTAATCAGTTGAGTAAATTGTTTTGGGCAGCTTTTTAAAATCTCGTCAATATATATTCACACGTAATTACAAATTTTAAATTAACAGCACATGAAAATATTATTATACCTGTATTTTTAGTTTTGTCATTGATCGATATAGATAATTCATTTTTATTTGTCTTCAGATTGAAATTAATAAAAGCTGTATGTAATTCTGTTATGTCTTATGGTAATTAATACATTATCGATGTTCTAGCATTATATATATTTTTTCAAATTAATTTTATGTCATAGGTATTCAATGCATATGTGTAATTCTATCTGAGAACTTAATGAATAATTTTTGAAGGGCTCTCAACTTTGGATCATTAACTATTCGCTTTTTTGTCTATTGCTAATATTTTGATTATTTATTAATGATTCGTTTCTGTTTTTCATCGTTATGACTTATAAATTTCTTAACTATAGTATTAAATTACTTTAATCTTAAAAATTACAGTTATTTTTGCAACAAGTCCAACGCTGTTTATAAATGTTTATGGAAACGAAATGTGTGCTCATCGATTAAAAATATACTTTTATTTCATTTCCTTCACATAACTTCATCCATTATGCTCGTTGTACCTCGTAAACTAGAGTGTATAATTTAATGAAAAACATGTCCGGCCTAAGTAATATTATTATGTTATCTGACGAAAGTCATAAACATGATTTGAACGATATCACGTAGTCATCTATAATAATATTGGTAGAAATAAAATCTAAAATTCCAGGCCTATATAATATTTTATTATATTATCTGAAGAAAGTCATAAAAACTATATAGTAGTTTCCATACATATCCAAATGGAGCGGATTTTGATGCGTGGTGCGGAATAAGTGTGACAATAACATATTTTTTTAATGATGCGCTGTATAATTTCCTCTGTGTCTGAACGGGCTTGGTTGATTTGATATTTTATTCAAAATAATCTCCTCAAACTCAATTAGCATATTTTTATTTTCCCAACGACGGCTGACTCAATAAGAATATTTCCCGTTATTAACTGGGAATTGATTAGTATATTAAATTTTTCCCGTTTGAGTATTGGTATACAACGAAAAAAAATGCCTTAAAAACGAAAAAAACCAAGAAAAGGCTAAATAAAAATCAATTCCACAGATTCGTATATTGTTGAAACATATTTAATTACCGGAACAGAAGTATCATCAATGGTTCGTTAAAAAATATTCAAAAATTAACATCCGGGTGCCAGTAATAATTGTATAGGTACCGAAAAAAAGCTCATCTACAGTACACCTTTTTAACAATCTCGAGAAAAACGTGTTGACATAAATTATGATAGTAATCGTCATCATTTGATCATTTGTTTCAACACGTTTTTCTGATTTATGTACAATTATACACAAATAATCTAATGCGAAGTTGATAATGAAAAAAAAAAAAAAACGATTATAAAATTACGCTGTTTATAATGCGGTGAAAATGTATTGTTATTATTATTACCGTTATACATTTGATACAAAAATGAAAAAGGAGATTCGACAAATGTCAAAGACGATGACAGAGCAAATAAATCGAAATATATTCGGACGGTTTCGGAAATAGGAAATAAAACTCACAGCAGTAAACACGCATCACACCGCAGGCTATATAATACTAATAAAAATAACAATATAATAATATTTTCAATTCGAAAATATTAACCACTGCGTGGTACTTGTTTAGTTTTCAACGTGAAACCTTTGGAACTCAACCAAAACAAACACACTCTATCCAATCAAAAATATATGAAATATAAAAATATGCAATCAAAAAACACGTATTTGAAGTTATACAATAAAAATACGTACATAAACTGCGTACACGTTTTTTCACGTGTAAAAAACAAAACAAGCAAAACTATTTTGCAGTATTACATTACGAATTATATTTTATCCGTTTTTAGTGCGTATAAGTACGTCACAGTCATAAATGGGTCTTATAGTTTAATACACTTCACGTATAACTTCTTGATAATAATATTTAATCGCCGGATTAATAATATTTTTTTTTTTTTTTTATAGATAGAGATATTTTTATTATTGTTATAATAGTCATTACAGTTCGGTAATACAAATAAATAATACATTCATAACGTCTCCTCAAAATCCTATGGATATGCTTGAGGAGAGAGTACTTAAATAATGGAAACAAAAATTAGATGATTACAGTATTTTTATGTTTATTTATAAGAAATTTATACAATTATTAATAATTAAGAGAAAAAATAAAAAAATGTTAATGCAAAGATTAAATAATAATATTAAACGCTAGCCAACAACTACGGAGGTGATAAGTGTAGAAAAAATTACAATAACAAAATATTATTAATATATTTTATAAATATTTTTAATTTTTTTAAATTATACGGAATAATATTGTATTTAATACATAATTGAATACATTTATATTTACAGTTTTTTTGCCAGAAAATAGTATTTATATTGGATAAGATCATATTAAAACGAGTATTATATTTATGGCGAGGATTTTAATTTCTAATTTAAAATTATATAATGTTAAGCAAATGATTGTAGGGTACAATGGTCCAACATTTGAAATCCCTAATTATTTATATAAGTCAATTGTGGGAAATAAATTTATGTAGTGAGTTCAGAGTTATTTCAAGGTTTCAAAAGTAGTATAGTATCGATGGTATGTATATTTGTTTATTATATGCGCTTTATGCATGGGGGTACTTGTTTTAAGTGTGATATATATTTATTATTTATATATATATTTAAATTTAAATTAATTATTAATTTTTTTTTTTTTTTAAGAGCTTCCAGTAAGAAAAGTGTAATATTTACGTTCACCAATAATACCTAAGTTATAAGTTCATTGCGTGACCGTTTTAATAAATAATACCTAGTTGGAAGCTCTCAGCATCATAAAAAACTGGTGTATTCTTTTTGATGATGATGATGACGTGTGTACACAATGTGACATTGTTATGCCGATGAAAACGAATAAAACCATGAATAAAATCATAAGACATTTGTCAAGTGTTTTTCCTCCATCGGATACGTTACGGTTGTGGGTATATTTATATTATATATTTGGGCCCATCATCGAACGCGCAACGGTAAATCGTCGACAAAAAGAAGCAAAGGTCGGTATACATATTTTACATATATCTACATTTAGTTATTATGATTCAAATGATTGATTGGTACGATTGTATTGCTCTCAAAAAACACGAGATTACGTATTCGTTTGGTATATAAAGCATTTAAACGATAACGAAACTTTTAATTAAAAAATAATTGTTATCTAACGACGGTTTGTGAGAAAAATCGATTTCATTGTAGTATTTCCAACTTTAATCGTCAATAAAAAGAAATAATTGCAAGTCGAGACGAATCTTTCGACTGTCCACAAATATCTATAACAGTTCAGTCTGGTATTGCAATCGCAAATTGTAAAAAGCCAATTGTATACTTAATCAAATTAAATATAAACGCGTTCGGTGGACTTTGTTCAAGTTTTTTAAACTTTGGCTTATCCTATTGAAAAAAAATGTCGAGAATGTTGAATGATTATACGTATTATCATCTCTAACCTAACCGTTCTCATTTTTTTGTTACGATTTCCTATCCAACGCCAGATAAGATTATCGAACGCAAGTTGTATTTTTAAAGGAGTCAAATCGTACCAGAAAGTTGAAGGTCGTTTTCGGTAAGAACCTAAAAAATTAATGTCGTATAAATATTTCATCCAACAGCTGCAGTTACAACGTTTCGATGAACCATCCGGTGTCGATTACATCGCGATACCATGATGCCGTGTGTATTGCGTTCCGCCGAGCGACAACAGTCATTACACAGCAGTGTGCCGTTCGATTACTCCACAAAAAGTAAAGACGGAAAAAGATTAATGAATATTACTCGTGTTTTGAATCGTGAGCAGTGCATTTTATTATTCTACACGTTACACAGATGGTGCTGCATCAAATGCAACTGAACCGATCGGTTACCAATAAAACGGTGTTGACATCTTCCTGTGAAATAGTATAGTCCATTAATAAACGGTTAGTGTACACGTGCGCTGCTTCTGTAATGGTAGTAATAATAATAATGATAATAATAATAATAATAATACACTGTTATTTAGGACGGCCGAGAGCTTTCGGAACAGTTCTCGCTAAACTAGAACGCCGCATCGAAGTGCTACCGGGTGTACGACGATACGAAATTAGCACATTGCTATTGCGTGTTGTATGTACACATAAATCGAACAGACTACCGAATGATATTTCATTTCATCCTGTATCAGTATGATATTTAAACTTTATAGTGGCAAACAGTGTGCGCTAAACAACAGCCGACAGTTCACTGGCTCCGAGCGCAAGAGTTGTTGTGTTGATCTCATTTATTTCTATGTACAATAATTGTAAAAGTTATCGTATTCGAAAAACTATATCTGGGGCGATGGTCAGTGTATAGTAATACATTTTTATATATAGTTTTAAAATAAATATCTTATCAATAATAATTGCACGCTAGCATTTATTTTATAAAAATATAATATTAAAAGTAAAATCTTATTAAAATATTAAAAATATAATAAAATCGATCGGTCACGATCATACAGATATGATACGGGTTTGACGTGTTTCGAACCTTAAACCTACGTGTCGAATAAAATTGGCTTGTTCAAATCTTCTGCTTTTTTGCCAACAGAGATTAACGCGATAATGCCGTTGCAGCAACGCGTTACACCGCAACGGTGATTGATAATTAATAATCTTTAAACACCTGCAGCTGTTCAAACGACGGGAACATGCGCTAAGCGCTAGGGGTTTATTGATCTGCCACGGTAGTCCGAGAGAATACGTCTAGGGGGTAGAGATATAGGGGCGGTGGTGGACGAAAGTCTGAGACCATCTGAGAGGCATGACTGACCGTCCGAAACCCGTCGGATTAAGATGTATCCCTTTAAGAGGTGGTAGTCGGATCGCGGCAGCGATACGGTAAATCCGAGCCCAGACCTTCTATATGACGGATTATCGAATGCGCATCTTGAAGCCTCCTCGTAATGTATTCACGAACTGGAAGATAATGATTATCGTACACAGTACGATCGTGTCATCGCTGGTTGTGATCGGACTGCCGCGGATTGTGCGATAAAAAGGACGTTAACCGTGACATCGAAATCCGTCGGCGGCGAAGCAGGATGATCGAAAGGGACTCGTCGGCTAAATCAGTTCTTCCCGAGCATGTGGCAATTGGCTGGGTCGGATTATGATTTTAATATTTGGGGGGGGGGACATTACTTTTGGTGAGATTGTTTTACTCAAAACAATTTTTTCATTCAGATTTAGTGATACGCAATCAAATGTTAATTAAAATAATTATAATACTTCGTAGTGTAGTCTCAGTTAGTTGATAAACAGTACTTTATATTTGTAAGCTGACGATTATTGAGAACACATTGTGCCTCAGGTCTATAACTCCACCCCTCGGTCCAGCTGTGGTGACTGGTAACACGCTGCAATCGTTCCTATGACGTTCGCGCACTGCTATGCGCGCAGTTCTCTCGCAGGGAACGAGGATTTCCGCCAAAAGTGTCACATATGACCGTTGTACGGCTAACAATCGTTGTCAATTACGAACAGCGACCGTGTACACATTATACAGTTACCGCAGACAATGCATATTTGTTTCGGATTTCTACCGCGTTTTCGACCGGTTGGCCTTCGCAAAAACCCACTACAATGAGCCACACGAAATAATGTTCGACGCTAAAACGGACTGTGGCCGTGACAATTGCTCCGTAAGAGTTCAAAAGTCATCGATGACAATCACAAGCAGGGTTACAATTGTTATCGTAGGATTGTATTTTGAGTATACGTTTTAAAATATTGTTACAATGTTATTTATTGCAGTGCACGTTTCATCAGTTTTCTTAAATACATAAACGAAACAATAAGCCATCAAAACGTAGTTTCTATATTTTAACGGTGCAAACGTCTTTTACGTTATAATGTTTATAATGCGCAAGCGGAACAAAATTTCGCTAAAAGTTATAATAATAATAATAATAATGATAATTAAAAATGTAATCACTCACCGACGGTTAGGGAGAATAAGTCTGATCGGTCTTGTATCAAAGCCACGTGACGCCATTTAAACTTTTTGAAAATGCTTAAAAATACAAGTTTTAATCTACACTGACAATATGACATTTTCGTTAACGTCGGATACTCGGATTTGTCCTTAAAAATCCCCTGTAACAGCGTTAACATAAAAAATGAGAGAAAATATAATTTCGGAGTACCTATAAGTAAAATAATAATAGTAATAATATTAATAATATAAATTCGGTGAAACACTGTTGTGGAAACGTTTGTGAAAAAACTATTCTGCCGCCGAAAATCAATAGCAAACGGCGAGTTTTCATTATCCGAATAAATCATCCGTTGCCGGGCGGTACACTATGTCAAAGTTCATTTTCGGAGAAATTTTTTTATTTGAGCAATTTAAAAATCTCTTCCCCGAAATGAACATAATATTTCCATAATTTCATCCAGACTCTAAATCGTTACACACTATCTCGTTTCCGTATCCGAATAACCGAATGATGAAACTAATTGCACTCGTCCTCAACCCCCGCCTTCCCGCTGTAGGGATTATTTCTAAAATTTATAATTTAACTTATTTTCCTTATTTATGACGCTTCCGAATACCAGTGTACATTCTTAGCTCACGTTTTCTCGGAAGGTTTAAATTTTTACTTTTTTTTTTTTTCCAAACATTCATGCCACGTGCAGCTGAAAACAAATGGGTAGTAGTCGTGTTGTAATAATTGAAATAAATGCAAAAAACCTAAAAGTTCTATAAAGCCATATCGTTAGAAATGTTCGTTAGTCTTGAATAAAAATCATTCGAGCAAACGTACGGTCTGCGTACCGGCCAATATACTCGTAATACATCGTAAAAATACTGTTCGCATGGCAACGACATGACGGATAAAATATTCAACAGTTTTATCGTAGCGTTTATCGAGAAAGCATTTCAATCTATGTACGTATGTAACCCGTGGGCATGAATGTACCCGTATGAATGATTTCGATGGAATTCCGGAAATGCTCGTAAAATGCAGAAAGTTTTAAAAACTACATCATCGTTGTAGGTTAAAGCCGACAACAATCAACCGATGCTGCACAATAATGGCGTTGAGAAATCGTCTGAATATTGCATCTTCGTTTAAACGGATGTACAAATGACCGAAATTGATAATTGTTGCACAGACAATATATGTGAAATGATATCCGTTCATTTGTTTAGCTCTGGAACGTTTACCAGCACTTTGTTGAAATGTGCATTGGAGTTTGAATAATAAACGATTGGTGGTTCCCAGGAATCGATTAATTCACTTTTGTCTTCGATTGAAACGTTCGCGCAACCATTATATTCGGCAATAATAATGTTCGCGGCACCGCAGGAGGTGCGTATGAAGTGAGATTGAATCTTTAAACCGTGTACACGATGACGATATGTTTGAATATAAGATTCGTGATCATTGAACAATGCAAAAATGTGTTTCGAGAAATTGTCCTAACGAACACATGATAAAAGCGTGTTAGGTATGAGTTAAGGAAAAAAAATCACCAAATTTTTTTCGCGGTTAATCACGGCCGTTATTGAAAATCGAAAAAAGTTTGATTTATTTCGCTCGCGCGTGTTCTAACAGAAATGTGCTGTAATCTGGACTTTTGCATTACGTAAAACATGCGATCGACCTACGCGTGTGTACTGTACAAAATACGATTACGCGCGTTCTATTATCGCGACCCTTCGGTGCGTTTCGCGATGAAGTTCGCGGATCTTGTGTTTTTCGGTCGTAATTTTTTTTCCCCGTCCTAGACACACCCCGTGCGTTGGCGTACGATTGTTTGAAATAAAACGCATTTGAAGCCAACAATATACTACGGATAGAACTACGAAATAAATAGAAATAAACAAGTAGATCGAATAGGCAGTCGAAGAAAAAAGTTCAGTGCTGATAAAACATGCGGTAGGTAATAAGTAGGGGAAACCTACTCCACGTGGTGTGTGTCACCGTAGGGTCAACCTTTTTTTTTTTTTTATCATTTATCAAGTAAATACCCAATCTGTAATTATTATTCATAACAGGCGAATGTGATGGTATAGCATGGCTCGAGTGACTTGGGTTAAGGAACCACCCGTTGGAGGCACTTAAGGACAGCATGTGATAAGCGTTTTAACGGTTAATCTTTTCAAACGCAGGCACACTCCGGTACACTTCATTGTTCGTCACAGTTACGCTGGAGATTCGCACCCGTATTTCTATTATTAGTGTTGATTTTATTTCTACTATTTTTGTTTCTTTTTCTTTTTTTTTTTTTTGCCATTAATAAATTCAAACATTCCTATTTTCGTTTTCGCTGTTACATGCCATCAGAACTGTTCTCTCTCTCTGTCCGTTGATTCCTCCGAATCCGTTTTGTTTTATCATTTATTCATATCCGCAGCGTTCGGTTCAGGGTTCATGAATATTAAACAGAGTGCTAGAACGTTGTGCGGATACTGCACCTGTGTTATGGTGTTCAGTCACACGCGACGTTTTAGCGACAACGCGTGCATACATTACTGTCGGATGTTGTGTTGTACCGTAGTACCTACGCGTAACGCGCAACAACCGTCGACGCACGGGGCTACAACTTTACGGAATAATATTGAATTGTTAACAACTATTATACGAAATATGCATACGATCACTTTTCCTGCGCGTGTCGGTTACGGGTGGCGCGGGCCTCCCGATAGAACGCAAACAAAATAATAACGCACGTCCTAACGGTCCTGGACGATATTTCTACCGCGCACATCCTGTGCGCCGTGCACACCAGCGTGTCTGGGGTCTCTGAAAGTCGGGGGATGCGGATAGAAATCACGGACCTGTTACGCGAGAAACGTCGACGTTCTGTACGTGAACCGTTACAGCCACCTAGATTTGAGTATAAACCCACAGGCATTCGCGTTTCGCAAATGTCCGTCGGAGAAAATTTTTCTTTTTCGAACACAACGCGACGTCGGTACCCGCAAACGTTTGAAACCGAATCAAATCATCAGCTTGTGACGGTAACGAGTGTAAGAGAAACACAAGTGTTCCTGCGTTTTCGTGCACTACTGTCCCCGTGATTCTAACAGTTAACACGATTTAAGAGCTTAGACAGATTTGTCAACGGACTTGGAGCATTACTACATTATAAGAGAACGCTTTGAGCACCCATTGATCCAGCGCCGCTGCAGGTGACAGACGAGTGCAAACCATCGTTTTCCGTGTTAAAAATATACCCGTGTTGTTTGTGTACACATAAAATTTAAAATTTTTTAGCCTTCGGATACGGCAAAACCTTTTAGACTATTGTTTTGACCGATGTCGACTGTTTTTTCTAAGACGTGATTTTGATCCGACCAAAGAAAAAAAATAAATTACATTTTTCACGTGACGCACGGTACACTGTTTTAAAGGTTAGAAAAAAAATATTTTACTTACCGAATCATTTTTCCATTTCGGCAATTTCCCGAGTATACCCGACATCACAGAAACTTGTCCCTCTGCTGGTGGCTGAAAACGAATCACATCAGCTGTACAAGTATACGTGATTTGTCGTTGTTTTCTAATGTGGGGGTGGGTTTCTCTCCACGAATATTTAGGGCAGCACAAAATATCGGAAAGCGCATGGTCGAAACGTAAGCGATTGTAGTCAGGGCCGGTGAAAACTATGGGTGACCTGGGCGATTTATCTAATTTATCTTTTAATACGCTTTAACAATCTACAGAAAATAATAATGTAATACTTGTGCCTTCTACTTCGATACTACATGGATACCGCTGGTTTTGATGTAAAAGTAATGCATGGAAATATACTGCGTACCATCACGTTTGAGTGTGTACATAAAATATAATATAAATATTCGTAATAATTATTTTTATAAGATATTTACCAATTTATAAAATTTATAAAATTATTATTATTATTAATTTTTTTTTTATTATTTATTTGTTTAATTTATAATTTATTTTATAAATTCATACAACTAAACTAGACGATTACGTAAAAACTGCGGTGATAAAATCGTTCGGACCTTACGGCGAAAATACCGCAGAGTGGCGTAAATCAAAAAGACATAGTTGCCTGACACACGCATACGATTTATTGTTTTCTACGAGCTCGTACGATCTGCTGTGTAATGTCAAATGTGTAAACTAACAAGTTATAGTCAACAGTTGATTATTATTCATATTTTTTGTTTAGTTAATTTGTACATAATATTTTGGTTTCTTATTAGTCATTTACAATGAATTCCGTTCTCTGGTTGTCTTAGTAAATAAATAGTTAGTGAAACACAGTATTACTATGTTATAGGCAGTGGCGGCGTGAAATAATATATTCCCAAAAAAAACATTCAAAAAGTAAAAAAAAAAAACGCCGAGCTCAAAATTAAAACTGTTATATTCTTGCAACGAAAAAAAAAACCTGTCTAAAAAATGTACTGATATAATACTAAGTTATAACACTAAATACATACTAATTTTATTTAAATTCACTAAAAAACTTTATTTTACTACTACTCAAACCAAGTGGGTTGGAGGGTGGGGGGGTTAAGGACGCTAATGCATGGTTTCGCCCAAGGCGCCAATACTTCTAGCGCCGGCCCTGATAGCAGTGTAGATCATATTATGCGATACAATAAATATATTATGCGATCGCGCCTACTTACTTGGTCTCCCATTCCGGTTATGATTGGTAAATTCCAAAACGCGGCTAATCTAGCGACGGGCTCCAATGCAAAAGCGCACGCTGGTCCGATGAACGCCATGACTTTATCAGAAAAGTACATTTTTGCAGCCAATCCTGGTGCATGAGCACCTGAGCAAGATGGATAGCTAGAAAATCACGTTATTGAAAACACATTAGGTTACTCGTTTAATTTAACTGTGAATAGGATATCGATTGTTGAATCTCGACTGTCCTGACTATGTTTTATTATAGATTAACACGTGTGTTCATGCATCAAATGTTTTAACATAATATAATATATTATTACAATATACGCTATGGTAGACATAATTTTTCTTTCTGTTCCCATTGACATTTATTTCGTAAAAATATTAAAAACCTGGCACTTGAAAGTATTGAAGTTGATTACGAAAAGAGATTATTAAGAAAAGTATAAGAAAAACTATTGAATTTAAAATCGAATAAATTTATACAACTTAAAGAATTATATAAGTAGAAATTAAATCAAAAGAAAATAATAAAAACAACACCGAGAAAATTTAAAGTGGATAAAATTTAAGTTGAAAAGGAAACATTATATTAGGATGCAATGCTCGAGAAAGAAAAAAATGGATATTTGAAATTTAAAATAATACGAGTATTAGTCTTAAAATAAAAATATAAAAATATATCGTTAAAGTAAATACATTTTATTAAACTATTGTAATTTAACTGCGAAAATTATTCATACAATATATGTTATTTAATTTTAGGAGTAATCAATCACATATTCGACAACGTATTACTTAGCGCTGTTACAAATGGCGAGATGTTCGTGTATATCAAATTTGACGTTTGACTAAAATCATTTTATTCCCTGTCACTGGTTTTTATGATTCATTTAAATATAATTGGATTTTCATTTTCCATTATTAAAGTAATGCAGTTTAACATACGTAAGTAAACAATAATTATATTTTTCAATCTGTTTTACCGTTTATTCTCGTTGATATACGTATAAATAAAAACATATTTTTTTTTAAACGGGCGCGGGTCGTTTCACTCAAATCTAACCTTTTACGTTTTGCCGCACGAATATCTTGTCGGTTTAAAATCAAGTTGGCTATAGATATAATGAAATATCACGGTACCGAAGATGTATTACACGTTGGATATTACTATGCTATTTGAGTTTTATTTTCATTCGGCCTGACCACTGAGAACATTGCAATAATTTATCTGCAACATTTATTTCATGTCCGATTTTTAATGACACAGTCTTGTAGAACACTGAAATCCATTGACGACAGTTAATGCTTAACGAACATACTCTGACAGTTTACACAGCACATGACAAAGTGCTTGAGATAATATGCGATGTTATTACAGTCATTAACATTATATTGCCCACTTGCTGCCCGTGTGTTGGTCGTGTGTTTTCAGTGACGTGTTAAGAACTCGTGTAATCATTTGTGCACAGTTGTAACTGAATTTGAATTTGAATTTTTTCATTACTCAGCAATGATGACCATGTTCACAAAAAGTAAGCTAGATAGAAAAACGAGAATGTTTTTTTCTTTCTATCATTTTTAGTACAATTTTGCTCCAAAAAACGCGAGCACGGAAGAAATTCGTCAGCGAAGTGTGAAACGACAGAAACGTACGTGTTTCGCTACACTGAGCACTTACTAACCAGTAAAGTTCAAAATGAGATTTACGTTTTAAATTTTGACATCAACCGTCAAATGAAGAGCGTTTTTTTGTAATCGAAAAGCTTTTGGGAATCTGAACACATAGCAAAAAAAGAAAAGAAATATTTGGAGAGAAATGCTTTCAGAAAATACAAAAATTACCTCTGGTTTAAATTTTATTGATTTAAGTGTCATGAGAAAAGTTGTCCATCTAAATCTTATGCCAACTTAGTTTAAGATTGACAAAAAATTCGATAAGTCGAATGGGTATCTAGGAAAAAATGGTAAAGGCCGGATCTGGGCGATACAGGTTTAAACTGTAAGATTATTTTTTAATCCATACTCATAACTTGATGAAATATATGTATTTAGCGGTGAAGAGCAAACATATTTTGTCTATTGAGTATAAGTTTATTTTGACGATGGTTTACTTTTTTTCTTTATTGATTTAAAACAAAGTATCTATGTTGTATTACAATAATTTATAAAAACCACACACAGACAGTGGCGTATTTACGGGGAGGGTTCCCGGGTCTCGACCCCCCCCAGAAAAAAATTTAAAAAATCAAAAAAACTTGGTACGTAGGTACCGAGAAAGAGAATATTAATTTTATATTATGGGTTTTTACTTTGGTTTAACTTTTGGTTATTTTTGTCGCGTCGTCGCCATCCGACGACGACAATTACGACGAAAACGAGTCCGACGACGATAACGATGTAACATAATAATAATTATTATTATATGATTATATTAGTAGGTACGCCGACTATTAATTTGTATTAATAAATCATAATAGTAGGGAAATATACATAATTTAATATAAATAATATAGTTATTACATATTTACATCATAACTCGTATGTGTTTTTTTTATATTATAAACTTAAAGGTACTTAATATTTAGACCCCCCCCCCCCCACAAAAAATTTGAAAATACGTCACTGCACACAGACGTAATACGTAGAGCATTAAAAAGAAGTAAAATATTAATGAAACGAGAAGAAAGAAAAACAATAGTTGGACATGGAAAATACGATTTTTAAATGTAAACTAAAATGTTGCGAAACAAATTTGAACATTCACTAATAATCGTTAAAAGCGTACGCAAAGAATTGATATTATATTTCGGGTTGGAGTATTGGAACAAAAATGTTCTTTAACTTCGTCGACAATAAAGCGCGTGTTCCACATTTTCGTTTGGGATAAAACGATTTGTTAACTGCGGCGGTGGCACCACAAAATCTTGAATTCGGTTATTTCAACTATTACGTAGTACTGCGGAACAGGTGATTCGTAAATGTACGCCGTCGAGGTGATCTCGTTGTACGTACATTGTCGTGTAAGCACCGGTGTGGTATAGGTACGGTACTATAAATGTATAATACCTTAGACGATTCATTATTATTTAAGGGCGGCTGCGCTACGTTTTTCACTTCTGTAGTACACGTATAGTACATCGAAAACCCTTTTTATAACGTCTCGGTCGAAGGTAGGTACATTGCGTTACAACACGTTTCTGTCCACCGCGTGCACTGCCCCGGACGACGGGAGTTTAATTCGACGCGACCGTAAGAAAATCAACAGTATAAGATAACACCCGGTAGGGGGTGCACGAGCGTTATGCCTGGCAATAGTTGAACCTCGTCAATACACCACGGCCACGTCTTCTGTTCGATAAACTCATAAATTTCCTCGGAACGGCTGCTGCTGCCCAAGGGTTTACGCTGCGTAACACGTTTCTTCGCACCGGTCGAACGTTTTCGTTTTCGCCGCCAAGTGAAGTGCACGAGCGGGTAGAGGGAAAAAATAAAAATTTATCGATAAGTAAAAACAAACACGAAACGAGGGCAAACGCGCGCGGGGTAACCGAAAACAATTTCGGTTCAGGTAATGGTTATGTATTGTTCAATACCATTCGAGGACCGTTTACTTTGTCCGCGACGGGAAAAACGATTCGTATTCAAGCGTATTCATTTGTTCGCGACACGGATTTAATTAATCTCGAAATTAATTAAACTCGTACGCGAACCAAAATATGTGCAGGTCTGTAAACGATTTCGTTGGATTTAATCGCTTGTTCGATAGTACACGTGTATAGTCGGTGCCTGTTATTGGCTTTCACACGGTTCTTCTATGTGACCGTCACGTCCAGACCCGGTTTCACCGTTCTACTCGGACTATGTTAGAATATTATTCTCAGGTTTCTTTGTTCGAATCGCTTCACGATAAGCGCGTCCACGGCAGCAGTTCTCAAAGGGCGCTGAGTCTAAGGCAAGACGGATTAAGATTTAGCGTCCGGGCTGTGAACCGTGAAGACTACGAAAATATACACGCAACGATTTCATACCGAGTACCGCTGGTTTTTTTTTTTTCAATTACAAGTCAATACGTAAAACTTTTAATTTTGAAAACATTTCGGCTCATTTCGAGACAGGCTGCCGCTGCGGGTCAATTATAGTCACGCATGTCCGATGGATTCACTGTTGCATTAGTGTTGAAAAAAAAAATAAAATCAACGAAATCTTCAATGTTATAAACAAGTTAATGGAATATTTTATACCTATCGATTTTCGCGTTCGTCATTCAGGGACGGATCCGCAGTTAGAGAACGGCGGGTCGGGCTATTACCCACCTATTACTCGGGCTATTATTTACCTTTTAACAAAAAAAAAAAAAAAACCACAATAATATTATTACGACTATATATAATGTGTTTATAACTTTATTCATAATTATCATTGAAAACATCAACTGTAAACATTTTATGGAGGATTCCGCCTTACATCCGGCATCGAGTTGTTTTACTGTATCATGCAATTAGACCAGTGGTGTCATTTTGAGAGTGGTAACCGGAACATTTGCGCCGGTCTAGTATTAAATTTCAACCTATAGTTGGCACACATAAAAAAATATAAGAAATCTCGAAGAGGCCAATTTAGTCAACAAATATTAACTGTGGGTCGACTAACCTCCTGTACCCCCACTCACTATATCCATCCCCACCGTTATTATTTACATATTTTAATATGTCAATTTTAATCGATGCAATTATTTATACATTATCCTTAATATGGATCAGTACTGTTCATATAATCTGCGTTATGATTTTACAGCCAATATCGTTTACCACGGTCTACTCCGATTTAGCCATCCAGTTACTAAATATATTATTAATGTATTTGTTTACATCATATATAGATAGTTTTTTTTTTTTTTTTGCAATTTTCGATAGTTCAACTATGAAAAATTAAACAATAAATTCAGTAATTACATGTACATTATTTGATATCAAATTGTACCAAATGTAGAATCTATTACTTAAAAAATAAGCATATTAATATTGTGCTATTTAAAAATAATTATTCATAATGCAGTTACAATGTGTTTTCTTATATAACAGTCTAATTCTGTCGGACGACCAATTTGTTCAATCAACAAGGGTTTCAATATAAAATTAGAGTTTAGACTCATTGAC